AGATTATTAGTCACGGCGGTTCGCAGACTTTGCAAACGGTCCACATCCAGAGTCCGGTTAGGAGCGTGGAGCAGAGTCTGGGTCACCACCAGCTCGAGCACAGCATCCCCCAGGAAGGACAATCGCCCGTAGGCAGCGGTCCGAAGCATTCCGGATGCATAGTGGGAAGGATGCGTCAATGCCTCCACCAGCAGGCTGCGATCCGTAAATTTGTACCCGAGCAATTGTTCCATCTCGCCCAGCGTTGAAAAGCACGAGATCACGGGGCTTGGCCGAGTCTGCTCAAAGCTACCGTCACTCAGCGCTGCAGCATACCAAGTCTTGATTGCCGGCACAAGAGTCGCGGCACAGGTCGCCGCTTGCTTGCTGCCGCCGTCCATATAGGCCGCGCCCACGATTGCTCTTACCATCTCGGCCAGCGTCCTAGCGCTGATTTTCCGTGGCTCCATAGAGCCCGGCAGTGACAGAAAACTGGAAATCCATGCGGGCTTCCATTTCCGGCCGCTGAATCGTCTGGTGATGAGGAATTCCCCCAGCTTGCACATCCTGGCTGCCTGGGCCAGCCCCTGGTCTGAGACAACAGTCTCCTTCAGCTTAGATAGTAGGCCTTGATGCCAGGTGGGGTGGTGCAGAAACAATTGCTCGCTGGTGATGAATTTCAGAAAGGTGGCCCCCACAAAGGCCAACGACCGGAAGCGATCAGGTCTCTCGGAGCAGGTTGGTCGAATTGCCAGGGAAAGGAGACCCATCCGGCGGAAGGCCATGCCTAATAAGACTTGCTCCCGTAGTCGTTCGGCAACCATACATATACCAATTTCATGGGTGATACTGGGAATATACAGAGCTGCCAGGGCCCATGGAAGGGGTAGTCGATCTATGGTAAGCTCCTGGCCCTTTGAGAACGTCTTCCGGCCTTTATGGTCTGTCGCCGGATTTCCCGGTTTCAAACCTCCGGGAGGGCAGCGAGATAGAAAGTTTCGCCTCCGGGGTAGAGGGTAGATGTGTGCCCGAAGGCGTTGGAGGCTGCATGGGAGTTCTAAGTGCCATGGATTTATGATCCACGGGCAGGAGGGCCATGTAGGGCTACGCAGAAGGCCTGGTGCCCGCGTGTGTTTTTCGCTCTTCAAAGCCTCGTCGAGGGGGAGCCTGCCAGAGCATGTCTCCAGGAAAAGTTGCATCGCAGCTGGTGCAGCATCTGGAACAAAAAGGGCAACAAAGTCCCTTCGATCCTGAGTCTGTAGCAGATACCCATGCACAGATTGGAGGATCAGATGCGTGACCCGACGGTAGAGCAAGGTATTTTGATGGTCAGTGGCGACTAGTGAGCCTGGCCACAGGCGGACAATAATGGTGGTCTCGTCATGCAAGAATAGGGGAAACCTGATCTGCTTGTGGATCTGCAGAGGGATGATCATCATCAGCTCGAGACTGTTCCTTCCCGGGATTTGGATCTCCAGACGATGGGCGTACAGGCTCCCCCCGCTGGTATTCCACTGAGCAGCCGCCTCAGCCCAAGGATTGAATGGTTCCGGTAGAAGATGGAAGGCTTTGCAAGAAAGTAAGGCCGGCTTGATGAGGTCGGAGGGCTTAGTTGGTAGTAGATGGTCATTTACCAAACCTGCCGCCCGCAAAGCCTTGTATGCTTGCAGTGCAGTGTCGGCTTTCGCATGTTTTCTACTGGACCACCAGCACGAGCCCTCAATTTCTTGAAGAGACGGATGGAGAGCACTAGGTAAGAGGACTGTGGCTCGAACCCGGCCATCGGGACTCTCCTGGTAATGATATAGGGGCCGATTGATGACATATGGCTGTCGCAGCAGTTTTGCACAAAAGGTGTTCAAATGGCTCACAGCATCCAGCATGCCCAGTCGAGCGCTATCATATATTAGTTAAAACATCCTTTCATGCTCTTTTTTTCCTTTTTTGCAGTCATATATACCCTGTGTCCTTCACCTCTAGTGACAAATAAGAGTCTGCCTCACACGGTGGGTCGGGAACAGCTCGTGTGCCATCTCGGTAGGTCTGCACCAGCTTGTCTTCTAATTCTCTCAGTTTCCTCAACTCTTCCTCTTCCTGCTTGTTATTAGCGAAAATGATGAAGGTGGATTGTTTTTGGCGAGCCCTTCCGCGTCTTTGGACGAAGGACCTGAGACTGAGAGGTCGGTCGAAGCTGATGATAGTATTGCAGGCTGGTATGTCGATTCCCTCTTCCAGTGCATTAGTGGTGATGATTAAATCCAGGTCTTTCATACGGAACTTGGTCAGTGTCTCTTCCTGCCCACAGATGTTATCGTGCCACTTCCCAAGGTCTGTCAGGCCCTGCATTTTTGACATGCCGACAAAAGCGCCGCAGCGGAAATTGTCTTTGGTATCAGGATGATTCTCGATCAGTGACTTTAGTATCATCACCGCCGCTCGTCGAACCACAAATATCAGCCCCCGAAAGTCTCGATTTACCAGTCGGGACAGGGTTTCAAGAAGCCCCCGGCATTTTGGGGAGAGATCAGCAGGTTTGGTAGGCGATTTGGGATGCTGCTCCAGCGGGCCGAGCTCGCAGAGCGTCTTCATAGTGAAGTCTTTGACAGCATTAGTGCACCATTCTGTCTCGGCATGCGAGCGTTGGTGCTCTTTGAAGTGCCTGATGGACGTGGACATGTACTCGGTCGCCGCCCAGCTGCCGAGCTCGTGATAAAGGGCTTCAGAAGTTTGGACAAGTTGGCGAAGCTGCGCGGTCCTCGACTGATGATGATACTTCTCTTCATGATCGATAATGCCACGTAGCCAACTCAACAGCCGGGGTTCGGCACTAATGCGGAGTCCATCATCATCTAAGAAACGATAAATGCACACCTCAGGACGATTGGTTGAATCCAACAGCTGCTGATAGTATCGATTCGGGCCCATGCACCTGCTGTCGAGATCACTCTCCAGCTTCCTGTCATATGGGCTATTAGCGCTTCCTCCTTTCCCACCCTCTCACTCTCAATTGCAGACCTACTCGAGGCTAGATACATCCGAATGGGCTGGAGAGGCCGACAGACCTAGGATCCGAGGTAAGATGTTCGGTATCGTTTCTTTGTAGGGATGGTAGAAGTTTTTCATGATTCTGTTCGCCGGGCTGTTTCCAGTGCAATGATGAGCTAGTTGCGATGGCAATTAATTTCTAAACAGCCGAGGTTCTAAATATTCCCATTTACCTTCGTCAAATACCAGTAATGAGAATTGATCAATTCTCGTGAACCCGTGCGTTAGGGCGTCCAACAGGACCTGATAGGTTGAGACTGCGACTCGTACGCCGAACAGAGCGGCATCCCAAACGGCCTTTTCTCCCCAGTGGTCGACTTGATCCTTGCCGGTGAAGGATCGAGGGCGGCTGTAGGGAAGGTGGGACCGGAGAACATCGACTTGCTGCTCACACAGCGCAATAGTAGGGCAAAGAAACCAGACAAGCTTTATGTTGGGTGAGCCCCCACCCCCACACGATTGCTAGAGGCAATGGAAGAGGGGATACAAAATTGGATTACCTTATCTGGATTAATGTTCAGTGCTTCCCGGATTCGGAGAACCGCTCTGGAGCATCGGTCAGTGCTTTGAGAAGGAGGTCAACCCATATAAAAGACCAACATGAGAGTTTTCCCAGTCCCGGTGCCCATCTGGATTGCCCTATTCAGCATTATTGTCCAATCATTTCCACGGAATGTTCTCCAATCTTACCGAGACAATAATGTTTTGCTGAAGACTAGCTCGTAACATTTCCGCTTGGTAGGCTCGTTCCCGTATTGGCCGCTTCTCCCTATCGTTAAGGATCATGCTGGGGATTGATGGATCTGCGGTTCTTAAATATTTCAAAAAGTAAAAAAGGAAAATAGCGTAGCGGGGGGGGGGGGAAATTGCGGGAGATAAACCAACTTTGTTTTTTATTTTTATTTGCTTTCGAATAGAGCAGGTTTCCTCCAATGAAAGTCCAACACGCACGTTTGCTTATCTATCTCAATTCATTTTTGATGATTCATATGCCTGGTAGCTAGAGAGGCTGCCAATCAATCTAGCCTTTACTTTTAGTAATGAGTCTGCCAATTGCCCATAAGGTCCTTGATTCATACATACCTAAAATCATATACCAGATCGTCTACTTTCTTTCTCTGATCATTGAGCTGAGCTTCAGCCTTTCAAGTATTCTCTATTGTAGTGGGGAAAATAGCAACGCAAAGAAATCGCGAGAGCTGGGAGGTCGAGTAAGCACAATAAGCGATCTTTATGAAATATGCTGCTTATCGAGAACCTTTCTGCAAATGGCCTCTGCTTCCTCTTCTCTATCAGCGCGGATTCCTGCTTTCTAAGGCGCACAGTCATTACTGGTGCTTCATTTCTTATGTTTTGGACAAAGACAGACACTTCCTACAGACATCTGCCAGATTGATCGATTTATTGAATATACGCTCTTATTGACCTCATGCTCTTTCTGTGATATCTGCTGCTTTCCCACTGCTACAGATCGTTGCTGAGTGTGCGATTCCTTGTCTACTAGACTCGTTGTCAGACTGCCATTGAGCATCTCCCTCTTCACTATTCAGTCTAATAATATGGTTTCATTCAATTGGCGGCAAATTTCCTTGGCGCCCAAGTGCGCAGCTTCTTTCTTTGTTCGAGCCCTACCAGAGCAGGTGACATTTCCATACTGGACAATTACCTTGAACAAAGGCGGATCCAGTGTGATTGTCTGCTCCTCAATTCGCTGAAGTCTCTTGTTTTCTCTCTGGCCCCTCTCATGCAACGCGGAGGTGTATCGATGGAGAGCGACTGCATGAGCAGTAGTTCGTCCAGGTTGCGAGTGACCTGGACTGGGGGGCTCGATAAGGATGTTTCCACACTCGTCATTACATGGCTGCCACGATGGGCTTTCCCGGGAACAATTGGAGAGAATATGTCGGCGAGGTTCCATAAAAGCGGAAGTCTTTCCGGCTCAGGGCAGAGTCTATAGGTCTGCCCTAGCAGGGCGACTACGAGGTCCCGGGCACTGCTCTCTTCTCCGATAGCTGTTTGCGGGTCTTCGGCGATTTTGAGAGATCCCTTTGTTCCCGTCCAATTAAACGTTTGAAAAGCATGGTTGCAATAATCCTGTATCTGCGTGAGTCTAACAGCCGGCGAGACTGAAATAGCGGGCTAACCTCAGTCTCCTTGCGCGACATTTCAGAGCTGGCGAGGGACGAGATAACTGATATTTGAAAGAGAAGGGTGCCGATGAGAAGATCTATAAACCATGTGACGTTAGTTTGGATGCAGATGGGAGACAGATGGCCATTAGACTTGCCCTCAGAACTAGTGGGTTGACTGTGGTCTTGCAGACTGGCCATGCTAATGGTTCGGATTGATAGCAAAGCAGTGTCTTGGGTTTTCGAGGTTGGAAAATTATTGAACTCCATGTATGGTCTCCCCACTCCCCTTATTTTGAGATGGTTCCCACAAAAGCATGAAACCAGTACAACATGGAAAATCTCCCAACTGTGACTCACCGTAAGGCTCTAGCATGTAGACGTGGCGTCTCGTTCATCCATTTACAGGCCCTCAAAGGAATTACACGAGGAAGTGATGTAGAGCGTGACGTGTCATCTTTTTGAAAATGTGTTGTCCATGCGGGGTCGGCCGTACCGTCAGCTATTTTCCGTGGCAGACACAAGTTCATTTTACTCCGCAAAAGTACAAAGATACGCATGCATGGCTAACATGAACTCCCGACCTTGACACTGCAGCAGGAGTATGTCTGTGTACAGCATAGTAACATCGAGGCTTGCACGACGATGGACGCAGTGTGACATGGCTTCAATCTGGCTTGCGTCATGTGGCGAGTGAGAGAAACCGAAAGACAGGGATACACATTGGCAGCCGCAGAAAAATGACAGGGGGAAAAACAATTGGAAAGCAAAAAAAAGGGAGCGAAAGAGAAACAAGGTAATGGTTAGCGTTGGGCAGCAAAGATAAATGATGAGATTGCCAGGGCGCAGTGAGTCAGAAGAAGTGCAATGGGGCTGAGAGGATGAACTTTAGAGTATATACATCAAGCTCGCGGCGGGCATCTTCACAGATAAAGAACACTTGGTATATCTGTGATCATCATTCTGCAAACTTTCTCGAGCAGGACGCAATGAGCGGAGGATATTCGGAGGCGTCGCTGATCTCCCATCAGCCTAAAAGATTGCGGTTGCTCTATGAGCCTCTCTGCTTGCTCCACACTCTAAGCGAAGTCCGAGGGGATCGAATCAAGCCCGGTGATATATCCCCCGAAGGCCCGGGGCTGACTGCCCCCAGATGCTATCGATCCTTTGTGGACGCCATCGCCTATATATGTGCGTACCGGAAGAAGCCTGGCTACGTCACCGCGGCGGCCCTAGAAGAGGCCCCCGATGCGATAGTGGTTCTGCTGGCTGCCAACAATGGCATTGATACGGCGGTAGTCACTCTTCTGGAGAAGGTTCTCATGATTCTTTCATGGATCATCGATAATCCTACGGTTCGACTGGACACGAATGAGGGCCGAGGGGTGATGAAAATTTTGACTGCCCACGTGCTGGACCTCAACACCCCCAAAATCTTCGAGTACTATCAGCAGGTGAACAAACTGGTCTCGTTGGTGATGGGGCGATTGAATGCCGAGTCTGGATTGAAAGGTACGCAGCCCTGTCTGTAAGGAGAGCGGCTCTTGCTGGACATCAAAGCTGATGAAGCGTTACCACCACGAGCAGATCATGACAGCATCATCAACCTCCGCAACTGGATTGCAAAGCACCTTTCAAAGAGCAGTATGCAGCTTCAGGAAAGCGACATGCCAAGTCTGGCCCTCTCCAGCTACAGGGACCGGGAGGTGTTCAAGGCCTTGCATCACACCACCGGGAGCCTTGAGCTATCCCGTAACTTTGAGCGACTCCATAAGCTGCTCTACAAACTGGGGAAGCACGTGGCTCAGTGTAAGCGACTGATCGAGGCCACTATCAGGCTTCGCTTAGAGTTATCGCGAGGCTTGCGCATCGAGACGATAGGGGGGTCACGGGAGAACCGGATCCCTCTTTTGGCCCGTACTTGCAATATTCAGAACATTAGTCATCGTATTTTCTCTGATCCGGCGAAGCAAGATATATTCCTACGGCAGTTGCAGCAAATATACGCGGAGAAGGAACTGGACCGGGTGCTGTCCAAGGATCTCTGTAAAGGCAAAACGCGCGTGCATGCGGAACTTTTGGTCCTCGATCACTTTGAGCAGACGGGTGGCAGATTCCTCGACGAGAGGGACAGGTACATTGGATGCAGCAAGCCAGCCTGCTATCTCTGCCACCTGTTCATTTCTTGCCATCCGAGAGGCTATGCGAGCCCCCCTTCCCACCAGAAGCTCTACCTGAACTGGCGGCTTCCTGATGTCCGCACGGACGAACAGAATGCCGCGACGCGCTTTCAGCATCAACAGGGTGTTCTGTTTCGCATGATCGACACCGTCAGGAGGGATTTAACAAACGATATCGCTACCAGTGTCGGTAAGCGGATGGGCTTCGCGGACTCGACAGCGGGAGGCACCTCAACCATTATTGACATCGAAACCGACCTCAGTCCGTCCATGGCTAGTCTCTCCCTTGACGAACTACGAAAGACGCTTGATCGTCAAGATGGGGCCGGCCGTGGTCCTCGAGAACCTCACATGGACCCGAAGTTCAACCCTTGTGGCGTTCCCTATTTTCCCAGTGAGACCGGCGTAGAGGCTGAGAGTGATGATTCCGCCACTGGTGGGGTGGGGATTTAACAGCTCATGCTCTTGCTCACTGAGGATGATTTGGTTTCTCTTTTCACTTAATATGCCTGGCTTAGGATGCTGCACGTGACAATATTGCAGTTGACTTGGTGCCTGGGTATTAGTAACTGCGCGTGATTTGGAGTGGAGGCTATTGAATGACCAATAATATTTAATAAGCACCCTACTTCTTTTTGAAAATGGATTAATGAATTCTTTTGTATTCTTTTCGGCCATAGACTTAGGATAATCACCGGACGTAAGTTTGCTTGACCGTAGCCCTTATGATCATTAGGGCTGTTGCGAATACGAATATTCGTCAGAATCCGTTATATTCGTTATTCGTACTCGCAATGGTGGACTTAGCTTTTTACGCCGATTGGAAAAAACTCAACCGCAAAAGGAGAGCTAAAAGAATAAGCAAGCTTGAGACAATGGGTCTTCCAATTCCAAACGAGGATGGTGTCGTTTCAATCTTTATGGCTTTAACATAGGAGCTTGGAGCTTGTTAGGCTTTGATATCCGAATCTATCCCAACATTTTGAATGGATATAGTTGCAGGAATTTGCTGAGTACTCTTTCCCACCTTTCTTTTATAGCGTTCGTAAATCAGCAGAACAAGGTGATTGATGCATATATGGCCAATGAGGGTCATCAATTATCTCAAGTTGGAGTAAAGAGTCGCAGTGAAGCAATCATTTCTGTACTTTGTTTCCTCTCAAGAAGATTCTCTCAAAGCCAGTTCCTCTCGGAGGGAAGTTCGTGGTCGTTGCATTTCATGTATAGTCCCTCTGAGATACTCGATCTGGAACGACCTCACTGTTAACATCTGTCGAATAAAATGGGTCTTACATAACTAGCGTGCTCGACTTTTACAGCACCCACTTGCTGACTGAAGGAAGTCAACTTCCTGAGGCATCTACATGCTTATTAAGTCCACAATGGGTTAAATATTCGCTTCATTAGACAGTTTAGTGAAGTACACTCAATATATGTTATGGAACCTACCATTGGTCCTTTCGTATACTAGCGCGTACCGTATTCTCTTGGAATCGACAACATCTTCTTGCCACCTCACGAGAAGCTTTACATAGTCCAACGGTAGACACTGAACGCTTACCGAAAACGTTATGTAACCAGTCAACTACTTGGTCATTTAACTAGCTGATCTTGAATATGTGGCAGAAAGTCAACTGACGACAGAGGACTAAACGATTTCACGCAGCAAACACTGGGATGTGTTAGGGTATTAGGAGATACACGTGATGTATGCGGGGCTCATCGAAGGAGGGTAATCACGTTTTATTCGGCCAATGGCAGTAAGTACCTGATTGTCTGAACGGCGGCATCCTTTTCTCACCGGTCATCGTTTATCTCGTTTCACCATATTCATGTTCAACATGATTTGTGCCAGCCTCTATCAATCCAATTTTAATTGTTGAACCGTTGACTCAAAAGGCATTTACGAATTGATTCAACTGGGATAGGCCCTCACCCATCCTGGACACACACGAAACGATCATTTTAACATGTCGAATCGAGCCTCGATTTCTGCAAAAAGTGAGCCCCCTCACTATAACCGACCGTATCACACATGATAGGAACATTGTTTATCGTGCACTCTGATGCAGCGCCCATTCATTCTTGCTTTCCGTGTGTCGGCGCATCGAGAACAGCCCCATGCTAAGAATAAAATGTGCGGAGAGTTGCTTGGCGGATATGATCCAGAAATAGAGGGTATACTAGATGGGCTGTTGATATCTATCCTGAAGGTGATGGATTTCTTAACGTAGTTTTTGGTTTGATGTATTTGCTCTTTGGTGTGCGATGGCTCTTGTAGCCAGTACAAAGGGGTCTGGTTGAGACTATTTTGTGAGCTTTCTCTTGTGATTGATTTAATTGGCTCACTTCCCACCACAAAAGGGCGATCGTTGCTCCGAACGTTCTAGAAGAGATTCTGTCTTCATTGACAAAGGAAGCAGATTTTAGTGTTTGGCCATCATCATCGCCCGCTATGGATGCCATTTTGAGCCTGACAGCCCAGAAGATACGAGAGCTATTTCACCATTTGCGGCATTGAGGACAGCGAGGAACATCTTAATCTGGTTATCGCCCACGCTGCCGATCATGGTAAGTCAGCCCCGCCAACGTCTGAGAGAATGGATCATTGACATTTGCTTAGTTCACAAAGCTCGACTCGTGACTGCTAGAGGTGTGCTCGAGCCTATCTCTGAGCCTAAGGAAGCGACTATAGAAACCCCTCCGACTTCACCATATGAGCGTGGGTCATATCGACTTATTAAACAGACAGGGAAGGATGGCCCTACAACCTACAACGATATGGCCAGCACAGAGAAGAAGAAGAAGAGGAAAAAGAGGAAAAGAAACGAGAGCTTCAAGCGAATGGATGAGCCGCCCGGGGCGTCTGTGGATTATGGTAATGGAGGGACCAAAGAGAAGGCCCTCCAGGAATTACTTTCGTTAGAATCCCGGCCAATGGTAGGATATCACTGCTTCAGATTGATAATTTACCTATGTGAGAAAGGTCTAATGGATTAATGATTTATGTTTAGTCCGAAGTCGATAACGCTCAATCTTTGTGTATGCAGGATGCCCGTAATAGCTCTTTGCCATTATATCTAGACTCAGCCTACGAGATGAAGATCATGATAAAAATCCTGATGCAATGTGTCAAATCCAACTCTGACATCGCACAATATGGGCAGCGCAACTGCATGCCCATGACAACAACTAAGCTCGAGAAGATGCGGCAGTTTGTTAAAGAGTTCTCTCGATACAGTTATGAGCAGGCCATCCACGCCATTCGAAGAGACAATGCTTTAATTACTGTTATGGCAATGCAGAAAAGATATAATGAAACTACTTTCTGGCCAATCATTCTCAAGTGCGCTGCGCTGATCGATCCCGCCACGCTACCACCCGCTAAAGGCCCCCCGGATGGATTTACAGTAGCGGAAAAAGCTGCCACGAAGAAGTTCATGGAAGACACCGGGTATAGCTTAGGTGCAGAAAACCAACGACAATACCGCATATTCTGGAAGAACATATTTCACATGCGTGAGGCTGGCGTTGACAAAATTCTCTTCTATCGCACGAAAGAATTCGACAGTTTCTGCAGAGGTTATTCCAAAACATCGGAAACTCCACTTGTGGATAAGGTTTTAAGGTGGGAGAACGAGTATTGGTCTCATATCGAACAACTGGAACCACGGATTACCAAACTGAAGACGGGAGACTCAAAGCGTCTTAGCTACCTCAGCAATCCCCAGGCGCTAGAACGACTGAAAGTGCCAGAAGTCTCGTGGAATAATGCTTCGAACGAGTGGGCCGTCAATGCCGAAGAAGAAAGTTTCAGGCAATGCGGCTTAAAGTCCATCTCGCCTGATATTTTAGGCATACCACACGATTATGAGTCGATCTACGAAGGTGGGACAGACAAGTCCGTATTCATCACTCTTCTGCCTTAAGATGACAAGTCTCTGTTCGTCTCTTCTATTGTGCCTGTCTGTGAAAGAGACTTCCTGGGCATATTTGCCGGCACTTTCCATTTTTCGGGGGACTTTAGTCTCACCCATGGTATCCCTGGTCCCGCCGAAAATCTGTGGCTAGACTATTCTCAGGTGACTGGCGCGCTGAATCAAATGCAGGTATCTGAACCTGGTGGTCACGCAAACGTGTGCCTTCGTTGGGCCATATTTCATGACGATACTACGATAGAGCGGCGCATTTTATGGCGAGTCTCCGTTAAAGCCACCAAGGACATCATTCCTTTTGATCCTATCGTTCGCGCAGCTGCTCAGCAAGAGCAATACGATATGCACCTATCGCCTGATAGTGCAAAAAGAGGCTTTCTCGAAACCTGTTCCTAAATACTCGTCGGCTGTTGGAGCCTCTAGCCCCATTCAATGAATCTTAGATTCGTTACGTTTGAGGGTGACCTAGGAAGTACGAACTGAGGAGTCCAGTCAGTAACAAAGTGCATGCGTAGTACAGTGTAGTAGTAGTAGTAGAATTCATTTACACTGACCCCTCGCAAAGCGATATGCAGTATACGACAACTATATATCCGAGTATGTACTTTTAGAATGATCCACTTTCTGACAGGAACTTAGAGCCTCGTCACGGCCTACCCTGGCCCATTGCCGTTCCCATTGTTAGGCTGCCTTCATGGCGCGGCTGCTGTGAAATCTCAAGTGAGACGGATAGCGACTGTCCGGATTTGGCTGCATTTCTGATAGGAACCGCGAGAATGCGGGCAATGCTGAGTGTAAGAATCTGGCTAAAGAATGTGTTGCCGAAGCTGGTTTGTTGCGGGCTCGATTAGCCGGATGTTTCCTGGTTTTCTTGTCGTCCTTGAACGGTGGCGGTTTATTGTGAAAACGACGATGAAGATCTTCGATTGTGAGTGTGAATTTGAGGGTAGGTGCGGGTTGGTGAGTTTTAGGTGTCGGTTGCGCTAAAGATGTGGGTGCATGTTGGATGACCGAGGCGTAGGTCGGTTTTTGGAGTTGAGGTGGAGAAGTAGCAGTCTGTGCCAATTGGAGAGGGTGAGGAGAGCCGGCTTGCTGCGACGGTAGCGGTTGAGGTAGCGGGGTTGGTGGGGGTCTGGTAAGAGTAGTAGGACCGGCCGCTGGAGATTTCTCGTACTGTATGCTGAGGTTCGAAATGGTTGTCTTCGGGGGTAATCTGTTGGAGGGAAGGTGGTGGTGCGTAGGTGTTGATTTGGCCGAAGTATTTGTTGACTGGGACACTGGGTCGGGGTTTTCGAAATGTGATTTTATTTCGCGATAGATGATCTGCCACATGCAATTCTCTGTGTGAAGTCGCGGTATTTCTTCGATGGGGGCTCGCAAGAATGTGGTTAAAGGGGTTGTCGTTCCACAGGCAAAGCAGCATGCAGCTCGGTTGTTCGGCCCTAGTGGCTTTCAATACAGGCCATTCTGTGCTAGTTGGAGAGGGGTGACGCCGCTTAGGAGCTGTCCATGAAATGAGACAGCCCTGGCGGCGATGGTGCCGTGGGTGGTCGAGATACGGTCATAAGGCTGATCGGCGTGATGCGGGGCGGTTTGTGCGGGTAGAGTAGTGGGGTAGGCGGGTTTGAGGAGAGAAGATGGGGGACGAAGGACAGGGAAAGGTCTCCTGCCCTTTTTACCCTTTTCCATGGCGGAGTCGTCCATTCGAGCCTCTGGGCTTACGTTCGCGTGCGTAGTACAGTGGAATTCCGCGTAGTGCAGTGGTATGCGAAATCAATTTCAATTTTAAACTCTTACAAATTTAATTCCCGGACCCTAAGTAGAGACACGCTAATCTAATTTTAGCTCTTCCCCGGTTGATCCATGTATGCCTGTATGTATTCACTGGTAACCAAAATGGGTCATTGTTATAGTACCGTAATTTATTTAGAAACCGATGGAATCCATCGTGCAAACAGATCAAATAAAGAGAGAATCTGGCAAAATCTTCTTTCATTCTCTCATATCTTGGTCTATTTGTCACGCGCAGCCTTCTCTTTTGCATCTAAAAGAAGGCTGTAATGACGCCGTAAAGAACTTATCCTGGTACGCAACTTGTTTCTCTATAGCTTTGGCCTCTGTGATCCACTGCGATTCTCATTCGTTACCAAGTCCTAAGGAAATCCGTCACTTGGGGAAGCTGACATGGACCCTCCCAGGACAGCCATCGTACTGTAGAGATGACACAGAGCCCATATTAATCTTGTTCAAAAGTCACGATTTAATTGTTTTAGAGACGTCTATCTCCCTGTGCCGTTCATCATAGAATGAAAAGTACTCCGGTACTGCGCGACGTGGCGAAGAGTGATTCGTGTCAATGTTGTCGGCAGTATGAGAACCATGTATCGGTCAGATTCCCGCGCTCGTGTTAGATGGTGATTGTCAGCTATTAACGTGGCTGGGTCTCGACTGTTTGGACCAAGCCTAGGAGAACAGCACGCACATTTGAGATGTGTTCGATGGGGATAGTGTGGAGATGATCCTGCACTCTTACATCTGGTCATCAAGTCAGCAGTATAAGACTTTCGGCCATTGAAGATTTATCTCCGTGCGTTCTCAGTAGGATATTCAAAGAGATACTTCACAAGCTGCATTTTTACAATGTCTGGTAAGTATGTCATCTGGCCGCAGCCGATGTATTTGGGCGTATCATTAACTTCTATAGCTTCCGAAACGTCACCTGCTAGGCGTCCAGACCCCGTATCTTTAGGCAGGCGCACCGTTGAAGAGATTTTAGGAAGTCCATCTCTCGAGGCCTCCCTCAAAAGACTCGATCTTAAGACCGGCCGGGGTCCCGAATTTGTGGATACCGAAGCTAAGCTTGCGAGTCTGGTTGGGAAACTGCAAGACTTACCTACCAACCCGCCGTCTCTTTATATTGATCTTGAAGGGGTCAATATATCAAGACACGGTAGCATTTCGGTCCTTCAAATCTACGTTCTTCCGCTTGACGAAACCTATCTGGTCGATATATACACTCTTAAGGAGAAGGCTTTCTTGCAGCCGGCTTATAACAATGACCAGACCCTACTAGGTATATTGGAATCACCCTATATCTCTAAGGTCTTCTTCGATGTCCGAAACGACTCAGATGCACTATTTAAATCATTTTAATGTCAAACTTGCCGGGGTTATTGATCTTCAATTGATGGAATTGGCAACCCGGTATTACTCGAAGAAATACGTCAGCGGACTGGCAAAATGCATCGATAGGGATGCTCCTCTCACGACTGATGAAATGCGAACTTGGAAGGCATCAAAGTAAAAAGGGCTGAAGCTCTTCGCTCCAGAGCGTGGGGGCAGCTATGATGTGTTCAACGTCCGCCCTCTTCCAGATGATATCAAGGAATATTGTGTGCAAGACGTTCAGTTCCTACCTAAGCTATGGGTCCAGTACCAGGGGAAGATATCGTCGTCTTGGACCAAAAGGGTTATGAGGAGAGCGCGAATAGAGTAATGCTCTCTCAAACAGCCACATACGACGGAAAGGAAAAAGATGAAGCTCTAGCGCCTGTAGGCTGGTGGTGATTCTGCGATTGCTGCTATGGTCTTTCCTACTATTTGGTCGGACAAGTTTGGCTACATCCATTGTAGTTTCAGCGGAGTCTGCTTGATTGAAAGGTACAAATTGCACACGAACACGTTTTTCGTCTGCTGTCTCTTCTTGATATAGAGACTGTTCGTTTGCACAACCTTTTGAAAATACCGCCACTGGTAAAGCCTCTGACATACCACTGGAGATACATAATGGCCTTCGAAGCACTGTGACATTGTTCAACTTTTCGACTTTCCGTTTCGAACTGCCAGAGCAGAGTCAGCCGCCTACCGAAGAGAAAGCAATGAATAGTAAGGAGAAGAGGAAGAAAAGGAAGAAGGAGAGGAAATATGGAGAGGCTCAGACCGCTCTTGAGGAACATGCTGCCGAAGAGCCTGCGGTCGAAGAATCCGCTGCCGAAGAACCTGCTGCTGAAGAGTCCGCTGCTGAATTTGGCACACTGAATTACGTCCGCATTCAAGTATCTGCGAAGCATTTAATGTTTGCCTCCTCGATTTTCAAGAAATTATTGACTGGGGGTTGGAAAGAAAGCATTACTTACTTGCAGAAGGGCTCAGTGGAAATCACTGCAGAAAGCTGGGATACTGAAGCATTTTTGATTTTACTCCGTGCCATTCATGGTCAATACTACTATATACCGCGGAAGCTGACTCTCGCCAAGGTTTCTGTGATAGCAGACTACTATGAATGCAAGACGGCTTTATATATCATGAAAGATATTTGGATCGATAATATGGAGGAGAACATAGCTCCGACAGTTTCTCGAGATTTGATTCCATGGCTATGGAATACCTAGTTTTTTCAACTTCACACTCAGTTCAAAAGACCAACTTTGCTTGCGATGTCAAGAAGTGACGACCGGGTTGTTAGCTTTGGACTTCCGATCCTTACAAATGTCATTGGTAAGAGCGGGTCATTTCTGAAAGCACTTCATCTCTAACTGAATGGTAGTTTCAATAAACAAATCTAGGGAGAATGCCATCCACAACTTGGTAATTACCCTTCATGAAACACGGGGTGCCTTCTTAGACGGCACTCGGGGCTGTTATTTTGAGTGTCGCTCGTTCATGTATGGGACTCTAACTATGCAGATGCAGTCCAGTAATCTGCTTTCACCAAATCCCAAGGCTCCCTTCTTGAATTTGAATTACATGATCTGGTGCAAACTGTACTGGCCTTCAAATCCCCACGATCGTATGGCTCGAACATAAGTTATTCGAGTTATAGGTCCAGCAATTTCCACGATTGCCCCGACGCATCCTTCGCATCATTCTTCGCGATACTGAAAGATCCTCTCGAGGGCTTGGATCTTCAAGATTTCACGGGATCATCATTGGAGAACCTTTCCCATGGTGCCATCTGCATGCATTATTGAACTTAACTTGGTGCTATTCATTGTGACGGAGAAATGAGGACATGAATGAGGCCAGCCAGCTGTAATTCATCGATTCGATCATCGCGAATATTTGTTCAGCTGATCCCGGACGTATCAATCGATCTCAAAGGGATCATGGAAATATAAATTGATTGTCTTCTTGTTGCTACGATTCTAATGCTGCAATTGTCGGTTCTTGATACAGTGAAGGAAGTTTCAGCATCCATTCGTCATCAGCGGGTAGCTCCGGCGCAGAGGTAGATCAGACTGGTGGTTAGTCTATACCAAGCAGGCCGTTTTATGATACTCATGGGGCAAAAATTATAGTTTTCTTTCGAGTCCGAAAACTTGATCGGCCTTCAGTTTCTGTAATAGAAGACAGGACTTCTATATTCGTGATTATCTCACAAACGCGTTCACTCCACGTACATCAGAAGCCACCAAACCGAGACTCATGATGAGGGGAAGAAACAGTGAGGCGGTTTGTGCATGCAAGTGCAGGGTAGTTTGCGACGTGTTGGCGAGTTTGTGGTCGTCAATAACGCGAGTCATGGCAAGCAGATGCAGAATTTCCAAGCCATTACGTGTCATTCAGACCATGATCGCATCACTGGGGCTGCTTCAAAGCTTGGAGATTATATTGCGAGGCCTAAACAGGCGATTCTTGGCATGGGCCTGTGAGACCGAGAAAATTACCCAAAGGGGAGATTCTTGGCATTTGATGCCATATACTGGCTTGATCACCTGCAATATGAGTCAAAGCGGGGTTACTTCTTGTTTAAATGCAGTAGTCGCCGACTGCGCCCACATGTCGTCGCTTTATCCTCTTATGCTAACGTTAGAATAACCATCACTCGCTATCGACTTAATAAGAACATTCAAATGGCTCAGAACAAGTTTCAAGTCTCGCGATATGAGATGGGGGAATTCAAGGACAATCAGTGGTACTGCGGGTGCGGCGACCCAGCCAGCCATCTCACCTCAAAAACGGACCAGACCAGGGGCGATACATGTAAGTTAGCATTTGTGCCTATGAGAACGATCTCTAATCACGAGGATAGTTCTGCGATGTCACAATACAGAAGGTTGTGGGTTTTTCCTTTGGGAAAAGGATGAACCCACAGCAAGGGTATCGAAGTCCTCACCCCGGACCCCTCAACAAAATCGAAGACGAACCCTAGGCTTCCTTACTCCGGTGTCCGGGCATGATACTCAGGGAAGACGTCAAACCTTGAATTTTGAATCGTCACTTATCTCTCCAACACCAAAACGACGTCTTGACCACGTGGAAGTGCCGGATCAGCCACTTTTAGCTGAAATTCTCGGACTTTTGAAATCTGCGAATATTGAGATGAAAGTTTCCACAGATTCGCAACTACGACATTTAGTCAACCTGGGAGTGGCAGTATATGAAACCAAAATACGCACGTGCGAGGCCACCATCAATGAACTCCGAAGCAAGTTGGTAGAAATGGAGAGCTAAAGGATAACATGCATTAGGAAGGTAGTTGCGATGATGAAATGAGAATTTACAATACAATGTTTTTTGCTGAGTCTGGCGAGGCCACTTTTCCATACAGGGTGTGTGTGTGTGTGTTAAATCATTTGCCCCGACCCATCGCTGAGCGATATGCAGGCTACCGCAACTATCTGTATCCTTGTATGTACATGTAGGGCGTACCACTGCCTGACAACGAACTTAGAGCCTCGTCAAGGCCTGCCCTGGCCAATTGCCGTTCTTGCTATTAGGCTGTCCTCATGACGCGCGACTTTGAAACCGCTGTGACGCCTCCGCAAAGTCTAGTACAGCTTCAACTGTGGTGGCTCGCGTGGCAGTATTTTGCTTACCATGCTTACCATCTTCACTACCACCCAGAAGAATCGAAACGCTGTTGAACGCGTCGCCGACTTTCCTCCGTAGCTCCTGCGCAGGGTTCTCAACTTCGGGCAGTCCACCAGCACGTGAACCACAGTTTCTTGTTTCCATACAGGGAGGATCGAAATTAGTTTCACCACTTTGCGCACAGAGATTATTTCTCGAACCCGAAACACGCTATACCTATTACGGATACTCTGCCCTTGAACCCCTTTCTTGGTAGTATTCTAGTACAGGTGTAACAGCTTAAAAATAGCTTATGTATTAGACTCGTAAGGTCTCCGGAGTTTCTAGAACGTTGGACCAGCAGACAAGCCAGCTCGTTCGGAGACGTGGCAGGAATTCGAACCCTGTCCAGAACTTGCCATCTACAGTGACCACTACGAGTGAGCCAGTTGTATAGAGACAGTACTAGTGGGTAATGTTTCTTTGCATCATGTAGCAGGCTTGGCCTTCTCATAGGAGGCCTGCTCACCTTTGCCCACCCCTCTGTTCAGAGGGCAGATGAAGATTTGGTTTGGACATACAAGGTCTGGGGCATGCTGGGTATTAGGAAATGCACGTGATTTGGTGATCTTGCAGTTTTTGGGAGCTTGGTGGCCCATCTGAAAGTTGAGGACCTCAAAACATGGCGGTTGCAAGGACCGGAGCATCCTGTGCTAGCTTGACCATGGCAACAACCAGAATGTGATCCTTTATTGCTTATACTGTGCATTTGAGATAGCTACTATAGAATTTCAATGTCAAAGCGCACTCTTTGTATCTGGAGGATCTGGCTGTTTATCGCGTGCTGCGCTTGATCTGGGTTTTCTGGCTCGGGTCGATCTGATCCATGGGAAAAGGGCCACCTCACCCCACACAGGGCCAACAGAAGGCTCGAGTTGGGCTGTCTGCCAATCTTATTCCCTGTCCTAGCGCCCGGAGTCACCTGATGGTGAGCCCGAGGATGTGCCCCTCCTTCAGCTGAGAGTCAGACAGATAAAATAACGGCCCTTCAAGAACTACAAACGAGGCACATTTATTTGATCATGACATCGGTATCATTCTGTGGCAATAATCATGGGCTTCAGTTTGGAGATAACAGCGGCTACATCAATGCAGAGTTCCATCTGCCTCTCGGTAAGTCAGAGGAACGGAGCAATGTCCAGGCCGGCCGACCCTGACTGCCGCTTCCCTCTAGAGCGACCAGAAACTCCACCCAGCCCTTTGTCAACGGTGCCATTCACGCGCGATCCAGATTTTGTCCGGCGCGACACACTGCTTGATCAGATCTATAGTAAAAGCTCGGTCGCGGGGTCGAGAATAGCGCTTGTTGGCCTTGGCGGTGTTGGGTAAATTTATTGCGGCTCTTACGTGGTCTATTGCTCACAAGTCGAGAAAAATCGCAACTTGCGATCGAACACTCCTATCAAGTCCGATCCAAGTCCCCGGAAACATGGGTTTTTTGGGTTCATGTGAGTAATGAAGCCCGGTTCGAGCAAAGTTTCTGGGACATCGCGGACCAGGTTAAAATCCCGGGTCGTCAAAATCCCAAAGTTAACATTTTCAAATTGGTCGAAAACTGGCTTCGGGATGGCAAGATAGGAAAATGGGCATGTAACATTGATGACGATCAGCTTCTTTGTTCGGTTCCGGTGGCAGGCAAGGGAGATTCGATGAGAGGCCCAACGACCGCCTCGACAAAACCACTGTTAGAATATGTCCCTAGAAGCTGAAATGGATCTATCATTATCACGAGTCGGACTAGGGAGGCTGCATTGAAGATAGTCGATCGCAAGGGCCTTATCGAGGTTAAACCCATGGAAAGGTCCGAAGCACTAGAGCTCCTCCAAAAAAAAGCTTGAACAACCAAAGGAAAGCGAACAAAGTCAACAGTTGGTGAACGCGTTAGATGTTATGCCGCTAGCGATCGTACAGGCCGCTAGCTATATTCGAAATCGGGCGCCTCGTTGTTCGGTGTCGTAATACCTGAGAGATTTCCAAAGGAGTGACCGTGAGGCGATAAAGAAAACAGCACTTCCTTTTCGATGCATCGGCTGGTGCAACTGACTACGCGCGCGTGGTTGAAATCTCATGGACAAATTGACAAATGGAAGGATAAAGTCATTAGCATCCTGTTCGACGAATTTCCCACCGGTGAATACGAAAATTGGGAGAGATGTAGGCCACTTTTCCCTCATGTCAAATCCGCAATGTTGCAGCGGCCTGAATCACGTCGTTGTCTACAACAATGGGCTACGTTGCTTTATAGAGGTGCATGGCATGCGTGGCAGAGTGGCAACATCGTGGATATAAGAGAAATGGCAAGAAAGTCAAGAGGTCAAAGGATGATTTTATTTGACGAAGACCATGAAGATGTTCTTGATACTGCAGCCATGCTCGCAACGGCATACTGGCTTGAGGGCTTATGGGAGGAGGCCCAGCAGCTCCAGGTGCAGGTCATGGAGACTCGCAAGACGAAACTCGGCATGGACCATCCCTCTACGCTGACGAGCATGGCCAACCTGGCATCGACATATAGGGACCAGGGTCGATGGGAAGAGGCAGAGCAGCTCGACGTGCAGGTCATGAAGACGAGCAAGACGAAACTCGGCGTGGACCATCCCGACACGCTGACGAGCATGGCCAACCTTGCCTTCACCTGGAAGTCTTCAGGTCATGATACCCAAGCCCTCGGTTTACTACGAGATTGTCTATCCAAGCAAAACCAAATACTGGGTCTCAATCATCACCGCACCGTATCTACTTCTGAAGTTTTGCTGGTGTGGGAAACAGAGATGTTGAATATTGAACGTAGATGAGTAAGGTACTTGAATATGATGTATTTGCTGTGCATCGAGCCCCACTTCATAGTGTCATTTTGATAGTACATTTAATTAGATAGTCTTCTAATCATAGAAGGATTTTGTGCCGGATTCGCGAAAAAGCGTATCCTTATCATTCTGGCTTGGCTAGCATTGCTGCCAAATTTGAACGTATTCATGGTCAGGGTATTACCGGTATTTTATGTAACCTCATATCACCTGATTTTCTCCTTCCATACGATTCGACATTGGAAATACAGCTATTCCAGGATTGGCCTAGCGTGTCTGAAGCTAGGGTTGGTTCGAGAAGGAATTTGTGTGAGTAAAGTGGTGAATCTGATTTCGATCCATCCTGTAAAATAGAACTGTTCGCGTCGTTGTTTTGCTGCTCGTGGTCGCTGAAGAGTTCGCCAACATTTTCAGAGTAGAGCGATGAAAGTCGATGATCAATTTGCTGATCCCCAGGTGTCGTTTGAGGAGGAGGATCGCTAAGATCACAGATTGCGAGGCGGCGAAGGCGCTGCGCTTGCAGCGATTTTGATCCAGAAAGTGCATGCCACATCATGCATTGTGCATCATGCAGGTGATCTGGCAAGAAGCACGTAATGCATGCGTGAACCCTTGCAGTCTGCATAGGTACCCGTTTTTGAATGAGGCTGCAGCCTCAGGCTTCATACGAGCCAGAGGCGGTTAGCGTTTCTCTTCACATTTGCTCAAAGTGACGCTTGACCCAATTAAGATACTAACCAGAAGGCCATGCGAGATTTGTTTCTACAGAAAAGAGCCTGGGATTAAGAACTACGATTAGCTGCCGCCAAATTTACGTACAATCCTTCGCCGCTAATGCTGAGATCTTGGAATAGGGAGGCTTATTCTCGACTCGCATTTGGGACTATTCGTGCTCTTTGGATTGTAGAGGAACAGCCATATGGTGGCTTGAGCAAGTCATCAAAGCGCTCGGTCAAATGCGGTGAAAGCGAAAAGGGTAGCAGGAGATAGCGGGTGGGGCAATGAGTGCGACACAGAAAGCGACACGTCATATGAATTGGCTCTTCGTACCACTTCTCTTCTAGTCCAATAATTCTAGGCCTACATAAGTCTTGAGATAGTCCAAAGGCGATCAAGCTCTTCTGGCAGGGCATTCCATTTTTGGACTAGTGTTACTCTGAACTCCGGAAACAGAGACGTTATATAGTTCGTCGACGAATGATAAGATTGTTGACAAACAGACAGCAATCAAAACAGACCAGCTATAGTATATAGAAATTATAGGGGAGACTAAACTCACAGGATTTCAATCTCGTGAAGAGTGTAGTCAGAAGATTTTGAGCCACTACAGTCATTGGGCTGTCGCGGCCGTCAGTCAATGGACCTGGAGCCCAGCTAGACCTAGAGCCGTGGACGTACGTCCAGCTTGGACTCAAATCCACAGCCCGAAGTACTTGGCCCCAGATCGGCTGCTCTGGGCCCTTGTCTATGGAACCACAGCCCTCCCACTATAGCTCCTCGGCATTGGACGTGCGTCACTGGACCACTGGCCCCAAAACCGCAGTCATTGTTCCCAAGGCAATGGCCCATGGTCGGTGGCTCGTGAGCCACCTGGGACTATGGGCCAGCTGGGCTCAGTATCCATCAACTGGCGACTCGGTTGGATTACTAACCTGGATGGCCTGGTATCGAGTACTAATATGTTATATTAAATACCTCTGGCCAATAGTCGGCCACCTCTAGCCACTTTGTCCCGGGTTACTTTAAGTTTCTGCCCGAGGTTCATAGATATTGTCGCCCTTCCTCTCTTTATCGGGTCTAGCTCTGACGGACCTGATCCAGTATACATTCAAAACACACCTGACGATCCCTAATTTAGAAAGTTTTTGGTTTCTTTATTCTCAGTCTGTTGATTACCACTCTCCCGAAATCCAGGGCCTTCTCAACGGCTTCTTGGTGAATACAGTGAAAGAACTGGCGTGTTTATTGAAACTATTGGCCAAACAGCAGCCCCACACCACGCCCATTTCCTAATACCCAGGCGACCCCCAAGTCTACTACAGGAATCATTTCAGCCTGTTTCAGTGATATACATGAAGCATACAGGATGTTTGGAGATATGATCTGCGGGACCCCCATGGTGCATATCGGTTCCCCTGAACGCGAAGAAGCTACCTTTCTTTTGCTTCCTCGCGCTACGTCTTGTATCTAGAGTCGACTACAGCTTTATTTAATATTGATCACTGATCTGAATATGCTGTCCCTATCTACGGATACGTTCAGCATTATGGAATCCGACGCGAGTCCAGTGTGTAGTAAGGACAGCCAACTACTCGAGGCTAGAGGGCAGTGCTAGAACTACGCCACCGTAATTTATGGACTATCAAATGCTGTAACTTCTTGATTGGACGCCGTTCGGGTGCTCTCTTCCCCTCCGTTCTCGACTAAGCACTAACGCTCTGGCACGCCAGCTCATTTATGAGTTGGCAGTTAATACCCTATGCCGGCTACCCACGGACTGGCCCTCCTCTCTCCCACGCTGCTTTTGAGGTATAAATCCAAACTCTTAATCCCGTTTTCTTTTCTTGGCTGACTTAAAACCAAAACCCTCGCATATCAGTTCTTCACAACAACTCAATTCAGCCATGGCCCCACAAGCATTTTACTATGCGGTTTATAAAGGTCGAGTTGACAAGCCTGCTATATATTGTTCTTGGTAAATGAGATCAAATCCGGAAAAGTGGCGCTTTTTTCGCTGATGTCCTATCTGTCTAGGAGCCAAGCGCATCCAAGAGTGACAGGATGCGAAGGCGCTGATCATGAAAAGTTGAAAACACTCGAGGCCGCCTGCAATGGAATGTTCCAAAGAGGAATCAAAGATTTTGATATGCCCATCAAAAATTCCGCCAAACAAAATACCATGCCAGTGAATATGGGCAAACATTGGGCTGTAGCTGGTGGCAGGGCTACTGGCATTTTCACCGACTGGAAGTAAGTTTCATTCCTTTCGTATGCAAAGTCAATATCTAATTAGAATAGGAGTGCAGAAAATGCCACCAAAGGGACAAAAGCCTGCTATGAGGCTTTTAGCTCCCAAGAAGAAGCAGAAGATTTTATTGCAAGTTGGAAAGATGCCTTCGCTGACGTATCGCGACTGGCCATCAGACAAGCATTAGAGAATGGATGGAAGCCTCGTAATATGAAGTTTAATGTTGAGTCATTTTTAATTAGAGACAATGAGAATATGATGGGGAAAAACGACAAAGAGATCAAGTTGTGTGGGATTGAAAAAGAGGAAAACCTTAACCTTCTAAACTTTGAAAAGTTGGCTATCAAAGAAGAACATAAGATATGAAGCTTCGTTTACTGGACCCTGGATCTACAATCAATCTATTGATACGTTCTGAAATGCACCCGAATGTACAAATAAAAAGAATTATTACCAAGGCCATAAATCACCGAGCTCGTAATCGCTTTGACCGACGCGGCGTATATTTGATAGTGGACGCATTCATTTTGCCTGATCGTCCTTTACCCCTCTGCGACCCCCCAAGCTGCTCTTCTGGGCGCCCTCTTTTTCGAGACGAGCGCGTCGCATGCTGTGATGAAGATTCCAGCCTAGGACCAGGTTCTGGATATGCCGCCTGTGTGGCTCCCCTCTTCACTCGCCTTGTAGAAATCTCCGCCAACTTTGAATCGGTGCTCGTTGTTTGACATCCAGAAGAGACGGAAATGTCGATTCTTTACAGGCAGGTTGATGGCTTGACGACAATGATAGGGCCGGGTCTCATCAATCGAGGATCAATATTTGTCATATCAAAATCGACAGAGGAGGCGGGAGTTTCAGTGCCTTGCCGATTCTCAGATTCCATAGAGGTTTCCCTAGAAAAACCGTCGCCGTGGCTAACCCGTGGCCTTTCGGTGAGATGACATAGTTTAATATTGACATCATATTTGTGTTCATTATTAGCATGGGCTAAGAATTCGGTGATTTTGGCAAACTTGGGAAGATCGAGACAGGCTTCCCAGTTACAGCTGATCCCGTCGTGTGCATGAAGCAGATGAGAGTCGATGAGATGACGACGAAGTGAGTCCGGTCGCTTGGAAGGAAATTTATGTGGAGGAGGGTTCGACGCCGAGCGACCAGATTCACCAAAGCAGATGATGCAAATATCTGTTGGACATATTTGTGTATTATCATCAGACGCCAGTTGCTTGGGCTGTTCGATAGGTATGTTTCCCTCTTCATCGAGATCCCAATTGACACGGTTGCCTCGCCTGCTCGGCTCGCAAAGCAGTAAAAGCGCAACCATGTCCTTGGTAACCTGGATGCGTCGAATAAGTAATTTGTCCTCATGGAAGTCTTCTGCGTCAGGACCGTAAAAGTTCTCCACAAGCCGAGCTCGTTCAGGAAATACGTAGTCCGGGATAGGGAGCTCCCAGTCTTCTTCAGCGGAACTATCAGCATCGCGTTCCTCAACATCAGATTCGCCGAGAAGCATTTGCTTGATCTGTCGGTCAACTTCAAGCACGGGGGCATTATTAAAATAGTCCTTTCTGGCTGTCTCGCGAGTTTCGATCGCCAATGATTTCCGAAGTTTGGCCAGATCTTTCTTGACGGTCTCATGCCTTTGGAAGAGGCGTGGAAAGGTGTCACGGGCGTTCTTGATTGTGCCAGTCACGGACCGCATCTCCGCCATAAGCTCTCTTTTCTCGCGTCTCAGTTGCAGAATTTCAGAGTTTTGGCAAATAGCACGTTTATGAGCTTCGGTAAGATCAGATGGTGCCGATAAATCTCTCTTCCTAAGCATGCTCCCAGCGAAGCGTACCAGACCTTCTTGGGAGGGCCGAAGAAGAACGACATGCTGAAGGTCGCGCGCAATAAATTGTGATTGGTAATGCTTTTCAAACACCGCGTCACCAGACTGCCCGAGCACCCTTTGTCGCTCCTGGCTGGTAAAATTTTCTGCGAGTAGATAGTCAGCTCCGTTGCGAGAGATCCCATTATCATAGCGAAAACGAATCCATCATATCGCGCTCAGCAAGTGACATGCTGTTGACTTCATTTGCCGTCCAGCGGCGAAAATTGTAATGCCCAATATCGTCTTCGAATCTAGCATCTCGACCCAACTCCTTGAGCGCCTGCCGACCTGAATCATAGGTCATTGGCAAAGACCCATCGAGTCCGTAGCCGTATGGAGTGCGTCCAAGACGTCGAAGGAGAGGCACATTAAGAACCTCGGGCTTCTACCGGAGGGGAAGAGATGAACTGCCTCTTGGAACTCGTAGCCGCCAAATGAGCTCTGGGGTGAGGTCGGCATTGGCAAAAGCTCCATCGCGGAAAGCGAACGCAATGATCTGAGCTATCGGGCAATATGCCAGTTGATAATCGCCGTACATGAAGAATTTGGTTCTGTTGGCAAGGATCAGTATCGAGGTTGGTTCATGAGAAATTCGACTCAAAATTTCAGCTTACCCATCAGCGCCTTCCGGTCGACCTTTGAGATTGCGAAACTCGATGATGGCACAGAGGACATCACGTTTACTTTGAAGGTCTTTCAGGTAGAAAAGTTCGATATCGCGATAGCAGACCGAGTCCGGAAGATCTTTCAAGGAAATGTGCTTTGGAAGATCACTCTGGAAGGTGTCATCCCGTTTGCGTTTGCCCAAAACTGGATTGCCAGGCGACGAGGTGTCTTGAGGAAGCAAGACGCCAGGTCGCGTGCCTGTAATGGCGGACCAGAGCTGGACTGTAGCAAACTGAATAATCATGCTCCCGTGACGAAAGAATCTCGAATGGACCCAGTGATGCCGGTAAATCACACCAAAAGCATCCACATCTAGAGTATTTTTGTCCTTTGTTCGTCGGGGAATTTTGCGCTCGGCTGGGAATACACCTTCGAGAAACTTTCCAAAGGTAAGCATACGCTATTAGGAACAGACAGGATATGACTTACTCGTCGCATCTGTTGACGGGCATCCTCACCGACGCGGCGACGGGCGAATAGCTCGAAGTATTGACAAAGGCGTCGCCAGTATTCATCATATGACTGAAGCAGTTTCTTTCGTGATGTTTTGAACATCCAATCAAACAAGTTCATGTAGATCGTCGGGTCTTCCAAAAGAATAAAGTCCACATAATCCTCGTTCGATTGAATGCAATATCTATTCCCGTGTTAGTTTCAGTCACAAGACTTTTCCCGACCAAGAGAGCACTCACTTTCGCCAATAACGTTCGACGACAGCGATGCCTTCTAAGGTCTTTGGCTTAAAGTTTGGAGGGAGCTATCCAAGACTGCGAAAATGTTCCAGTCTTGCTCGAGTTTCCTCGCAAAGAATGGGATCGGTCCAGTATTGGTGCTCATCGGTTTGAGCCGGATGTACAGGCGTAGGTGCCATGGAGGAGAACAGAACAAAGACTGAGGTGGGAAATTTATGTTGTGGGAAACGACAAAGTCGAGGTCGTCTCGAGGCGTGGGCAACGAGGATGAGAGAATGGGAGGTGCAAGGACACCGGAGGGGAGGGAAGGCGAAGCATCTTATAGGCGCTCAAATGGACCGGGCGAAAAGGGAGGGAACTTGAATTCAGCTGAAAGGGAGCCATTTTCGGCGTCGTTTTGGTCGCCAGTGGAAACGAGGGGAATAACCGTGTAAGTCGAGCGTCAACATCAGGACTGGAGGATGACTAACATTGCTGGGCGGGTGCAGAATAGTGGTGTTATGGGCAGTGGGCGGTCAAGGGGCGGCTGGACGTCCAAAGTTACGGGTGGAAAGGCAGCCGTTTCTGGCCTCAAAAGCGGTCATTTTCGGCATCAATCCCACAGGTCCTCATATTCTAGTTGTGATTCTTACTGTAGTACACGATCGGCAGTTCGTCCTCATCTGCTACCAATAGTGCAGAGTTTTTCTTTTGGAATGGTATGCCAGCATATATAGCCAAGTTTGTTTACATATAAATACATGAAACTGCCAAGACCTTCTAAAGTAGTATCATTTACACATGCTTATGAAACAAATAGGTCGGAGTTGAGTTACCCGGTGATTGGCAATGCCAAAATTAAGTCGAAAGCATCGCTCGTCTTCGAGCAAAGCCACTACAGAACGAGGAAGCGAGATGGAGCCGCTCTTAGGGCATCTGGCGCAGGAACAGACGTCCAGCTATCATTAGATGTTTCAAATTCGCAATATATTTGTATCGCTATCTCATTCAACTATTGTAAACTCGATCCAGTTACTAGCCGGCACCACAAGTTCAGGCTGGCGTCCATTATTTTGCGAATAAAGGACCCTGCCATTAGCCCAAACCACAGTATCTTTATGATCATGTAAATTTTCTCAATCCCACCAGTCAATTGAAGCTCCCTTGAACCCGTATCGAACCTTATCACCGGGGGCTATATTTTGCGAGAAGTCACTCACCTCCCGCGTAAATGACCACGAATCTCCAGGCATCAGGGCCACGACATCATTCTGGTCGTTACGGCTAAATTTTACCGGAGTGGTAGTCGAAAATCTGTACTCGTGGAGCGTAAACAGGTCCCTAAGTTCATGTGGACTCCAGTCATCCTTGTCTTTCTCTCCAAAGTAGAGCCAAAACCCGTCTTGGCGGCGATCAATATCTTTGAACTTGAACGTATGAAATGTAACCGGTTTTCTGTCAAAGGCAACCGGGGCTGTATCATACGAGAGTGTGGCTGTGACAGGATAACGAAGTCTACCCACTGGAGTGCGATCTTTCATCGATTTCGTAGCAGGTCCGGAAATGCTAAGGCTAAAATATGGGGCGCAGCTCATTCTAGCAAATGCTAAAATAGGTCCGGGCGAAGGTGGCAATGGGCCCACATCTTCTATATCGCTTTCCTCGGCGACAATGACCAGTGACTGTTGTGACCCGCCGGCTAGTACCACTGCAGGGGGCTTAGGGCCGAATCTGCGGTTACTGTACTCCCCTAATGTGCCCCAGTCCCACAAAGGAAATTGGCCGCCTGACCAAAATATATCGTAAAACTGTCCTGCTCGGAACAAATCGAAGTAGACAGATGTTAAGGCTTCCTCCTAGAGAACGCTGCTACCTGGGTTAAATTTTTTGAAGCACGAATCTAACGTGTTCACTTCTCGTGGGTGGAAGGATTTTGCCTGCAACTGCTCTATGCCGGCTTGAAGGGGTTGCAGATTTTCCGTGTAGGGAAAATTAGAACGGAGGAGCATCATACCCGGCTGACTAAATCCATCCTTGATAGGGTTCCAGTGGATGATGCATGGTTATCTTTGAGGATCATCTGCATCTCGCGTGATTATGATGGTGATAGAACACCGCGCCTCAACCTCGATATCTAGATCCCGTTTCGCTTCGAGAGTAAGGATGAGGCAAGGAGTTTCAGATCTATTTGGCTTAGTAATTGATTTTCTTTTAGGGTAGCTTGTCAGGGAGCATCGTACGGTCTGTCCGCGTCAGAATCTCTAACGAAGGGTGAAAACTTACCCATTCCGGAGTCATATGAAGTTCTGGAGGTGGGAAGTTGCAAGGTGGAAAAAATGAGGGCAGCAGGTAGGCAGAATTACATTCGGTGAGACACCCAATTCATTGGCTGTAATTAGTTGTCTCGGAAATTTAATGACAGCTTGGTAATAAGGACTGACAAACTAAGGGAGCGGTCAATTACCGCTATGACCTTTTGAGATAGGCTTGTTCACCACTCGAATACGGTACCATAACATGCCAGAGCACGAATTTTGCAGCCCCCAGAGATCGTTCAACCGATCTCTACACCCTCAATCAATCATTGATTTCTATTGGACATGTTCAGTACTAGCCACTAACCGTGAAAAACTCTCACTCTCCCCACCCGTACTTCGGGTTCGATAGTTGTGCAGTTTGAACATTGATGTAGATGGTGTTCTAACTTGGGCTCATCTTCTGCATCTTCGGAGATCCGGCGCGGCCTCTTTGCCGGCCGGTCATTTGGGGAAGGCAAAATGGGATGGTCCATCGTGGTCTTTGGGGAATGAAATGTAAGAGACATTGTACTGAAGAGTCTTTTATAGTCCGGCAGTCATACTGAGGCTGCTGTTATTGCAACCTACGACCGTCCCGGCCTGAGTTCGACCGCCTTTGAAAGAGTTAGTGGACGGTCAATTCAACTATTGACGCTCAATTTCACCTGCTGCTCACCCCGAATTACTCAATTTAACGCTTAAATGAGCAACCAATAAATCCTTAAAACAAAAAACTTGCAGAAACTACTTTTCAATGGTAGTTTCCAATGTAACCCTTTTGCATTGAATGCTGCTTAATGAGTAAAAATCGTTGGAGTTCAAATGTGACGTTATTATGACTGAAACCTATTCGAAGCCTAGAGGTGTAGCTAATTAGTCTGAGCATTAATATTAACTGACACTGAAAACAGTCAATCAATCATCAATATGGCGTTATATAACAAGAGCTGTTTAAAGTAGCTATCTCTAGCTCTTATATACTATGCAACCCTTAACCTCGCAGACCGCTTCAGCGATGTTTAAGAAGTGTTGTCTTCTTCTATTCTGATTCGGATGCCCGCTTAGATATAATCGTTCCTTGCAAGATCTAGAAATCTCTTCAAAGGGAAGTATTTCAGTCTAGGATCCAGAATAAGTGCATTAATGATTGAAAGATGAGATCGACAGCCCCATAATAATCCACCGGGCCATGAGATGTTATCTCCGGCGAAAATATTGTTCTCAGATACCAAGCAGCAATGATATCATTTCGTTGAACCCTAGTTAGAGGATAACAAGATCTTGAGAATTATCAGCTGAGGGGTTCATGTCTCAGCTCCAGCGTAATAAGCATCCCAGGAAAACCAATCGAACATGTTTCCTGAAATTCTTCTTATTTGGCTAACACCAATGCACGCAGGCTCGTGTTGATCACCTGGTTGTGTAGTAATCGTGGGGTTTATCTCCGTAGGCAGCCATTCAAGGTAATTGGCAACGTTCACATTTCGAATGTCAAGATCAATCAGGTCGTTACAATGTTGCCCATGATCTATCGGTGCTTTGAGCTTTTTGTGCGTAGGTTCAATAGAAAGTCGACGAGAAACATGGTTCTGTGCTAGTTGAAGGTAGACAGAAGATGTGTGCTGCAATCTTGAACACACTGTTGCTAACAATCTCATCTGAGATCTCATCTCTGCGAAGTAGCTTACTGTCGCGGACAGTAATGATAGATCATTGTTTATAGTAGTTGAAGGCGAGTTCTTGTTGCCAAGAATGTGTTCAAATATCACAAAGAATGGGGTGAACGGGCAGTAGAGCAATTGCCTTCACAATACGTATTAGCGAGTTTCATAGTAAAGCTAAGAGAGGGAGATTACCAAACAACACCATTGTAGACGGAACTCCAGTTAGAGACGATAGAGTTTAAGATGGCAATAGCTTCACGAGCAGACGAGAGACGAACATCATAGGAGGCTGAGTCGCCTTTGAGTAAGAGGATGAGAGAATGTAAGTACTGGAACTTGATAGTGCTTATTCCCAAAGACATCTCTCTGACTTGGCTAGCATTCGCGAAGCGGCTTTCGTCGTTCAGGATTTGTGTAAGAGCCTTTAATATATGATCGGTCAGTGTCAATATGGGCACTTCATTGGCAGGGCACAAACCTGGTTCGTATCCGAAAACCAACCCTCAAGTTTTGATCTTATCTCTCCCTTTGCAAGAATAGACCCGCCTGTTGCCAAGATCTCCCCAAGAGAGCCCCCTAGCTTTGCCCATTCAATCGATCGGGTAACAAGTTCAGCACCAAATTGAGATCCCTGGGCGCAGCTTTGGTAATTCACAAATGCAGCACGTTCATGTGGATTGAAATTCAGTAAGGAAGACCTGTGAGGTAAAGGGACATTCTTGTACACGGCCGTTGGAAGGAAAGCCGGTCGCCCAAATGCAAGCGAGCAGGATTTGTCGATCATAAATAGGAGCCAGAAGAGGCAAAGGCGCTGTTGTCCTGCTTTCTCGTCGCGTTGACTAGTAGAATGGAGTCCTAACGCCTCTGCTTGTCTGCAGGCATGTCCTAAGAGCATCCAAGATAGATTTGGTGAGGCGTAGTCTTCGCCATGCATTGCCAGGAAACACAAGGCCTGAACATTAGCATAACGCGGCTCGAGAAATATTCGGCTGTCATCAAGCGCAAGTTGAACATTGCGACGGAATTGATTTGTGTCTTCACTTTCCCCACTCTCATTAGAAGCGATCGAAAGCATCATATAGTTGAAGTAGATGACCCATGCCTTCTCTCGGACTTGATGTGGTTCAAAAACCACTTCCCTTATGAGATCATCGGATGGGGATGTAAAGAATGGCTCACCGAGCTCACAATACTCCAGGAATCCTAGTTCATTGGTTCAGATGTCATTCAAAATGCGTGTTTGAGGCGAAGTGGCACCTTACGGCCAATCAGGCGGTAGCCCGCCGGTTTGGTTGGTAGATGATACTCAGCAGAGCTTCTCAAAGCTTGTTTTCCCACTTCGGCAGTGGTTAATCTACTGGACAAATATTGAAACTCCGTTCGGGCTCTCTGTCGAATGGTATCTCCTGGTACTTGAGGAATTGTATCAACATTAGCTGAAGTGTCCTTCAAGAAAGAGAATGAAGTTGATGGGCCGATATAGAGTTTTGCATGATCGCCGCTATTTTCTGGACCGACGCAGGGTATATATGAGGCTTCCGTCTGCTTGTTTTCATGTTGACGTGAAAAATCGAGGTTCTGCAGTACTCGATCAATTGATTGTGTCAACAATTGGACTGTTTGCTCGAGTTGGCCCAGTCGAGTCTCAAAGGGTTGCTCTGTGCTGGGCTCGATAGAGCTGATATGGTCAGTTCACCCTTCATTCCATTTTCCTTTCGAGGAATATAATATGATACGGGGGCTCACGCGCGATTAGGAACTTGATTAACGGGAGTGGACTCGTCACGCAGGTATTCGCAGCTACCAGGCCATGGCTTGCAATTGGCGCATTTCGGAAGCTCTCGTGAGCATCTTGCACTTTTTAAACAAAAATTTCACCCTGCTTAGGTTCGAAAATAACATACTTTACTTTTTTCTGCCTGCAAAACCCACACTGCTCCAGTCAGATTAATCATAACGACGCCCGCGTATGTCAACGGATTCACCCACTGAGAATCTAGCCAACTTAGCCTCCATAATTTGAAAAGGAGCAATATTCCTGAACTCAAATCAACGGCAGAAATTTTGCTGGTTGAAGAAAAAGTGAGGGAGAACGCGGTGTTGATCGGGATTGTTGTCCGAAAAGGGGAGCTCTGATTGGTGAAGTTCGGAGCTTCCGAGCTCAACCAATCAACATGCGACTCTTCGGACTTTTCTCCTTTGATATTCTTGTTTGCGCCTAAATTAAAGAATACTCTCTCGGAACAATTCCGGCACTGTCCAATGAGCTTTCTTCAGCTAAGAGCGCATCTATAATCTCAGAATTTATAGGACGTCATTCTCGAATATCAAATTCAATGCACTGACATGGCAACTTTCATTATAAAAAGGGCCGTCCGCCAAGTATCACTCACAAATATATGGACAACATCGATCCGACCTGTTATATATCTCGGCTTAGTCCTCAATTCACTTCACTACTATTCGACGGCAATAAGAATGGCGCCATCCACAATTGCCATCATTGGCGGCGGACCGAGCGGTCTTGTTCTCGCCCGACTCCTCGAAGTGAACGGCATCACCGACTATGTTGTCTTCGAGCGTGATGAATCTTCCACACCAGGGCCCAACCAACAGGGAGGCACATTGGACCTGCATGAATCCTCGGGTCAGCTGGCACTCAAAAAAGCCGGTTTGTTTGACAAGTTCAGCAAAGAGCTTGCCCGCTGGGATGCTGCCTGCCTCTGTCTACTTGACTCTGCTGGCGACACGATTGCCAAATTCAGTGATGTTGGAGCTCGTCCAGAAATCGATCGTGTGCAGCTGCGCCGCCTGTTGCTTGACTCGATTCCTCCGGAAAAAATTCGCTGGGGTCATGGTGTCCAATCCGTTGAGAAGGGCTCTAGTGACGAGAATACCGTCGGCAACGGTTGTGTGATAAATTTCACCAACGGCACCTCAGCCAGTGGATTCCGCCTTGTGGTGGGTGCTGATGGTGTTTGGAGCAAAGTCCGTTCTCTGGTGAGCGAATATAATCCTAATACCCCATGCTAATTTGAATCCTCCACTAATAAAAATCCTCTTCTTCTCTCCCAGATCTCCCCAGCCAAGCCTATCTATTCAGGCAAGCTATATATAGAGGGCAGACTGTCGCATGATAACCCGAGCTATTCAAGTGCGCATGAGTTGGCTGGGCCAGGAAACATGATGGTATTGGGCGACGAAAAGATGCTAGCCGTGCAACAGCTTTCGGATGGCCATTATAGGGTCTATTTCGGACTCGTCGTGCCGGAAGATTTTTATCAACGCGAGAGCGCAAGCAAGATTGACCCAAATGCCAAAGCAGCCATCATTCGCTCCCTGCTCACATCATCCGAAGAACTTTTCGCTGACTGGGCCCCCGAAGTCAAGGCATTTATCCAGAATGCAGAAGGACCATTCCGGCCATGGCCGCTCTTTTTCATCCCACCGGAAAGTCTCGGCTGGGAACGCGGTGTGGCTCCAGGTGTAACCTTGATGGGCGATGCTGCGCATGCTTCCTTGCCATTTGTTGGTGAAGGTGTCAACTGTAGCATGCATGATGCTGTCGTGTTGGCGGAATGCCTTGTTAAGCATTGCGGAGGAAACAGAGCGTTTGCCAGTGTACAAGAATCATCATTAGAGGCGGCATTGGGCGAGTACGAAAATGACATGTATATCCGTGGCCAGGATTTGATCAAGCGAAGCGCTGAGAGCGGGAGACGATTGTTCTCGAACAACGCCGGTCCACTGCTTCTCGAGATGTTCAGCGGTGCTGATGAGACGGCTTCTGGGAACTGAAAGCAATAACTGCATCGATCCGAAATCGGAGAATCGAATACGTTTACGTATTATGGTGATATGGTATAGATACATTGTCCATCGATGTTTAGAGAGTCTAGCTACACTCTTCGTTGATACTTTTATTGCTTTCTTCTTGGGCCCCTTCTACATGTATGTCAACTTCACTCATCTTTCAAACTTCTTTTGGATCTTCTTAAACACCGTGGATATGCAGCAGCTTGCAATATTCATGGATGTAGATGAATCCTTGTTTCTCCTGTATAAATTACGGATTAAATATTCAGAATTGAATTTATTTCGTATGTCTCTAATCTATTTATAATATAATTATTAGGTTCATTTGTTCTCAGCGCTTACATGTACCTCTCAATCCCATGGAGATCATACAAGGGGCAATGTAATATGAAGATATGAATATTGTATTGCGGACGGAGAAGAGAAAGAGAGAGAGAGAGAGAGAGAGCGAGCGAGAGAGTTCTATCTATCTACTCATCCATCGGACACTATCCCCGTGTGGGATGTCACCTGACATCCCCAACAGATTTCCGGACTCCAAACACCGTTATTGCTCCGACAACACTTGAAAGAATTGGTCCTGGATCGAAGCTCTGGGCTCGCTACACAAAAATGGATAAAACCCAATTCAATGAATGGTAGCGAAATACTGAGGGTGCCTAACCACACGCTACACGACGCAAAGTGAACTTCGAAGCGAACTATACATCACCAAACTGGGAACACTTCGACCAAGTTGCACACTATCAGACTGGGTAGCTGATGGCTCTTTGTCGATGATGTGGATAGATGATTCCCCATCCATCACAATTGGAGGGTCTATATTCCTTGAAAAAGCACCGCGAGAGCAAGTCCTGTCAGCAGGGTGACATGAGTTCTTCTGTTCAGCAGACACTAAGACAATCGCTACTGTTTGTGGTAATATATACTATTATAATTTCTACACTGAAGATAGGGAACGAATTCAAATTAATTTGATCACTATGGGCCTGCTCCCATTCGAGTACCTTGCACACCCGGAGATCTTCGAATTTGTTCGGTTGACTCGGCTCTCAAAAGGTATACCTCCGATACGGCATCGATTGAAATAGAAAGGCAGGCGTATCGCTCTTGATTTCAACTTATGATTTGGTGATTCATGTACCAGAAGCCATAGACCAATGGCTGTAGGATTACTTATAGAAGATAAAAAAAAAACGCAAATCGTTTTGGAGTTATGATTGAATGAAGAACGAGCCAACCAACTAGAACGCCAACATCATTCCAGACAATTGGATATATCCCGGTGCCCCACAGATAAAAGAAGACTTCATTTCATCAAAGCCATAGTAAATATCCGATGACAACATGTTTTCCGTTGTATCAATGTTGAATGATCATTTCTGGGCTATCGAGGTGACCTGAGCCCATTTTCTGACAGACTCCCGAACCTCTAATTGTTTATGAAATTCTAGTACCTCAGCGTACCTGAAACAAAGTCAGCATTTTAATAGTCAAATGTAGGTTCGAACATACAGTTTCTGCTTCCAGGAGCCGTTAGAACAGTGATCACCGTTGAACGTCTCATCGAATGTTTCTCTAGCAACAGGTTCATCTGTGGGATCATGATAGGATACAAGATACGGAGCGTTAAGAGCGCCAGATGCAGAAATCCTGCCGCATGGGTCGAAGACGAGCATTTGTTTGAGGAGATAGAGTGCTGAAATTTGTAAACAAACAGTCCGCTAACACAGGCATGAAACATACCTTTTGGGTCGCCACCAGAGAACACACTTAAGACACCTGCAGCTTCGCGATGAGGGAGTGATTGAAGGAAGTTCATGGTCTGCCACAGCTTCAACAGTCAGCACTTTGCTAATCAATTATTTGATGCCGCAGGTAGATTTTCATATAAACTGACACTTTTTGAGGTTGTCCTGGCCAGAATATTCTCATCAGGTGTTCCAAGCAACTCTGTAATGGCACAGAGCTGATCCATGTGGTCCCTCCCTGTGAAAAGAGGCTTCCCTTGTAGCATTTCAGCAAGGATGCATCCTACGCTCCAGATATCGACCTGTTCACTATAGCTCTGGCAAGTCAACATGATTTCTGGAGCCCGGTAGTATCTACTTGAAACCCAGCCCGTCATCTGAGGTTCATGGACTCGAGTCAATCCGAAATCGCATATCTTGAGATCACAGTCCTCATTGATTAGGATGTTCTCGGGTTTAAGATCGCGGTGTATCACGCCCGCTGAGTGTACGTATTTCAGTCCTCTCTAGACATATAATCAGTAACAATTATTTATGAAGGACGAGGGGTAGGCGAACCATAATCTGGTATAAGAAGAACTGAACAAACTCATGGTCAATGAATTTCGTATTCATAACCGTTCGCAGATCGGTCTGCATGAGGTCTGTGACTAGATATCTGCCGAAATCAACAAATAGCACTTAAATTTACAATTGCATTGAATTTTCGCACATATCTTCTGTGGGAGATATGAATATGTCAAGCGGACGGAGGACCTGTGACTCAATTAGCTTGGATTGCGGAAAAATTGTTGTTCACGTAACGCACATTTTCATGTTGCAAGTGCTTCAGCAGTTTAATCTCTCTGAAAATATATTGTGTAGTAGCGGGCGTTCTGAACGGCTCCAGTATCTTTTTCACCGCAACATATTGCTGTCTTATTTGATCCCACGAAGAGCTGATGTAGAAACAAGCTGTCAGTGACTCGCAACGGATGCTTTTTGTATACGAAAATAAACGGTGGGGACAGACCACACAAGTCCAGAAACACCAATTTTCAGACTTTTGTGCCTAGTATATCTGAGTTACAGGCCAAATAAGTAGGTGACCTCTGTGTGAAATCGAAAGCTAGTGTCAAGATATATGCACCTATCTGGTGTCTCAATAATGCCACCCAGAACCGTACTTCGGACAGACTGCGCCATGGCGTGGAGGAAGGAAGCGATTAGCACCTCTGGAATGATGTTCGTCAGATGACGAGAAAACGGTCGATGATAATGAAATCGAGCGTTGGAAGTTTCAGATATAGGAGTTCGAGCAAAATGAACAATAAGCCTGTTGAACTAAACTACGAGCGATCCAACCATATCTAACCGATAATCGTAATAGAATGAGGCACTTCCAAGATTTTGATATAGCTGCCGCAGATTTCGCCTCCGAAACTACGACGGGGGGAGCGAGCCTCGTCGATCTTTGCGCCAGTAGCTTATTAAACTGGAGGGTGCAAAGAAAAACTTGTCTCATAGTCTGTAGATCGTTAGGTTCCAGATCAGGTTTTTTTTAGTAGAGTCGAGTGAAAGCGGTCGACGCTGGTATTCAGTATCTTTCCGTTTTGCCTTTGCCTAAAGGTTGTATAATTGTGTATCGCCATACAGTATTTTTCGATCCAGGGCAAGGACCAAAGATCGGTAAAAATATCCAGCCAATTGGAGCAAGACGGCTGCTAACTCCGTATCGAAGATCCCTCCTGATTGACCGGCTACTAGTTCCGGACTTTTGGTATTTTCGTAGCTGTGAGATATCGAACTGGTGCTTCAACCCCATTCTTTTGCTCAATTCTCAACAAATCACTAACTCATCAGATTGGCTGTATCTTGAACGTCGGAATTATTCTTTCACTGTATTAAAAACCGTTGTTGCCAGCCTACCTGTAGTTATTAGCACTGGGACCGAGTTTCATCTAACGGGCTAAGAATGACGTGTGAACTTGCATTGTTTTGCCGGGCCGCGACGCTTTAGTATATTTCCAGGACAATCAAGTATGATGCGATACACAAAACTTTCAAATCAGTAGACGTAGTCCTCATATATTACAATGCACGGTTGAGCGACGTTAATTTATTTAATCAACATAGACTTAGTCCGATCATAACATCTTATTAGAGAATTGATTTGCATAATCCTTACCTACTCGGAATGGAGCCTTAGGAACCAGCAGAACCCCGACACCAAAAAAAGAAGGCGTATGACCCCGCAGACTGGGACAATTTTAGCGACGAAGTACTTCGACAGATAAGACCATTGGATAATGTGAAAACCAGACCGGCGCTAGATGATCTAGTCGAAAGGCTCACGAAGGCGACTGCCACGGCAATGGATAGATATACCCCCAACCTGCGACCAACACCGTACTCTAAACGCTGGTTCACGCCGGACCAGAATGGCTCTTGAGGGTCTGTCGCTCTTGACATGTTGTCGTATCCCATAGCCTGATTGTGTTGTCGCCCGAGCCTGAGGCTAGTGTGTGCCCGTCGGGTGAGAAGACCATTGATGTAATCACATCACAATGTCTCTCGAGGATCTGTCACTCTTGACACGTTGGATTTCCCAGGGGATACACGGCTTCTAGACATGCTTTTGAGCTTTTCAGGGTCAATATATCAGTTGCCAGAGCCAAATAAACGATCAGTTGATTTAATCGAAGCAGAAGTAATTCCAGAACTACCAGCTGACAATTGTCTGGTGTAGAGCGATCTTTGATTTCTCCATCGACATCACCAATTGCAGCTTATTATCCCATGGAAGTTGGTTTCCCCAGGTCATCCTCACCGTGCCGAATGTAAACTTACGACTGAAGGTATTCATGTAGGTGGAATGGGGCTCGTACTCGGTTTCCTTTCACCCATCGAGCTATTGACCGCACATAAGCCACACGCCGGTAGATTAGTAGTATAATGGGTGACCACATGCGAATCTCTGCTGTTGTATGTCCGCATTCACCCGTTTTTTTGGATTCGTTGGGAAATCCCATCTTACCGCCCTACTCTTCAGCCCGTTCAGCCCATTCACCTGAATGCTCTGAACGCCACTATTCTGCACCTGAATATCCTGCATGCCCCTGAACCGCTGATGTGTCGTTCCCCTCCCATACTGATATTTTCTCACAGCGTGTGGTTACAGTCACAACTCTTTGGTCTGGTCTTGGCTACAAAATTTCCCAAGAAATCGTAACATTATTAACACTTGGAAATTGAAACGGTCTATTGATAACTTCAATGTTTTGTCGCTTCTCTATAATTTGATCGCATCATTCTACCCATGAAAAACCGAGTATATAATCTTCTTCTTTCCGCGCCATAGAATAAGTCCAACTTCGGAAAGGTGTTGCTCGAGACAAATTCGCCCGCGATCCACATCGTTTTCCCAATCTAACTTCTACAGCCATTATTTATCTATGCCAGACCAAAAAGAAGACGTCAAATGGGAAGTCGAAGAAATCAAGTGCCACAAGATGAACTTCATTAAATCAAAAACATCAATGGACATGAATCTACCCCGAATCACACCTCCTTATTGGCCAAAACACACACACACCAGTCCTCTCAATTGGAGAGGCTATGAAAAAGCTCCTACTCATTCGACGAGGAGTCGATCTCCATATCACCGACGAGGTAGTCCTCGCCGCCGCGAAAAATGGGGGAAGTGGAGCGGCTGTGAGGTGGCTTATACTCGACTGGCAGCGAGATAACTTCCAAATCTTTAAGATGGCCTATAGGGTTTTTATATTGGCCTTTATATTTGAGGTTAGCTGTCTAGAAAATAGGGGAATAAGCCTCTCGTTTCCTGTTTTGTATCTATAAACTTATACAACCAGCCTATCATTCCGGTGGCATTTTTCGTGGAGATCATACAATAGAATATGAATGTAGATGAAATATTGTATTGTGGACGGAGGAGAGAAGGAGAGAGAGAGAGAGAGCGAGAGATATCTATCTATCTACTCCATGGGAGACTATCCCAATATGGGATGTCACCTGACATCCCCAACAATTTTAAAGTTATCCATTCCTGGTAATTTGCAGTGTATCACTCTCAAATCCTTCAACCTCCCTGAACTATCTCCAAGGTCCGTATTTTACTCAACGAGAGTAATTCCGCGTCATATAGTTGAATTATGATGCAATTGGGATTAAAAATCGAGGCACTTATCAATGATCCTGAGAGCTAAGATCTAGATGTTCTGTTGATCCAGGAGCCATCCATTAGTAAGTATCACACGCTTGTCAACTACAGCGCCTGGCGACTTTGTCGACCTACGCTTGATGATTGTTGAATGGTGGGATCAGAGAAAGGACTCGTACATCTCTCACCTGGCCCACCAAGTGAAACTCGCCACGGCCTAGGATATTACAATGACATTACTTAGCCGGGTAGATAGTATTAACAACTATAGGTAGAACCAGTCTCCAACTAGTACTACCACATGTTGACTGCAAGGCCATTATTTAGGGTTCCACTTTTTATAAGGCTCGAATCGTTATATTCAACAGAACAGAGAGACATTTTCTGGGTTGGTGGGTAGGGAAGCAGATATGCTTGAGACCAGAATGAGTCAAAGGGAGCAAATGTCGCCCACCTCGGCGCCCTTCTGAAGCAGCAACTCCACCACCTCTTTGTGGCCTCCAGATGAAGCCGCCTGGAGTGCATTGCTGTGTTCACCGCCCTCCACATTGACTTCGGCGCCCTCCTGAAGCAGTAACTCTACCACATTTTTGTGGCCTCCATATGAAGCCGCCTGAAGTGCATTGCCGTAGAAACCGCCTTTCGCGTTAACCTCGGCGCCGTTATGAAGGAGTAACACCACCACCTCTTTGTGGCCTTCAAATGAAGCAGCGTGGAGTGCATTGCCGTAGGAACCGCCCTTCGCGTTGACCTTAGCGCCGTTCTGAAGTAGCAACTCCACCACCTCTTTATGGCCTCTAGATGAAGCTGCCTGGAGTGTATTGCCGTGTTTACCGCCTTCCGCGTTGACCTCGGCGCCACCCTCTTCTATCAAAAGTCGAATTATACGTAGAAGACCTGTCAGAGATGCGTAGTATAACGGACTCGCCATGTCTCCTCTATTTAGATGCTGTTGTCGTTTCCAAAGCTGATCTCGCACGAAGAGCTTACCCCACACTGTATATGCTTGACCTTGCTCGAAGAAAAACTTCTAGACAGCTTCTATCACGTCCCTCACTATCTCTGTAGGCTGTGTATGAACCATCAGGTAAGAAGCGGAATACTGCGCCAGCGGAAACTCGCTCCTGATTTCCCGGGTCGGTTTTCCCTCATCAATATACGACAAGTATGACAAACATAGTAATGCCATCTCCACATATGATTGTGTCATGTTAAACCGTCCTTTCCACTTTCCTCTTAGGGGCTTCACTAGAAACTCCCTGGCTCTCTAGTGGATAAAAAACAGCTTCCCCTCGTGAACGTGGATAAACAGGCCATATAGATTTTTGACTCTAACCTCGAAATTCTTGGCTGGCTATAAATTTTCCTTTAGATCAGCATAGGAACTGAATTTCCGCTTTTCTAAAGCTATAGTCAGGGCTATATTGGCTTTATCAAGCGACAGTGGCCTTGCTGTAGCCAAAACAAGTTGAAGAAGAGTTGCCGTTATAAAGTCATCCTGGCTCTGGTTAAGGATCTTTTCGTATGCGTCTAGAACCTCGGAAGGTAGACTAGAAAGAAGTGCTTCCACATCAGATCGCCGACCATATTTACTCCGACTTTGCTTAATGATATCGAACGTAAGGTGTAACCAGAGGTATGTGCGATTCTCTATACTTTTAAGCCGCTCGGAAATCTTTTTGCGGTCGCTCTCCTGAACATCTCCCCCTATTTTATCTACCTTAAAATCAATGACAAGATTAATATCTTTGCTGATTTCGACGGACTTTTCAGTCCCGTTAAAGTGAACATATCCACATATTCTGGAGAATTTTCCGAAGGATGCTTCTAGGCGATCATATGGGCGATTTGTGATCAAAAACTTGAGTTTCGATGTGGAAGATGAATAAAGGGGCCGAGAATAGAATTCTCTTAAACTGTTAATTAACAACTCCCAGCCCTCTTTACATTCATCTAAGGCATCAAGAACACATACAATTTCCCTACTCTCTAGCGAGCTAGCGCATCGTATAAGGATCCGCCAGAGCTCAGAAAAATTCGTTGTTAAGTCTTTCCCGCTTGTTCTATAGCTTGAAATCGCGTGCTGGATTAGGGCAACGGCTGAATTCTGTGTAAATAGCTGATGGAGTATTGCACACAAAGCATTCGTGGTAGATATGCGGCGCTTGTCTCCGTCTTTAAAAAAAAAGTAGCAGATAGTGGATGTTGTAACATTTGTAGATAGCCTGTCTTTATCAATGAGAGCCCTTGATAAGACTGACTTTCCACAGCCAGGATCAGCAGATATCTAGAGCAGACGAGACTCGTCGCTGTCACGCTAATCCCGAAGTCTGTGGTCTTTAAAGAACCACTTATATATGCCTACGACTCTCTCTGGGTTGAAATTCTTGTCGTCTTTATAGCCAGAGGCGAGGGCTTGAAGGAGATCTCGTTCTTTCTGGTCTTCGTAATTCCTCTGGGTCTGTATCATATCCGCTTCCAAGGTCGTCCGAATCTCGTTAAGGACTTTCTGAGACTCCCGCATCGTCTAGAGCTGATCGTCCTTAATTTTGCGAATTTCTTCTGCCTTAAGAGGAGGAATGCAGCCACTATAAACCTCGCTTAGTCTTTTAATCTCTGTCATCATTAAAACCTAATCGCTTCTACCAGCCGTATTCTCCTATGCACGGGAGAGTTGAGCTTTGGAAAGATGGCATATTGAACGCGCCTGGTACTCGATGATACTGTAATAGAGCTTGATCAAAGGCTTTATAAGGGCTTGATACTCGATTCTATGCTTGGCGCGAAGATAGTTCTTCTCGCAGATATTCCAGTACACGAGAGCATCGTCAATTCTATTGAACCCTTCAAGCATCGCCATATTGACTGTTGTGCTATTTAGGAGTAGCTATCTGAGTTAGTGCCGTTTTAACAGTCGGGGTGTTTATCTCAACCTACTGGTAGAAGTAACGAGACTCTAGCCTATACTAACGCTGCATATAGTTGTGTGCTGACCGCGCTCTTGATAATAGGGTCGGCCTAGAGAAGGAACTTGGTCAGTTTCTCAATTTGCTCTCGCATCTTCACATCTTTTCCGAAGAATAAGAATCGCCACTGCTTCTTCTCTCGATCTTTCAGCAACAATTCCACAACTAACTGCACTGACTGCGGATTTAAGAAAATCGCGTCTACGGGCTTGTCGTGTGGCACTGAGCCTAAGTGCTTCCTATAGTCTTCTATCAACTCGGGCTCTTGATTCTATAATAATTCATATACGCTAGCCTAAAGATTGCGGTCGTTACTTGGTGAGATAAGAGTGTTCAGAGTGAACAGAGCAGAGTTAGCTTGCTCGGGAGGCTCTTCCGTAGAGCCGAAGACCAGAGTAGGATTAGAAGTCACCGCTGGAGCAGACATGGTTTGCCTAGACTGCTCCGAAGGCTATGCGGTAATCACAGCAAGTGAGGGAGATTCGGCGAGGCCTAGGACCGAGCCAGTATTTGAAGTCACTGAAGCTAGCTTGACTTGCTCGGAAGGCATTTCAGCAACATAAGAAGGCTGTTCAGGGCTTGTTATCTTCGAGGAGGATTTAGCAGGGCTAGGCGTATGTAGCTCTGCGGTCGGAGAATGGAGTACGCCATCTCTATTATCTCCATCAGACGTTTTCTTTTTGGTGAATCTCCATTTGGCGAAGCAGCCCATGTTCCGTTTCTGAAGATATTGAGACAGTAGGTACGAAGAGGTTATCAGATAAAATCTATCATGAGGTGTTCGTCATAGATCGCTGTATAGGTGCTTCCACAGCTACACGTGTCAACAGTTGGTTTTTCAGATGTGACTGCTTGTGCATTAGTCAAGCACACTATCGAGACTAGCCCCGAACTAGTGCCCCCCTATGCAACGAATTGCGCCGATATTGGTTACTAAAAGAACCTCATTAATGGCACTCCTGGCTAGATTGGTCGCTGTTTCTTAGGGGCCGTTCCTCGAGCCGCGATTGTTTGTCAACAGATAAGAATTTGCTACGCCGCATATGCGCTTCTCCCTCTAGTGATATTTCTATTCTCGCAAGATGTGCCGCCTTCTCAACCTTCCTCTCGAGATTTTCGTCTGCGTATTTGAGTCGCTTGATAATATAGACGACGCTGTAAATCTTGCTGTAAATATGTCTTTACTATTTTCGATGCGACTAGCGTTCGATTGAAGATTTTTAGATCCATCATCGTAAGAACACCACTTCTTTAAGCATGATATTGTCTGACAGTGAAATAGTCACATGCCTCTTGGCACCAGCATGATCTTGATTTCAATTAAGCGGTGCATATACATAGCCATTATTCATCTGAATTTTACAGCACACTATCAATTCCCGGAAATGCCGACCGTCCCAGATGACATCTCAACATGCTGGAACCTTTAGGATACGGCAAAGATATACCAGATAAGGTTGTTTGGGATATAGTGTCTCGATAGCATAGAATGCGTCTTCTCTTTGCTCTTTACCTGGATACAGCCATACAGAAAGCCTATATGAATTCGACTTTCCCACATACGTCCGGTGTGAATAGACCGAACACCACAGGGGCATCGGCTAGTGAAGGGGAAATGTCGAAGCCATCTCAAATTCCCGATTTATGCGTGGAAGGAATGACTCCAGATGACAGAAAAAGCGGCTATAAGCGATTCTATAAGGCTTTGACAGCGTAATAGGTGGCTATTGAAAAGCTCTGGAGGGTCAGAAGTCAGGTTTATACTGTTGACCGAGAGGCCGTAAATTGCCCCCGACGCGACTAAATTACTCCTCACTGCGGTAGTTGGCTGCAGGTCCACATGCCGGCAGCCACCGGTAACCGCAGCCAGACGGACTGGGGGTGAGATTCCCAGTTTGCATCGGCACTTCCTGCATCGGAACTCTGCATGAATCCCGCCCCTCTGCCAATCTCATTCTATTCTCATTCAACACCACTCACGTGATCACAAATTCAAGGTTACCAATGGTGCATAACTTTGGTGTGGCCCGTATAAACCTGCACAATATGTCAATCACAAGCTTGCCTTTAGAGCTATTGACTCGTATTTGTGAGTATCTTGAGCCTCAAGACTGGGGCGCGCTCAGGATCACTTGCCGCCAGATACACGGCAACACACTCGAAGCCTATACAACGCGATACTTCAAGAGAATCTCGCTTCTTCTCACCCGTGAAGGTCTTGACCGCCTGGATAATATTTCAACCAGTAAAACTCTTCGTGGCTCGGTTGAAGAAATTTGGATCATCCCGAACTTGTTCGAAGGCTGGACCCATTTGGACAAGGCAAAGTTTACAACGGTGGACACTAGGAAACATTTGGTGAGATGGGGACGCCGTCCAACAATGGAAGAATCGAATGAAATTCAGGCTGAGCTTGAGGCTCTATTTGCCGTCTTCGAAGCTACAATGAAAGAACACCGTGTCATTCTCGAATCCTCAGGACTCTTTGGTACCCTTGAAAAATGCCTGCCGCGCCTCGAAAACGCTGTCACCATTGGGTTGCGGTTTTACGCAACACATTTCCTCCTCAATATAGCAAAGCATACTGGCTTTACCTGTCTGGGCTTACGTGAATTGAAGAGCAAGTTCAATTACAAGACTTTTCCAATGTATCATCAGAGATTGCCGTTCATGCCTTACGATTTGGCGTTCTCACAACTGCTGAACGCCATAATCAAATCCAGTCGAAAAGTCCAAGCCCTCCACACGTGCAGCTATGTCTTTCGCGGCTATGACTTGTGCGGCATGAAGTTAAAATCTTCTCAACTGCCGGAGTCACAGTATCAATTACTGCTTCCACTCTTAAAAGATCTGACGACTCTACATATGTGCATTCGCCTTAAAGATCACGAACAAGAAACTTTCGATGAAGGGACCTTTAAACGTCTTCTTAATGTTCTGGTCACAGTTGCACCGGCACTTAAAACCCTGACCTTTGCGCAATGGAGTCCCATAGAAGAATTATCTCCTCTCTACTTTAAGAATCTCTCTCGGAGAATTCGGTTTTCCCAGCTAGAGGAGCTTCATCTTCATTCGATCGAGGTGACGGTGAATAGCCTCGAGGAATTTCTACGGACAGCAGCCCCAACCTTGAAACGACTGCGTCTGGAGTTTGTCAGTTTAGTTGATGGAATAACATCAGCACCAGATCCAGGACCCCTGACTGAAAACAGTCGTAGTTGGGTCTCTTCATTATCCGTCGAAGTCAAAAATGGCATGCAGGAGCTCTGGAAGCGCGTTTTTAAATCTTGGGCAGATCATCTCAAGCTGCAATACGTCGAACTGTCCAACCTTGGGTATCGGGGAAGATATATAAAGTTGCAAGATCACTTGTATACGGACCGCGGGCAGCCGGATGCACAGCCTTCTCCTGGCTTGAACCCCTCAAGCTTCTATTTTGATGCTAAGAGGGCGAATATACCCTTCAAGGAGTGGGTCACGCAGCTTCAGATAGAGATGTGGCATCGGACATACTTTGGAGGTCCCACGCTCCCAGGGACCAGCGGCATCCAGGTACGCCAACCAGGCCCGGGATTTAGTAATATGGTTTCTTCGGTATGCATCAACCCAATAAGAGGTTAGAATCGTGTCGTTTTAAAGGGGGGTCATTGTATTAAGTTATCTAGTGGTGTATCCAAGTATATAGAATACGGAAAGCTTACGAGAATAAAATGAAGTTCCGTGGAATTCTATAGTGAGGCTCTGTAAATCATGCGGGAGGTTGCCTAGCAACTGGTTCCTGGACTTTCTGCTAGATGACTTGCAGAATTTCTTCTCACCTTTATAAAGCATGGATTTATTCTCCTTAGGTGACTTTTACGATATCCATCAATTTGATGCGGCCCGCTCAATAATTGACCTGCGCCAAGGCCTTGGCGGTGGGGGCAGAAAAGAGTGCGAAGAGTGTATCTGTCAAGCCGATTTCAAGAACGACTATACAGCCTTCTAGTAGACATTTCGGGGTGGAATGTAACAGCTTCTTTACGGGCTAAAGTGGAAACGAGCACGTGTATCCCTTAGCCTACAGTCTTGCATCGCCAGGCAAGACTAGGGTTTCTCTGAATTCAAATAGGTATCCTTATACATGTATCCATTGTGCTCAAATCAACTTGCTTGCATCTCATTTCTACTTCGACAAGACTAATTGCGCACGAATGAAAGAAAACAAGAGTGTCTGTGTAAGATCAGTTGGCCCAAATTCTCGCCGCAGTGCTTTGCAGCTGCCCCAACTATGATCCTCCTCTGATGTACGTACAGTACTGATATAAAACAATATCGGCTTGTTCTACAAACAAACAAACAATTCATTAACGCCCGGCGGCTGAGCCGAAAGGGCAACTATCACTGATCTACTGTACATGTCCATCTGTGTATGCTGTGTCTCCTGAAAGCCCATACATAGAACCTTATAACATATAACATTTCCAGAAAGCAGTATCGCAGCGAGTTTCTCGTGGGTTAGTAAGTGGGTTAGTAGGCTGGCTTGAAGGTGCTTCTCCAAGTGTTCAACATCCTATCTTCGGCAGTTGAAGCGCGTCTACCATGTGTAGCACGAGGTGGTGGGTAAGTAGGGTCGGAAGAAGGGGTGGGGGTTATGTTGGTCGATATGTTCAAGTGGCCTCGAGTCGGCCCGTCGCAATGGCGAAACGTATGGAGGCCTGTACTGCCTCTAGGTTTGGCGTCCACTGTTGATCATCAGAAGGCTGTCTTCCGCCCAGGAAGAAGGATATGTTTCCTCGGTGAGTCTGCGTGCATTGTAACAGTTCCGTCCGGTGTACAGTCCACTTCCGACATCGGAAGAGGAAGTGCTCCACGGTCTCTCTTGCTTGTCCGCAATCGCATTGATCCGTCTCTGCTACATTGATCTGATTGAGATACCCATTGAGCCTAGCCATGCCGGTTCGGAGTTGGGCCAGTACGCTCGCTTCTTTCCACGTTAGGCGATCATACAGCTGCCGGGTGTGTTTGCCTGGCAGTGCGGCATCTACTCGTTTTGCGTGTCTTCCTATGTTCACTGGTAGCTCACTGCTGGGGACTGCTTGGGACCGTGCGATGTTCAATGTTGTGGACTTCATCCTCGAGACGTGTTCTTGTGGGAGAGCATCTTCTTGTGTTGCAGTTCTGGCCTGTTCTTTAGCCAGACCTAACAGCTTGTTGTCCTCGGTAGTAGGGATCCAGTGGAATATGATGCGATTTCCATTCCTCCGCGACCTTCTCATCAGCTTGTACATCTGACAAACAAACTCCTGGCCAGACGGTCGTCGGGGGTTCCTTAGCGTGAGCACCGCCGCTTTGTTGCTTGTGAGCAACGTAATCCTGTAGTCCTTGATTCCCACTATCATTTTCAACACATGTGCCATGGCTGCCAGCTCCGCAGAGAACGGGTTCTGCTCTGCCCTCGCGCCCAATGTGATAGAAAACGTTTTGAGCTTCAACTTTCGATTTCGAGGTGGCTGTTTCTCGATCGCGACTCCAAATCCCACTAGCTCGTTCCGTGCCGAGCTGCTGACCGCGATCTGCATCAACCCGCCCGCTTCAGTCTGAGGTTCATATTGTCCGTCAATATTGGCCTGTATGCGTTCGTCCCAAGGGGCCAACGTGAACGGGTCAATTGTTTCCAGTCTCTCCATGTCAACGTGCCTAAGCGCATCTGCCACTTGGTACAGCGGCGAGCGATGATATCGTCTGAACTTTCTGATCCGGTCTGTACCTCTGCGGAGCGGGTTTGTTTTAGGAAGGGTATGCATGTCCGTCCACATCTTCACGGCCCGTCTCCAGAATCGGTTCCGCGCGGTGGCAATGTGGGCCTCCGCCTCCGCTACGCTGGTCGCGACCGTGAGGAATGTCCCCACAATGGCTTGTGCTCCAACTCTTTGGACTCGATTGATCGGCCCCATGGCTTTGTCCTTACACGCGTGCATCCAGACATTGGAGGCGTAGTCCACAACTGGCGCCACCGTTGATGTAAATAACTGCCGCGCCGTTGCTGGGGAAAGGCCGCGAAGTCGCCGAAGCTCCATCGCTGCCTCCAGGCCCTTAGACGCGGCCCTCGCCATATGTTCCTTGTATTTCAGTCTCGTGTCCATCAAGACACCCAGGATCTTGACGTGGCTTTTGGGTACAACCGTCTGTCCCTTGATAATAAACGACTCATGGTCCGATTTACGCATCTTGGGAGCAAAGTGTATGATAGCTGTCTTTTCCGCCTCAAAAGTTGCTCCACTTCTCCTTTCCCAATCGAGCGCCTCATTGATAATTGCCTCGATTCCTTGCCGGTTACTCTGCGCGGTTGGCCCGGTCACCCATGCGGTAAAATCATCCACAAAAGCGACCGCTCCTCCTTGGCTGTCGATCTGTCTTTGCACGAGGTCTGCGTTGAAGAAAAGGAATAGGATCGGAGATAGGGGTGAGCCCTGAGGCAGGCCAGCTTGGGGCAATCTTCGGGCCTCAGAAAGCTGCCCGTTGATCTGGATGGTGGCCGTTCGCTCTGAGCAGAATGCCTCGACCCACCGGAGCAAGTCATCTGGTATGCCTCGCGCTTTCATCCTCTGGAGCAGTCGTTCTTTGCACACTCCGTTGTAGGCACCTTTCACATCGAAACTGATCAGACTCAACACCCGTCGGCCACGCCACGCGGTGTAGATCTGCTCTTGCAATAGCACAAGCGCCTGCTCCGCGGATCGCTGCTTTCGGGCGCCGAAGTGGCTGGTCGGGAGCAAGCCGTGTGTCTCCACAGCGTGCGAGATCCTTTCCGCAACCACCGATTCCAGTATCTTACCCAGCGTCGCGAGGAGCGAGATTGGCCTCCATGCCTTTGCAATGGTGTAATTTTCTTTATTCGGCTTCTTGAGCGGTATGATCTTCGCGTGTCTCCATTGCGTCGGTAACGCGCCTTCTCCCAGTGACGCCTGGAATAAATCGAGAACCCTGTGCTTGACAGTCGGCCATGTCATCTTCCAGACTATCGCCGGTAGACCGTCTTCACCCGGTGCCTTCCATGATTTAGCAGCAAAAAGCTGTCTTTCGATCTCTTCCATGCCAACCGTAGGCATCCTCACTGGCTCTCTCTGTGGTCTCGTCCCTTCGTCTTCAATCACGTCCGGTAGAGGGGGAAAGAATTTGGACAACAGCTCTTCTGCTTGCTCCTTATGGTCAGCGGTGGTAGTCCCATCTGCTCTGACGAGTTGTGGTAGCTTCCCGAATGCCGCGTCTTCTCCCGATTCCAGGTACTTAGCGGCTTTCCAGATATTGTCGTTGTCTGCGAGAAACTCATTCCAGTGCTTCTTCTTTTGCCTGCGGATGGCGTCATGGTATTGTTTTGCCGCATCCTGGGCCATCTTTTCGAGCTGAGGTATTTTTCGCCCCGCCCGTCGCTCCGAGCGAGCGCGATTGCGCCAGTGTGTGTATATGTAACGGAGTTGTGTCAGGTCGGTTGTCCACCACCGCTTCGCGTGTGGCGATGGTTTCGCTCTTGGAGTTAAAGTATGCACTGCATCCGAGACTGCGGACATCAGTCGGTCGGTTTTCTGCTGCACTGTGCCTTCCAACGGAGTGGTGGCCAGGGTGCTCGCGATTCTAGCATTAATCTCTTTCCATGGCGCGTTCTTCAGAAGAAGTCGTTCCTGATGCTTCGGGGCTGACCACGGTGCATCGAACACCGTCTCAATCGTCCGGTGATCCGAGCCGTGCTCAGTCCCGTGTATTACACATTTGGTCATCAGGTCTGCCAAATTGTCGGAGGCCAGGACGAGGTCAATTGTGGACTCGCAGTCCCCATACTGTCCTTCGCCATGCCATGTTTTCGTGCCTCGTTTGAGCAAGCTACTAAGAGCAAATTCACTCATGAGGCCAATGATTGGATCCGCTTCGCCTTGTCTTCCCAAGGACACCTCGTCTCCGCCCCAGAGTTGGTCATGGCGGTTGAAGTCTCCCATAATCATGATGTCCACCACGGCGCCCGTGTCTCGCCGCACCTTTGAGATTGCCTTTCTGACGTGATCGCATGCGTCGTCTAGCACCGTGGCGTCTCCCCCTTCGACGTAGACCGATGCTATAAAGATCAGCCGTTCGGGTAGTCGGATGACCGCTGCCGTCAGATCCGGGGACTCAATGGCCACTTGCTCCGCTTCTACATCTTTGTTGACCCAAAGCATGCTCCGGATCGCCCGTCTGCCTTCCCTCCAGGTGGAGGGTACCATCTTCGTCCATTTGTGATGTCCCATTGGGGTGGTCAAGAGTCGTCCCTGAATCCTCCTCGCCTGGGGTTCCTGAATCGCTAACGCCACTGCGTCCTTGGTTTGTTCGTCATTCATTAAGCTTTCATGCACGGCACCCTGCTTCCTCACATTCAATTGGATTATTCGAAGTGTCTTATTCATGACGTGGTGGGTAGAGCTTCCGGCAATTCTTGCTAAACGACTCATGTGGCCCACCGCATGGAACACACTTTGGAACCTCTTGATCGCAGCGACTGTGGTGATGACCCTCCGAGGCGCACTTTGCGCACTTCTGGGTCTTGCGGCATTGGAATGCCTTGTGACCAATCTCCTGGCAGTTATAACATTGCATCGGTCGTGGCCGATATTCAAAGACGCTGGTTGTCCCGGATTCCCCTCCAACGTGGAAGTATCCGTCGGCCAGGAGCCTCCGCGCGTCGGAGCCTTTAGTGAGGTACACGACCATCGAGCCATATGGCTTCGCGGCTTCCTTGCTGCTAAGCCACGTCATCTTGGCGACTGTACTTTCGTTTTCTTCACTCAGTGCTACGGTTGCTCCAGCCAGAATGGCATGGTTGTCATCCAGCACCGCAGCCCTCTTAACGCCGTCGACCTTGATCGGGTAGAGCTCGTCCCGGAGCACCCGGGATCCTGTTCCGATCTTTTCTTCCGCCACTTTCTTGACCAGCTGGTGCTCGGCTTCATCACGACACGCAATCCTGATCCGATTGGGGTCTCTTGGACTCACGGTGACCGCGCGGCAGCGCCAGTGGGTGTGATCATCCATCGTTCGGATCTCTTTCTCGATTGCGGCCCTGATTGAGCCCGCGGATATCTTCTCATTTTCATTTTCGGTCATCTTCGAGGTGTCTATCGTACAGTACAAAGTTTCGGTAAAGGTGGTCGGTGTCGTGCCTAGCGTTAACAGTGTCCGTATGTTGCTTGGGTAGCTGGTTGGAGGAGTGCGCGCGACATCTGCATAGGATGGGGAACTCGTGGGAGCGGGGACGCTGATTTCTTCGCGCAAGGATTGAATCTCGCGGAGAATCGCATCATGGTTGTTCTGAGAGCATGCCTTAGAGTGGCATTGCGGTGTCAAGGGTCTATCAGTCAGGTTCTGTAGCTCGTGTCGGACCTCGGCGAGAGCCGCACCAAACTCTGCTTGGGCTTTTAGTAATTCTTCCTTATGTATCTCATCGCGGAGTCTGATCTCCCTCCTGAGTTTGGCGATCTCTTGCACCAGATTGCTGACATCGAGGTCGTCGCCCTCGGTCGCGGAGTCGTCCGAAGTTCCCACGTCAGGCTGGTCTTCGGGTTCGATTCTCTTCTTTGGTAGCGGTCGCGTCTTCCTCTGCTCGTTGTCGATCTCTTGCTCTCGAGCATAGTTTTTCGGTGGTTTGGTGGTGCGCTTCGGTCTCGACAGTCGCGGTGGCGAATCCTCGCGTTCATCGCGGTCGGGCGGTTCAGGGGTTCGCATCGCGGCCCGTCCCGTCATTACTCACTCGATACGGGAGGTCGGTATTTTCGCCACGTGGCACAAAAAGGCTATCACTGGGCAGTCGCTCCTCGGTCTACTCGCCCTTCAGATGTCACTACAGTAAGAGTCGAAAACAGATTCCATATATGGGTACAGTATTTCCGGAAATCGGTCGGCTTGTTCTACAGTCGGTAGCGAAAACAGCTTCCACCCTAGACAATCACTTTCAATTCCCGCGCCCCATTGCCAAGACGCTAGCGCTATTTTTAAAATCATTAGACCTATAAACTGGTTGACTCCTGAAGGCATTGCTTGGTATTTGACCGTATCAATACGGTTTATATATTTACAACGTATCGTAATGAATTTTACTAACGAGCAGAATCGGATTTGTTTCGCTCTACAGTAGCTCACGGATAAACAAGTGCGTGCATTTTTGGTGTATATGTTTTCATCAAAGCGTTGTGCTGGACTGCGCGACCGTCCACGGCAGGCCTCTCTTAAACCATATCATGGAGATCATACAAGGGCAATAGAATATGAAGATGTGAATATTGCATTGCGGACGGAGGAGAGAAGGAGAAAGAGAGAGAGAGCGAGAGATATCTATCTATCTATCTACTCCATGGGAGACTATCCCAATGTGGGATGTCACCTGACATCCCCAACACTAATCTACAGACGATTCAATTACACCGTATTCAACTTGATTATTAAATCATACTTTTGTGCCAGGCGCAAGAATCTTGTTATCAGAGTGTCCATCCATTGATAATTGGTCAAATATTCCCAATTGGTCCAGTATTAATGCCCCATGGCTCATGACACACCGCAGCGCCTACTGGTGGTACAATCTTGAACTACGCTTCCAGCATGACGAAGACAATCTTTCCTCGAGATAGTATATTGGCAAGCGTCAAACCTGCGACTGAACTCGTCCACCAGGACCGACGAGTGCAGCATCCCGGGCAAACCTCTCGCCAAATATACACGAAGTGGGTCCAATCACATCTCTGCGAGAAACGGCATTGACTGGCCTGTATCTTCGACAACTTCCCAATTCATCAGTCAGAGATTCAGTCGGAAATCTCCCGCAGAGCGAAAAGTGTGGACAGATATGCAATAGTCTTTACTTTGTCAATCACAGTGTCATGCTATGTCGACTGGAGACGATAAGGGGCTTGTGGTGTCCGTGGGGCTGTTCTGCAAGTTTCGTCTTCCTTGGTAAACCAGGCAACGACTGGCAGACCATAAAGGAATTGCCACCGACGAGGCGACTTGGTTCCTGATCTGCCCCAGCCTCATATCACAACAACAATCAATCCCCCCCCCCCCCCGGAGATCCAGGTAAACCAAATTGGCAATTGATCACAGTGACCTAGATATCACCACCATGAAACAATGTGAGCATGCCCTTAGCAGCGTGCTCTCCAAGTGCATCAAGAGTGCCCATTCCCATCATTTCAAGCACGGTGATATCAAAATGGAAAGTCGTCTTCCACCACTGTCTCACCTCAATCGCCACGAGGGAATCCATTCCCAGGTCAGACAAAGAGCACCACGTGTGCAAGTCTTCTTCTGGCTTCAGCAAGAAGCTGAACATCTTCTTGCCGATCTCGACGGCCAGCAAATGAGCAGACTCAGGCTGACCCAGTAAAGCCGCATTGCGTTTGGCGGTGGCGATGAAGGAATTCAGGCCGTCACTGGAGGCAGGACCTGACATCCTGTGAGTCTCTCCAACGTTATGAAAGACGGCCATTTGCGCGTTTTTCTTCCAAAGGGAACGATTTTCAGGATCGCTCAGGGGCACGCCGGAGCGAATTCCAAGGCAGAAGTTGTGTGAGGCGAATGGTTGTGATTTACTCCACGTCGATCTCATGGCTCCCTCCAACGCCCCAAAAAGCTCGCACTCCGAGACCCTACCCCCCAAGTTACCGGTTGCCTTGAGCTTCTGCATAATGGACTCGTTCTCAGCGACGTAGCCGATCCCGTCGACGGGACCAATTCCGATGGCACAGGCGGGTAGTCCTAGATTTAATCGGTACTGAGAGAATGCGTCCAGGAAAGTGTTGGCACCAGCATAATTGGTTTGACCGGGCTGTCCAGCGATACCAGAAAGAGAACTGAAAAGAATGAAAAAGTCAAGGTCCGAGTTGGCAGATATGGAAGCACTATGGAGATTCCATGTTCCCTTGACCTTAGGATCAACAGCCATGTTCCACTCTTCCAAGGTCATGCGGGCGAAGCCTTGATCGGAAAGCACCATGGACATCTGCAAGATACCTTTAAGCCGACCTTGAGCGCGTGTGACGGCCTTGATCACATCTTCAAGCCTAGAAACGCTCCCTTGAACAAATTCGGCGCGGCATCCCATGCTGGCAAGTTCTTGAGCAAAGTATTGATGCCTCTTATGTGTACCCGCGTTTCGGGAAAGATAAATAAGGTGACGGGCTCCGCGTTGCACCATCCACGTTGAGATCGACCGACCCAGACCTCCGAGGCCACCGACAAGCAGGTATGCGACGGAGTTATCGAAGCAGATGGGTTTCTTTCGAGGCTGAACATATCCTTCTAGTTTGATCTGGCCAGCAGCATCGCGCATTGAAATGACAATCTTGCCCAGGTGGACACCTTGCTGCATATAACGGAAAGCGTCAAGGATAACATGAGAGTTGAAAACCTTTATGGGTCGAATGGGATGAATATGGCGCTCCCTAAGTAAGTCGGCAATTCTTTCAAGTAGCCTTCACGGTGATTTAGTCCTTAATTACCATATAGAGGCCCCGTCAGTAGTACTTACTGCTTTGCAATAGTCGGTCTTTTGAGACAAATCTGATCTAAGTCAACGCAGCAGTAGTTACGGTTGGCGATGAAAGGACTCATGTCAAGTTTACCAGAGCCAATCAGGTCTCGCTTGCCAATCTCGACCATTTTGCCAAACTCTGCAATACACTTCCAAGTGGCATGCAACAACTCGCCAGACAGTGAGTTCAGTGCCAAATCGACGCCCTCACCATTTGTCTCCCTCATGACCTCCTCGACAAACGAGGTGTCACGAGAGTTGAAGATCCTGTTTCGGGGTAGGCTAAATGTGTCCATGAGATACTTGACCTTCTCCTCATTACCGACTGTTGTATAAATCTCGGCACCAACCATCTGGGCAAGCTGGATTGTAGCGAGGCCAACTCCACCGCAGGCACTGTGAATTAGGATGGACTACAGAAAGTGTTAACAGCCTGATAGGGGGGTAGAAAGTGGACGGAGAACAAACCTGTCCCTTTTTCAGCTTTCCAACGTTGAAGATTGAGTAGATCGATGTAGCAAACACGCAAGGCATGGTAGCCGCGTCCTCGAAGCTTAATCCACCTGGAATCCTCTCACAGAGGTTCTCAGAGACAGTCACTTGTGTCCCAAAAGTGCTGTTTCCAATGAGCATAACGCGGTCGCCAGAACTCAGGCTATCAACTTTTGGACCCGTGCGACGGACAATGCCAGCGGCTTCAAGACCGAAGCCGTTTTCTGAGGCTTCAACAATGCCCATGGCGCACAAAACATCCTGGTCAATTTAACATCAGCATTTTGGATTTTCCTCTAGTGCCTTTTTGACGCACCCTGAAGTTCAGGCCGGTGGCATGTATTTCGACTTCAATATCGTCACCCTTCGGCGCTTTACTCTCCTGTCGAGTCCAGTGTAAAGCAGTAAGGCGGCCAGGCCTACTACTACAAAGAGCAATGCCATCACTTGAATCCGACGTCAAAAGCTCATTCTGAATGGAGAACGAATGAATTCGTCCAACGTGGACAGTATTTTCGACAACGGCATATTCAAACTCAGGCTTGAGAGTGTGGTCCTCTTGACGAATCTGGAATTTCTCAAGCACGTCAATGATTCTGTCTACCGAGGAAACGACATGATCAACCTCGCAAGTTGCAAAGTCGACCAGCATTTCAGAGCGAAGTGTCCTGGCGATACCGTTAATTTGTCCAAATCTTGGGTCCTGGCACTGGATCTGCGAAAGAGGGGTTACCCAGAGAATGCCGTAGCCTTTCAAGTTTTCTACCAAATTTTTGAAAGATCTAAATCGCTGATCATCCATGTTTTCAAAAAAGGGACCATCATCGTCAAGCAAGCTGATCACATCTTGGCCTTCGGGCAAGGGAATGTCCTGCAGTCCGCAACGGTGAACGGCGTACCCCCTGTTCCCCAGACCCTGCAAGATACAGTCCACGTGTTCTGACTCAGGGAGAGTGAGAAGCGTAACGCGTTTGTCTGAATCATTGCCTATCGCTGGTCTCGCCAAGATCATGGCGTTCAGTTGATTTGGTTCCGCTGAATCAAGAACTGCAGCCTCAGGAGCGCAGAATCCAGCAACCTTTAACTCTGTCGTCCAGCGTTCGACGGTAACGTATGGCTCGTCTGCCCGGCCGTCTGCCTCACCATACCACCATCCAGCTAGAGTTCCCCAGACGTAGTTAACCCATTTGGAAGTCGGGGTCAGTTCGTGGAGTAGAAACCGGCCGTCTTGATGGAGCAGTTCCCGTACATTGCTCAAACTTTCATTGAGAGACCTGGTGGCATGGATGACGTTGGTCGCCATGATGAGATCGTACTTACGACCATCAAAACCCTGCTCAAAGAGATCCTTGCTAATATCGAGAGTAGCGTATTCCATGTTTGAATACGCACTGAAGCGCTCCTTAGCAGAAACGAAGAAGCCAGACGAAATATCAGTGAAGGTGTAGTTCGAGTATAGGGTTCTGTCACCAGGTGTCAACAGTTTCAGAAAATTGGCAGTGCCTCCACCTGTTCCGGCACCAATCTCGAGGACACGCAGATTGGGCTTGCTGTGAGTTAGATGCTTGACGAACTGTGACAAATCGGCCTGATCCGTAGAGAGGTAAAGATTTGTCAATGTATCATCTGACAGAAGGAGGTCTAGAGCTTCCACATCACCGGTGAAGATACTTTTGGCGTTGCCAAGAACCTTTTGTATGGCTATGGCAGGATGAGCACCTAAGGTTCGCGACAGTTCGTGCACAATGCGCTCGACTCGCTCTTCAATACTAGTATTATCAAGGATTTCGAGATGCCTAACATCGACAGACCGAAGGTGGTGATCGATCCATGATCGGTATTTGTGCATGTGGCTTATTGAAGTTTTCAAATCTGCAATGATACGCTGTGTATGAATCATACACATGTGAGACAGCTCCGTCAAGAGGGGCATATGGTCGCTGCGGTCAACTAATGGCTTGATAAGAGTTTTCGAATCCAGAAAATCAATATGGGGACCCCACTCTATGCGAGCAGTGGCTTCCTCGGTTTTACCGGATTGCTGATCATCTAGAACGGAAAGTCTTATTCCAGAGCTGCGCAATACAATTTTGCCATTGGCGATAAACTGTGCATTACCAACGATGGAACCATTTGGCGTGTAGGATGCGGACGCCTGGGCCTGTACATCCTCATAACAGCGATAGATGCAAATTTCTTCAATGTTGGTAGGAACCACTATCTTCGTTGCTGGCTCAGCATAGCCCTTAGATGCAGCAACACTAAGCAGCTGTAGTGAAGCATCAATAATCGTCGGATGAAGATGGTAGTCCTTGCCATCGGTATTCTTTGCAACAACCTCTGATGTCGCATTTTGACTAACAGTGTCTGAGCGAACATCATCAAGACGTTGGAAGGTTGGCCCATAATTGAGACTAGACTTAGCTAGAGACTCGTAGCAACGCCGGGTGCCGACCTTGCGCACGAGTGGGGCATTCTTCTTGGCATCTCCCAAGTCCTGGCAATGTGATCTGGCCTCGCCAGAGCAGTGCTTAGTCCAAATTGTTCCGTTGTGAGATGCGATAGCAAATTCCCACCATTCACTATCGAGTGAATCGGTCAATCGATGGCGACGTGGTGTAGTCATTATTTCGACTGGCGGGCCGTCGTTCAAAACAAGAGCAGTGCTAATGCTGACGTTGCGCATTATGAATGCCTCATTGACTCCGGTAATCTGTCGCACAGCCTCACCGATCATCCCAGCATAGCCGGCAAAAGGGAAGACAATATCGCCGCGGACTCTGTGGTCACGAATCCATGGTGTGTTGTCTAAGTGGAAGAGATTTCGGAAAAGAACGTCAAAGTCGAGACTTTCCGTGACCCGAACACCCAAAAGATCGTGATACCTGTGTTGGCGGTTTCTCCACTCCTTGCTTAGCCTAGATTCATACCAAAACCTCTTTGAGTGATCCCATGGGTATCTTGGGAGATCTGGCAGAGTAGAGCCCTCGGTAATGACCTTTCTCAAATTGGGAACAGCGTTGAGAACATAAAGCTGTCCGATGGCTTTTAGGAACGATTCCACATCGTTTTGATTACGGATAAATGCTGAGGCATAAGGCGAAGAGTTGGAAAGCTGAGCCTGGGTTTGTCGCAAGGGCCCCGCAAGGGCCGAGTCAGGGCCAAGCTCAAGGAATACCATATTCTTTCCAATATTATGATGAATAATGGATGTGATAGCCGAATGGAAGAGCACCGGGGACTCTAGGTTTTTCTGCCAGTATTTTGGGCCAAAGCTGGACTGTTCAGTAAACAGTTTATGCTCCACACTGCTGAAGAAAAGCTTTGTCGGGGTCCTGGCAAACACTTCATGTTCAATTAAAGCATAGTAGTTGTCACCTATCTCAGCCATATGGTGAGAATGGTACGCCTTATCGACCTGCAGCTGTCTTGCCAGGACATTGGGGCGGGTCTCTTTAATCCTAGCAACCACGAAACCAACTGCCTCAGTGTCACCAGCTATAGTAACACTCTTAGGCGAGTTTTCACAGGCTAGAATCACTCCAGGCTGTAGATATTCCTGGACATCCTCGGAGCCCATACCAATAGCTGCCATGGCCCCAGGCTTAGTTTGCAGTTTGGTGATCTGGCCACGGTAGAAAGCAATCGTGATGGCTTCATTGGCCGTGATGGCACCGGCAGCATAAGCAGCAGCCACCTCGCCGCTAGAGTGACCTACGACAGCAGCGGGCTGAACTCCAACAGAAGCGAAGGTATCGACCAGAGCAAGTTGAAGTGCCGTACATAGAGGCTGAGAAAGCTCGGCCGAGCTCAGCCTGCTAGTCTCGGGTCCCTTCAAGAGCTCTTCTTCAATGTTCCATTCTGGAGTATGTTTGAGAGTTTTTAGATGTGCGTCGAGAGATCGGATGGTCTTCTTAAATGCAGGATAGCAGGAGCTATGGATCATGAACCCACCCATTTGCGGCCATTGAGCACCCTGGCCGGTGAATACCATCACGATGTTGGGTGCTTCGCCAGATTTTGAGGGCGCCGAAGACGTAAGCATACCAAGTTGGTTTCTCACAGCGAATGCGCGATAGGGCAAGGATTCTCTTCTGTTGCCTAGAGTGAACGCTAGGTCACTAACCCTGTCTGGATTCTTCTGGATATAGGCTTTGTATGTGGTGATCATTCTTTTCAAAGACTCGGCATTGTTGGCCGAGTAGACAAGCAGTTGCGGCGACGCGGTACGCCGTTCGGGAATGGTAGAGATGCCAAAGCTATGAGCGGAATCCAGAATGACGTGGGCGTTGGTACCTCCGATACCAAAGGAGTTCACACTAATTCGTTCCCCCCGATACTCAGGCCAAGGTATCGGCTCCGTGGGAACGGATAATTTACAGGAATTCCACGGGATATCGGGATTTGGCTCATTGAATTTGATGTTCGGAGGGATCATACGGTGTTCCAAGGAGAGTACTGACTTGATAAGCGACGTGAGGCCTGAAGCACCTTCGGAGTGGCCAACGTTAGGCTTGACAGACCCGATGTGAACTCCGCCAGAGGGGCCGAAGACACGGCCGACTGCTCTGGCTTCAATAGGATCTCCGATTGACGTGCCTGTGCCATGGCACTCGACAAATGCGGTCTTGGAGTAATCTGTGATGCCCGCCAGCTCATATGCGCGTCTGATCATAGCTTCTTGGACAATATCATTAGGAACTGAGATACCACTAGCAGTACCCTTTCCGTCGTTCATTGATGCTGTCGCCCGGATAACAGCTCGAACCGGGTTGCCATCATCAATGGCATCGGCCAGAGGCTTGATGAAAATAGCGGAAATTGCTTCGCCCCGAGCGTAGCCATTAGCATCGGCAGAGAAGGTTTTGCAAGAGCCATCAGGTGAAAGAACACCCTTTTCCGTCATGGCAGTGGTCATGCCTGGGCTCATTATCAAGTTGGCGCCGCCAACAATGGCTCCCTCGCAGTCACCTCTGGATATTGCCAAACATGCTTCGTGCAGTGCAACAAGGCCTGCTGAGCAGCCAGTACGAGCCACCATGCTTTTCACATTGGTCAGCAAATGACATAAATTGGGAGAAACATCGATTGACTAACCTTGGCCCTATCAAGTCCATCTCGTACGAGACGCGGTCGGACAACATGAAGTCTCCGTATCCGGTTACACGGTGCAAACCATACTGCTGGTTCTCTTTGGCAAAGATCTCAACCCAATCTTCGCCAAAGCTGCCCATGTAGCAGCCGATTGGCCGTCCTTTCCAACTGGTTTGACCAGCGTCTTCCATACACTCCCTAGCAACTTCCAGCATTTGCCGCTGCTGCGGGTCCATCCGTTCCACCTCTGACTTTCCCACAGTGAAGAAAGAGGTGTCGACGGTAGCAATATCAATGCTTTCATCGAGGAAGTATCCATATTCGGTATTGATGCTGCCGGGTTTCGCTATGTCGGAGTAGTAGGCAGTAGCATTGTATCTGGACTTAGGCACTGGGCCACGTGCATCGCCTTTGGCAACCAAGAAGTCCCACAATTGTTGTGGTGAGTGGAGGCCTCCAGGAAGGCGTATCGACATGCCACAAATGGCTATGGGCTTCGGGGAAGCAAATTTTGCCTGTGTTTCAGTGGCAGAAGCTTCCTTGCCACTGATCACAGTATGGGAACCGTTCCGCAATGTATCAATCATACTAGCATCGTCATTTCGGTATCCGTTCATGTCGATTCCAGTCTTGGTCTCATTAGAGGAATCCGCATTCGCACCGTCAATATCAACACTCAATGAAGCCATTGCGTTTGTCTGAAGCCAGGTCTATTCGAAATGACGAGATTCCAAGTCAAATAAAATATGATGAGCAACAGGAATGAGAAACAGGACCAGGTGGCTTTTCTATTACCATACTTTGTAGTTTTATTCATAGCTGCAGATCAATAAAGATCTGCTCACCTGTTGTGAAACCTCTAGGTGCTTCAAAAAGCTTGCATTACTTGTTTCTGTTCCTTTAAGACCAATAAAATGATGAATGTTGTAAATATCCTGTCTCCATCTTTTGTTGCCCTCTTTCCAATAACAAAATGATACTTGGCTATTCCAGATATCCTAATGCGCGAGGTTCGGAAAATGGACCACCTTCTAACAGGAAGTCTCTTCATGTCACACGGTGCCCAAGGCTCGTATGCACTTCGTATCTGTTTTGGCAACAGATTCTACAGATCTTAATGCTCAAGCCTCGGAGAATGTGCCACGTTCTTGCCGAGCATCCCTAATGTCATATAGTGCCCAAGGTACATATGCACGCTGTCTCTGTTTGTGTAACAGGTTCTACAGATTCCGACGCTCAAACCTCGGAGGAGCGGTCATCTCTTGCATGTTGTATAACCAAATAAACACTATTTCTTCTAGTGCTCTATCTCACAGGGTTGACTGGGCTACGGTAGGCCCACTTTCTCAAGCAAGATGTCTACTCTGGTCCACAACTCGCCCGACTGAGCCGTCACGGCAATTGAGCCACTGACCTGAAGCGATAACTTTGCGACTTGGAAACGTCTCATGACCTCCTACCTGAAAACAAGGAAGGTCTGGGACGTCGTGTCAGGCGACCTCTAGCGTCCCGACTGTTGGAGCACCTGCTTTGATGGTATGGTTCTGTCATCCTGATACGCACTCCTAAGAGCTGATATTCTGCACGCCCTTAAAGCAATGTATGACCGGTTCCCAGGCTGACGTTTTTTAGTTAACCGTCTTACTTGTTCCATGGCGCTGGGGTGCGGGCCGATCGGCCCGACCTATTGAATTTAAATGCAATCAAACAACATTAGACTAATTCAACTAACTACTTCATCTACCTTGGCATGTTTCCCTCCTATGCCCTGGTAACCTGCATATTCCACATCCACGTGGGGGCCGCGTGCGTGGCTGAATAGCCGATTCTCCAGGTATGTTAGTACTGGGGAGAGGTGCTACAATTGCTTCCTCTGGCTGCATAATTGATGCCGAGGCTTCCAAAACTGAGTGGCCCTCGGCCGAAGGCATCTGCCTTCGAACTCTAGCCCGCTTCGGCTCCATTTTTCCGTTTTCGGCGCGTAAATCACTATTTTCTTTCGCTAAAATTACAGCGCCTTGTAACGCGAGTAGGCAGCCTTTGATAAGTTGGTTTATCGCACGATTAAGGGGACTCAGAGAGCTCCCGGATCTCGTACGAAGCAATACTTCCATTGATGAAGCCAGCTTTAGTAATTGTGCATCGTTCAAAGGCGTTCTTGGCTCCCACTCGCTATCCCGGCTCGAGGTGGGCATCGGGGTTCGAAGGCGAATGTCAAGCTCGGAGATGAACCGATCGGGAGAAAAAGGCACTAGACCGGCTGCTGCGAGGCTATTTTTGATAGTCTCAGATTTGAATGCCTCGATTCGAGCGCACGGGTATGCCTCGAGGAAATCAAGTTTGTCGATATGGGTAAACCCGAGTCGCATCTTCTTTTCGACAAATCGACCGTACGAGCGTTTTAACACCGCAAAACAACCGATATGGAGCGGCTGTAAAAGGTGAGACGATTGGGGAGGGATACGGATTGGAATGATATCGTGTTTTTCGCAGATGTCGTCGAACTTCGTGTTTGAATGACTTGCGTGTCCGTCAAGTAACAAAAGTCGATACCGACCCTTTACCCTTGAAGAAGTCGACGGAATAAAGAGATTTTCGAGCCATCGAAGTCCGATTTCGTTGGAGGTCATTCCATTCGGACTAATCTCGAATCGCCAATCGCCGGGGAGGTCATCGAACCAAGATTCGATGTAGACTTTGCCTTTGAAAATCACGCACGGAGGAAGCGCCCACCCCGAGGCATTGATACACTCCATCGTAGTCACCCACTCGCGATTTCCGGGTTGTAAAAGCGATCGCCGACCGTAGTATCCACTCCTCGCAATAACCTTCGCGGTTGCCGTTGATCCTATCGTAAAAGCGGTCTCGTCGAAGTTATAAATGTCTTCGGGGTCGATCCCGAATTGGAGGATAGTTTTTTGAACGAGATTAAACCACTCTCCGATGATTTTTGGGTCTTCGCATTTTTCGCGCCCGTGGTTATACATTTTTGAGGAAGGAAAGGAAAGGAGAGGATGCCGTTTCATAAAATGTGCAACCCAATTTTGGCCGACCGAAACAATCGGGGTAGTTCCGCGTTGGTGAGGGAGAAGATCCGCCATTTCTCGTACGGAAATGGGCCGAAGGGCTGCTTCACGAGAGTCCATAGAGAGATTCCATTTTTGAAGAGATCTCTCATCAATCTCTGATGATTTATGTGAATTAGCGCCAGAACTCGCGCGGTCTTGAATACGACTTAGGCGGCGGCGAAGAGTTGAAGGTGGCACGTTAAAAGTGCGAGCAGCGAGAGAAATAGTGGCTATTTCTTGTTTTTCGATAGCCTGTATAGCTAATAAGAGCCTGCTCTCTTGCTCTGCTGAGTTTCTCAAAGTTTGGGAGCGAATTGGTGGCATAGTAGCTGGCTAACTGAGTTGAGTGCTCATTCATGGACGCGTTTTGGGTGGGGCCCCGGGGTAGCCACTCGCTTATGAAATACGTTGGTCGGACCCACTATGTAATATCTAGGTACGTATAACTGTTGTTGCTATTCAGGCCTGGCCAATAAGAAAATGCGAAAATTCTATATTTCATTATTCCAGGTTCCGGCAATCTATAGGGTTAAAATGGCTAAAGAATTTCAAATCAATAGTAGATACTCTCTGGAAATTCACCCGACAAAACCGTCTAACCGACATAACCATTGTCATCAGTGTCGGTATAGGGATTACAAATATTCCGGCGCTGGTGGACAGCGATGAGAGTATTACAGCCCCGAAACCTCTGCATCAAAGGCCACCTCGAGAATTCTGAACCAAAATGGAACTGCGCGGAAAAGAGGAAGAACGTTCTGCACCATCTCCAGGTTTCTTGGACGCTCTTTTACGGTTCGCGAACAAATTCATCAACTAATGGCTAGAAAGTGCTGTGGCTAGGCTTACGAATTATTAGGTGTCAAAAATCCGGCGTTTTCACAGATCTAGCTTTGGTCTGTGAGGGAGAAAGGATCAACGTACATAAAGTTGTGGTTTGCGCTCAATCTGATGTACTTCATGCCGCCTGTACTGGCAACTTCAAAGTCAGTAACTTACCATAGCACTACCCATGACAAGCTCTGATTCTTCTAGGAGGCGTCATCTGCCGTCTATGAGTTTTTGGACGATTCAAAAATTGTTGTTGGAAAGCTGGTCAGCTTCTTTTACACGGAAAACTATAGCGACACAATACGTGCCTCTGAGACGGAGCCGCCGTCGCCATGTTCTGCTCTTCAACTCCATGCCCGAGTCTTTGTTTTGGCTGACAGATACATCGTCAAAATTTTATTCGCGTTATGTGTTGAGAAGTACCAGAGGAGTCTTCAATATCTATCCGATCCCATCGAATTCATTGAATCCATTCCGGAGGTATACGCTTTACCTCCTACATCACCCAGAATGTTGAAAGAGATTGTAACACGCTTTGCGCGAATCAACATTTCGAATTATCTCCAGGAGGAGACTGTTCGGATGGCCTACAACAGTATTGTCCAGAGCGTGCCCGAATTTGTCAAAGATCTTCTCGACTTGTATATCGAAGCACCATTGCTTGGAAACTGTGGGAATTGCGGACAGCACGTACCGATATCAGCTTTGCAAGGGAGATGTCGACGTGGCACGGCAGCGATTTCTGGGTGTGTTTAGTCTGATGGACCCGAACCTTTTTGCTGCACTATCAGCCGTCCTTCGTTTAAACACCGGGAAAGAGATAGTCCTCCATATAAGTCTCATATAAAGCATGGGTGTGAATATCTTTTGCCTTCTTCCTCCAATGCCCATTCAGACGCAGAGATACAAAAGACAGCCAAATCCCGCGATGGTGAATATTACTAGGGAAGAGTGAGCCAAATGTACAGCCAAGTACTAACCCCTGTCTCATTCACTTAGATGTAAAGCGCTTTATGCAGTGCAATCACGTCCCAGACTCTGGAGCAACCTCAGCCGTTTAATTTAGAGATTGTGGATTTTAAGTAATTCTTTGCAAAGGTGCATGCGCACGTAACAAAGTGGGTCGATTCCGCGGACGAGAAGCAGCTGTGGACCTGTCGAATAGGTGTGTTCTCGAGGGCATGTGCAAGGACGGTGCTTGTTCAATTTGTCGAATCTCCCTTCGGGGAATGATCCCGGGAGTGGTCTTGTAACTAGAGATACTGTCTGGCAGAATGGCCTGTGAAGACTGTGCCGGAGTAGCTTGTCGTACTTGTTGAATTGTTGGCTGAGGATATGCATCCTGTGGTTTTGCTTGCTCGCTTGAGTCAATGAATGAAGTTTGATAGATTCCTGCATTTCCAGGATCGTTGGGAGCCTTCGGAGGGCCAGGGGGCATTGATACAGCCCCTGTTTCACCGTTGTCATGGTCATCACTAGGTTTGTGGAAAGTAACATCACGAGATCTCTTCATCTCCTGGTTCACGGGATCCCAGATCTGGTAAACATGACCGCCATCCCCCTCATAGCCAATGAGGTAGCCCTTCCAGGCGCGGGGTGCGGCCTTCCAAGATTGCACTCGCTTGTCTTTCGGAATATGCACATAGGCGGTGGATCCCCATGGCCGTAGATGCTTGAGAGTTGGTTTGGTGTTTTGAATGTGAAGAAGCTCACGCCAGAGGGTGATTGGTGATTTACCGGTCTCGCCGTTTGCAAGACGGTTCACAATGTAAATAGCAGTTTGGTGAGCAAATGGCCAGAGCGTTTCATCGAGTCCTAATTCAATGATCATGGTCCTTCCGATCTCATTGATGTAGCCACCATACCATTCGGCGGTGCCGTTTGGTTCTGCAGTGTACGGAGGAGTGAGCTCAAAGACGAACTCATGTTTCTTTCCCCACGTAATAAATCTTTTGAATTCGGTGCCATTGTCGAGGCGCCAAATACCGGGGTATCTACCTGTTAGTAGCTTTATCTCCTCGCAGAATTTAATCATGCGGGTAGATATTTCTTCCTTTGTCTTTGTGAAGATGCCCCTGCCCATCCTGGTAGCATCGTCAACGATTGGAACCCAGTACTTCTCTCCAGTTAGACCAGGTGGAGACATGGTGTGTGTATCGATGTGGAATTTCCAAGCGGCGTCCTGGACTCGAACCTGGGGTTCTCGGGAGACCTTCCTTCTCGATTTGGCAAGTAGGCAGGCTTCGCAATCGACATCTAAACAACTAGGCATTTCAAGGTCTTCAACCATGATAGCATCCTTAATTGTTACAGACATCTTGGCCGAGACGGCGGTGAATCTCCATTGCGGAGAGCGCTCGGAATGCAATTCCATCATTTTCATTTGTGTCTTCTTCGTCACTGGACTCCTGATGACAGATAGATCGGTTGGCTCTCGGTGGCCCAATAGTAAGTTGTGACGGGAGGATCGTCTCGCTGCCTGGTGCCGTGTAGGTAGATCCTCAATCTCACTAATCACGTCCGCACCTGAGACGATTCTCCACCCGCGTGGCAATTCCACGATCTAATTCTCCGAGACTTTACTTGGATGGAGAATTGATGAGTGGAGATGTAATTGATGATAAAATTGATCTTATGGGCGCGGAGAGAGAGAGGAGAGAGAAGGAAACTATGGATACAAATGGAAATGTGATCCCCCAAGGTTTCCAGGTTCTGCTGACATACCAGAACCTGAGGATGGATGTCGGAAGCCTGAGAAAGCAGGCCCACTTGTTTGTCGTGTTTGTTCATTATTCAGCAAGTAAATTACACCTATATATAAATTGCCAGAATTAGGGGTAATGGAAACCAGAGTTATTGACATCACCTGATTGGCCAGCACCAAGTTGTATTTCATAGTTATGAGCCCGAATAGCCATTTCTGAACCAGAAAAACACATCGATTACAGCAATCAGATCATCTGATAACCATAAATCGACCACTTGCTGGTTCAGAACCCCTTTTGAACCACCGATTGTGCATCTTCTGCAACGCCAACACACCCATACCCCATCCTCGCTAGCAAGCGATACAGCAAGTGATCACCACACTTCAGCAAGCATGGATGCGTCAACACTCTCCGCCATGAAGGGCGATAAACTTCGTGAACCAGCTCAATGGAGCACTTGGTATGCAAAAACCAGGCGCTTCGCACAACTGCGCGCGGTTTGGGAGCTATGCAATCCAGAAGTCAATGAGGATGCACTCCCTAAGCGCAGTACGGAGCCGGTAGAACCAGAATACCCAGAAGACGGAGATGATAAGGAGACCCGCAAGTGGCGAGACCGCTTCGATGTCTATAAGCTTGCTCTCTCGAAGTATGAGAAGCAGACCAAGGGATTGAATGATGTATACGAATATATCTTTGCCACCCTTGACAGCAAGTATCATCGCTCCGTCATCACCAAAGAAACCCCGTATGATGTGCTTGTAGCGCTGAAAACACGGTTCGCAAGAAGCAACTCTTATAAGGAAGAGCTGCGCGACAAATGGGAGCAACTTGCATCGCAGAAACCCGGGAAGGATGTCGACCAATGGATCGACAAGTGGGACACACTGCGGCAAGAAGTCATTAGCGTCGGCATCAGGGTTGATGATGAAGATGCAGTACGTTACTTCATCAAGGCTGTGAAGGAAGTCCTGCCAATGTGGTGGCAAGCGGAATACACTGCTGTCATCCTTAATGAAGAGAAGCGTGATATCAATCAGCTTATCGAGTCCTTTCGCAGTATCTACCGCGAAACAGGTGCTAAACCATCACTGTCAGCACCAAAGGCCTCCTTCTCAACCTGGCAAGGGCATGAGGAAGCTTCACAGCAAGTGGCAACAATCTCTGCTGCAAAGTCTAAGAAGCCAAAGCAGACTGCAGAGACCCCGTTTCACGAACGGTACTGCCCATGTGGAAACACACACCCACGTCATAGAGTAGCAACTTGCTACTACATACGCCCTGATCTGATACCTTCGGACTTCACTATCAGGGAAGCCACGAAGAAAAGAATTGAGAAGCTTCTTACCGCAGAGCCAGAATGGCGCAAGTGGATTAACGAGGAAGTAAGGAAGGACAAAGAACGTTCAACGCCTAAGGAAACGGCGGATTTCACAACGGTACAGCCTGACGTTAGCGCTCATCCACCAATAGTAACACTTGCAACCATACAAGTGCCCTCAGCAGAGAGCAACCGGGTGCAGCAAGTCCATACTGGCAAACCAGCAGAAAGAACTCCTATCTACCATGTCAAGCCAGTCGATAAGAGAATTGAGCAAATGCCTGATCTTAAAGACCGATGGATCCTTGACTGTGGATCAAGTGTGCATGTGTGCAACAACAAGGGCTGGTTCGAAACTATAACCCCATACCAAACAGAGTTAGCAACTGGCAACTCAATCACCAAGGGTGAGGGGATTGGAACAGCAAGACTTGCTGCAAGAGATCCACAAACCGGCAAGCAACGAATCATACGTCTTACCAACGCCTTGTATGTCCCAGGGTGCCATACCAACCTAGTTTCATATGCAAAAATGAGGCGACTTGGTGTGAAATGGTGTCAAGATACAGATACCATCGTCGACCCAAACAACCTGCAAATCGCGAAATTGCAGCTAGTGGACCTAGATCTGTGGGTATTCGACTTGCCAAGCCACAACAGTGTCAATGCAATAACCAGAAAGTCAGAGAGACCACAGAAAGCGAAAGGATCTATGGAACTATGGCATCGCCGTCTAGCGCACATCAACACAGATGCGATTAAGCAAGCTAAGCAAATGGTAGATGGCATCGAGATCACAGAGGATAACAAGGATGAAGAAGTCAACTCACCTTGCCGAGTCTGCAACCTAGCAAGAGCACCTCGACAAATCTCTCGCCGACCAATTGGACGCACGTTTGGAAGATTTGGAAGAATTCATTTCGACCTAATACAGATCCAGCCAGCAGAAAACAGACATAGATGGATGTCACACTTCTATATCGAGGGAGTGCGATTTCACTGGATCATGACACATGAACTAAAGCCAGAGTGTCAGCTTGCTATCGACAAGTTCGTGGCACTTGCTAAGAATTGGTGGAACTTGCCAATCAAGGTGTTTATGTATGACAACGAGACTTCGGCAGGAAGCACCGCCGAACGATCCATCTCCAAAGAGGGCATCATTATCCATCACTCTCCCCCGGGACATCCAGAGATGAATGGATACAGCGAGCGTGCAGGTGGAACAATCATCACACGTATGCGTATGCTCATCGTCGAGGGCCAGTTGCCCAAAGGTCTCTGGCCAGAGGCAGCAAGTGCTGCAGTATGGTTGCTGAACCGTACACCCACCTTCGTGAACGATGAGAAACGCTGGATTGTGCCGTGGGAAGAGGTTCGACGCGAATTCGCGGGCAACGAGATGCCGAGAATCAACCTAGCAAACGTTAAATTGTATGGCAGTTTGACTTACTGTCGGATACAGAAGCAAGTGCAATCTGATAAGATGGCACCGAGAGCCGAGATTGGCTTTCTAGTAGGCTTCGTGGCATCAAATATCTGGAAAATCTGGTTCCCACATACTGGAAGAGTGCAGGTTATTAGAGATGCGGTGTTTGACGAGAGCCGCAAGTACACACCTAGGTTCGAGCGATATCAACAATTGCCAATGCCAATTATCCAGGAACCATATGTGCTTGATGCAGATGAAACCCTCAAGCTTTACCAGCGGATATCGACAGCAAGAAGTCAGGAGGAGCATCAGGAGCCAGAGGAAACGCATCGGGAGCAGCATACAACAACTGAAAACCATCAGCAAGCTGCTCAAACCGCAGATTCTCACCAAGACCAACACCAGCAAGTCGAGCTACCACGTAGCAACCCGCAGGAGGATGAAATCAATACTCCTCAGCAGGTAGAAACCCCACCACAACAAATGGAACGCCATAAAGATATGGCAAGAACCCCATCGCCGACGCCAGAAAGGCGGATTGCATCAGCAAGTCCCACAGAAATCCCAGGTGCTTTCCCAGAAGATGTGCCACTCCCACCAACACCACCAAACGAGGTTTTTGGGTCAGATCAGGGGGTGGAGACGCAGCAGGAAACGCAGCAAGTAGGGGATCAGACCCCTGAAACCGTGGAAACGTCGCAGAATGATGGAGCAAGTGACGATGAAGTCGCACAACAGCTGCAAAGCGAGCTACTGCAGCCCACACAAGAGATCTTTGGTGACGTTGATACTACCAATATCATGAGCGGCAAAAGAACCAGGCGAGCAAGGCAAGACAATGACTATGCTGCTTACTCTACGATACAGCAAGAGCCACCAGCAATGCTACATGCCTTCGCAGCAGGGCTGTATGCCGAGAAGCCAGAACATCGACGACACCGCGATGACCTCCCTCCTATACCAAGAAACTACAAAGAGGCCATAAACCACCAGTTCTCTGAAGGTTTTATCGCAGCGATGAAACGAGAGCTAGACAACTTGCGCTCAAAGGCAACGTATGAGGTGATAGACCGGCCAAAAGACATCAGCAAGCAAGTGCTTCCTCTCTTATGGATTTATGCATACAAATTTGACCAGGATGGCCACTTAATCAAGTTAAAAGCACGCATCTGCGTCCGCGGCGACTTAGAAACCATCACCCAAGAAGAGAAGCGAGCAGCGACACTTGCTGCAAGGACAGCACGCATGATCTTCTCCCTCATCGCCGCATACGATCTCGACGTTAGGCAGCGCGACGCTGTTACCGCATTCCTGAACTCGCGTTTGGATAAGGAGACATACACACAGATGCCAGAAGGTTTTGGGATACCGGGCAAGTCATGGAAACTACAGCGAGCTCTATACGGTCTACGAATTTCGCCACGCTTATGGCAACAAGAAGCAGCAAGTGTACTGCGAAAGTTAGGTCTCCAGCAAGTGCCGGAGGACCCATGTGTGTTCGTTGGCACCGGAATCATTGTATTCTTCTATGTCGACGACATACTTATTGCTTGCCATCGCACAGCGAGAGCAAGAGCAAAACAATTAGAAAAATCACTTGAAGAGCACTGGGAACTGACTGATCACGGAGAAGCAGAGTGGTTTCTTAATATCCGGATCATCAGGGACCGTGCACAGAAGAAGTTGTGGCTTTGTCAAGACAGTTACATCGCAAGCATTGCAGCGAGATATAACTTGACAGAGCGAGCGCCTGTTCTTACACCCTTACCGGTGGAAGAACTACGCAAGTACGAGGGCGTTGCTACACCAAGAGAAACACATCTGTATCAGCAGAAAGTGGGCTCAGCAGGTTATGCAACGACCATTACTAGGGTTGACGCAGCAAAGGCTACTGCTAAGCTCGCGCAATTCCTAATGAACCCAGGACCACAGCACCAGCAAGCTGTCGACAGGGTGATCTGCTACCTTTACTCCACCCGGTTTCTTGCCATTGAATATGCCGCAGGAATCGAAGATATGGAGTCGATCCAGATAGCAAGTGACGCGTCGTATGGGGATCATGAGGATCGGAAGAGTTCTGCTGGATATATCTGCCAAGTGTTCGGCGGGCCAGTAGACTGGAAAGCCAGCAAGCAGCCAACGGTAACGACATCTACTACCGAGGCCGAGCTGCTGGGACTTTCTGAGGCTGGCAAGCATCTCCAATGGTGGAGAAGACTGCTGCAGAATGTTGGCCTTAAGTTATCCCACCCCATCACCATCGACTGCGACAATGAGCGCACGGTTGCACTCATTAACAAGGAGGATGCGGCGTTCGATACGAAGCTTCGACATGTCGATATTCACTATCACTGGGTTAGGCAGGAAGCGCAAGCAGGAAGGATCACCGTCAGATGGGTGCCAACGGCACAGATGGTCGCTGACGGGCTCACCAAGTGCCTGACTCGCCAGAAGCATGAAAATTTCATTCGCTTGCTTAGAATGGCTGATGTAGGTCACCTGATCACCTAGGCCCAGAAGGGAAACAGAGGCTGTTTCTGTGTCTATTACAGAAATGGGCGTTTCAAGGGTCATCTTGCCCAATCTGCGCAAGATGAGGGGGTGTGTCGGAAGCCTGAGAAAGCAGGCCCACTTGTTTGTCGTGTTTGTTCATTATTCAGCAAGTAAATTACACCTATATATAAATTGCCAGAATTAGGGGTAATGGAAACCAGAGTTATTGACATCACCTGATTGGCCAGCACCAAGTTGTATTTCATAATGGAAGTGGGCCTAAGGCATTCTGATGCCTCAGGCACCACTTGCAACAAGTAAAACTAGGTGCCGGTGAATTGCCAGCAAGTATCCACTATTATTTGTAATTACTTAGTCATGTCAGAAACCCCATAACGTGGATCCTGGTCGTTCCGGCACCCCACCAAAACTTCATATTTTCTACACTTTTTAAACTCCAATTGAACAACCGAAACACCATTAAATTGACTAATCAAACCTTTTCGGGCATGTAGTATACCTATGCCCTTTCCCCATGCATAATGAACATGTAGTTTGCTGGCGTACAGGGGCCAAAACAGGAAGTGTAGGTTCAACCTGGGGTTCTGGAGCAGGTGTAGGGTCAGATATATATCTCACACTGACATCTTCCTCGCCACCCATATTGGCAGTAGGGTCCGGAAGCTCTGTTAAACTACCTATGTTAGGTATCTGCTTCTTTGATTTCTCCCTTTTTTCCATCTGTTTTCTATTTTCCTCCCGTAAACGCTTAATCTCATCCCGCATTAAGATGTGCTCGTGAACTAGCTTAACCGACATATTGTAAAACCGTTGAAGATCACGTTTTGTAGGCGAAGAGATCTTATCAGCAGCCGAGCTTAGACCAGAATTGAGCCTAAATTTGCGTTTTTCTAGCTGCTTAGTCGTCCGAGGGATACCGGTAGAGATATTACTGCCTGATGTTGAACCTTGTGAAAGTGGTCGATCTGGTAGAGGCGGAGATTGAAGGCGAATATTGAGTTTTGATAGTACCCGATCAGGATCTAATGGCACGAAACCAGTAGCTGCGAAGGCACTTTAAACGATAGACTCTTTGAATGAATCGTTATGGGCCGCTGGAAAGATATCAAGGAAGTCATCTTTCTCGATAGAATCGATGCCTAATCGGGTATATTCTGCAACCCGCCTTCCGTAAGAGCGCTTTAACACAGCAAAACAGCCAACATCAAGAGGCTGTAAAAGATGAGAGGCATGCGGAGGTATACATATTGGTATAATGTTGTTTTCCTGGCAAATCTTATCGAATGTCGCTGTAAGATGACTGTCGTGGCCATCAAGGACTAAAAGACAATGTTTCCCTTTTATCTAACTTTTTGTATGCGGAATAAAGTGTTTTTGGAGCCAACTAACGCCAATTTCATTACTCGTCTAGCTATTTGGACTAACGTTAAGAGCCCAATGTTTTGTAAGGTCGTCGAACCATCGTTCCATAAAGTCTTTGCCTTTAAAGATAACGTATGGTGGGAGCGCTCGCCCGGAGGCGCAAATTGTTTCAATAACAGTCACCCATTCGCGATTACCAGCCTGTAAAACCCCCCTCCGACCGGTATAAAATGACTGTGTGATAATCTTCGTTGTTGCACTGACTCCCATCGCAAATCCCGATTTGTCAAAGTTGTAGATATCATCGGAAGTGATACCATATTAAGCAATCGTTTTTTCAACAAGCTTGAACCACTTAACAATGATATTTAGATCTTCTATTAAGGCGCGTTTGTAGTCATATTTGCGAGAGAATCGACTAGAAAGCTCGGGATGTCGTTCAATGTATTGTGTTGGCCAATTCTTACTAACGGTCTGGGGGGTATGATCTCCACGGTTTTTGAGTTGTAAAATGGCTATATCTCTTAACATAGCGATCGTAAGAGCAGCACCTCTATGACCTATAGAAATCAACCAATCCTGGATTGATTCCTCTTCCAATTGGGTGAATTTATGGCCTATAGCCCTTATGTCAGACTAACTAGTTACCCCTTTCATCCGGTCTTGTAACGTAGATCGTGGGACTTCGAAAGAGCGAGCAGCAGCAGCAACGGAGGTAAACCGGCCATTTTTGATAGCCTTAATTGCTAGTAGAACTCTGCCTTCCTGCTCAACTGATTTTTGAGCTTTTTGACCGCGGATTGGAGGCATGGTAGGTGTTTAAAAATAGGAGGTTTGGTGAGGGGAAGCAAAATTGAAGTGCCTGCCGGAACGACCAGGATCCACGTTAACTAGTTATAAATTGCCAGAACCAGGGGTAATAACAGACAGAGCATTCATACATTCTTATTGGCCAGGACAAGTAGGCATTCCGACACTAGGTTTTCTCACTAAGCGGTGCCTTGGCATTATTATGTAATTCACTATTATATACTTGGTGCCTCGGGCATCCAATGAAAACCATCAAAGTATCACAGAAATAACGTCCGTGGGTCACATGACGACCCCATGACTTGGAATCCCTCGCCGTTCATGATCAGCCTGTATAGTTGCGGCCCCATATTCAATTGGTGTATGTTATGTCCGTAACATTCGAGGTATAATTGGAGAACATGTCCCTGCGTGGCGGCGTGTAGCTATTAGCATTAGCGCCCGCGTCTAGCAGCTGCCGCGCGACCGCCTCATGCCCGTACTGGGCCGCCTTATGTAGCGGCGTGCAATTTTTCGAGTCTTGGGCATCCTTATCGACGCCCGCGTCTAGCAGCTGCCGCGCGACCGCCTTATGCCCGCCCTGGGCCGCCCAGTGTAGCGGCGTATAGCTATTCGAGTCTTTAGCGTCCTTGTCGGCGCCCACGTCGAGTAGCTGCCGCGCGACCGCCTTATGCCCGTACTGGGCCGCCTTATGTAGCGGCGTGCAGTTTCTCGAGTCTTGGGCATCCTTATCGACGCCCGCATCTAGCAGCTGCCGCCCGACCGCCTTATGCCCGCCCTGGGCCGCCCAGTGTAGCGGCGTATAGCTATTCGAGTCTTTAGCGTCCTTGTCGGCGCCCACGTCGAGTAGCTGCCGCGCGACCGCCTTATGCCCGTACTGGGCCGCCTTATGTAGCGGCGTGCAGTTTCTCGAGTCTTGGGCATCCTTATCGACGCCCGCGTCTAGCAGCTGCCACACGACCTCCTCGTCCCCGCCCTGGGCCGCCCAGTGTAGCGGCGTATAGCTATTCGAGTCTTTAGCGTCCTTGTCAGCGCCCACGTCGAGTAGCTGCCGCGTGACCGACTCGCGCCCATACTGGGCCGCCTTATGTAGCGGCGTGCAGTTTCTCGAGTCTTGGGCATCCTTATCGACGCCCGCGTCTAGCAGCTGCCGCGCGACCGCCTTATGCCCGCCCTGGGCCGCCCAGTGTAGCGGCGTCTGGCTATTCGAGTCTTTAGCGTCCTTATCGACGCCCGCGTCTAGCAGCTGCCGCGCGACCGCCTCGTACCCGCCCTCGGCGGCCCTATGTAGCGGCGTCTGGCTATTCGAGTCTTTAGCGTCCTTGTCGGCGCCTACGTTGAGTAGCTGCCGCGTGACCGCCTCGCGCCCACCCTGGGCCGCCCAGTGTAGCGGCGTATAGCTATTCGAGTCTTTAGCGTCCTTATTAGCGCCCGCGTCTAGTAGCTGCCGCGCGACCGCCTCGCGCCCGTACTGGGCCGCCCAGTGTAGCGGCGTCTGGCTATTCGAGTCTTTAGCGTCCTCTAGACTGCGGCAACATCCTCAATATCCATGGATATCCACATATCCTCTCCGCAGATTGCGGATATAGTATATCACCCAATATCCGCAATCCTCAATTTTGTGGATATGGTATACCACCTAATATCCTCTGGATATTTGAGGATATCCAGTGGATATCAAACAGGCCAAACATGCCTAGCCTCACGACTCTTTTAAGTATGTATAATTTATGCAGTTTCCTACGTATTTTTAATGTAATCATAGTGTAATCATTAACTTTCAAGATTTCAATTTAGTAAATAAAATTCCGTTATCTCCATATAATATCAACTACCTTAAATCAATCTGAAATCCATCAGGTAACCTAGGCTGCTTTCGAATTCGTCCTGACCGTCCCAGCATGCTCTCATCTATTGGCATTTCTGGAAGGTCATCGTCATCTTCATCAAGAGATTCAGATAATCGTTTCTTTGATCGCTTACGCTGCACTTGCTTACTTTGATCATTATTCCTCTCATCATCTGAATCATCATTGCAGCTCCTCTTCTGTTGTGTGTCCTGTATGCTAGGCTCTTGATCCTCCTCTTCGTTGTCACTAATTGGCTCAAGAGTTTCAAGATGGAGCATTGGTTTCCGAGCTTGGTCTAATAACGCAGCTTCCCCAATAGAGAGATACTCCTTAATAACCTCTATCTCCTTCTGCTCAACGTCAAAATTAGTGGCGAATTGATGGAGCATTAATCCTCGGATGGTACTTGGTTTCAATTGACCGCGACGATAGTGGCAGATATCGCGAGCGCAATTGAATAATCGCTCAACGCCTGCACCACTAGCTGGGATCGAGAGAATATCCCGTGCTATCCTCGCAAGGATAGGAAACTCAAGCTCATGGTCTTTCCAGAATGCTCTTGGCTTCTGAATCTCAATCCCGCGGGCAAGATACCTCGCGATCTCATCATCTTCAGGCTTTGAGAGCTCATCCTGGGGCTGGTTTTGAGATGCACAAGCAGCATCTAGATCACCATATTCATCATCCGGGGCCTCTCTCGTGGTATCTTGTAAGACTGTATTATCTGAATCACGGTGAAGTATCTCTTTATATCGTTGAAACTCTCGCTTGAGAACTCCATGATAGTGATTAATATAGTCAATATCACCTTGCCAGTCTGACGATGCGAAATATCGAAGTTTCTTTGATGGGCAAAGGATTGTCGCGAGTGCATAGATATCGCCATATGATTCATAATCAGTCGCAGTGTAGTACTTTGAGAGCTTCCGCTTAGCAGTCTGAAGAGCCTGGAGCATATGCTTCTTCCAGACAACACCTTTATTCTTCAACTTACACTCAGCTTCATCTAGATGAGAGAAAAGCTTGTTATAAATACTATAGATGTTGTGTGTGGTAACATCCCTAGTCTTTGATAACATAGTGGTGAAGTCAAAGAAAGGCTTTGTGAGAAGAAGAAGATATTCAATCTGTCGCCACTCTTCTTGATCAAGTTTAAAGTGTAGATACTGATGATCTATACAATACTGGTCATAGAATGGTTGTAACCTTTTAGCACGATTGAGCATTATGAAGGTTGAGTTCCATCGGGTTTGGACATCCTGAATAGGAACCAAACGAGGCTCATTAGTTTGAAGAGCCATAAATGACTCCCGGCGTTGTGGGCTCGCATTAATAAAGACCGCAAGACCTCGGATCTTAGACTTTCTTATTAGAATAAACTCAGAAGCCTAAGGGAGATAGAGGACTGACCTTCTTTAAGGTATCTGCAATTTGCCGACTTGAGCCAGATTGTTTAGTCTGGAATGAATGTGTTCGCTCGTCAGGCCACTCTAGTTCAATCTCTTTATTAGGTGGCGTCACTTTCAGCTTCCCAAGAAGCTCATTTAAGCTTAATTGGATCACATGCGCAATACACGGAACTCGGAAGATTAAGGTATCTGGTTGGCTCTGCGACTGAATAGTCTCTTGGATGTTCATCACCAAGGTATTGTTGTTAGTTGCGTTATCTGTTGTCACAGATAAGACACGATTGGTGATTCCATGATTGTTCAAGAGCTGAGTAACGGTCTTACTTAGATTTTCACCAGTATGAGACCCATAAAGATGCTCAAATCCAAGAAGAACTTCACAATAATTCCAATCCTGATCAAGAAAGTAGCCTGTGATAGCCATGAAAGCTTGCTGAAATGGCGATGTCCAGCAATCAAGCGCTAGTGAAAGGCGACTCCCATCTGGAAGTCTTCCAAGAATCTCCTTCTGGTCATTTTTGACTGCAGAATCAAGATAACGTCGTATGCTTCGCGCGGATGGTATATCGATCTTGCTTTGAGCTTGTTGAATGACCTCTACTAGGTCCTTGAATTGGGTATGCTCCACGATTCGGAAGGGTAGGTGAGCCGCTGAGATAAAGTCTAGGATCGCTTTAACGAGACGCTCCTGGGAGAAAGGTTGGTGTTTTGGGATCGATGGCTTTAGGATAATTATCAAGATTAGCAAAAGAGATATTAAAAATCTTAATAATAGAGTAATATACCATCTTTCTTAGTAGCTGATCAACCCTCTGAGTAACTGGCTTCCGAGTACAGGTGCCTGCCTTAATATGTGCATTCATCGGTGATGACCCAGCACGGCGATATCTTGGATGAACAAGGGTACAGAGGCATGATATGCACATAACCTTTGGCTTGCCAGTCTTCTCATGTGCAACCTGATTGAAATTGTCCCAGACACTTGAAGTCTTTTTCCCATCCCAACGGATAGAGTCTTGTATATCAGGTGTTGATCCAGACTCTGTAGTTAACCACCAACTTATAAAGCGCTTACGAGATTCTTCCATCTCGCTACTAGGCTCAGAGGAATAGAGGACCCAATACTGCTGAAGAGGGAGGCCAACACGCGTAAGCGAGAGGGGTGCAATCGGAGATGAAATTTGAGACGTAGATGTCAATGGAGTTTGGCTGCTAATAAGCTCAGAGATATCATCTGAATAAAGAAGGTCGGTATTTAGACCTAGATCTGAATCAGCGCAGAAGGAGTAGTGGGATTGAGATGCTTGTGAGTAAGACATGGTGTACTTGATCACTATGTCAGAGAGAGAGAGAAACTTACATATAGAACGAGCTGAAAATATCAGAATTATGGCAAATATGCTGTAACTCGTAAGTTGCGGGTGCGTACTTGACATCTCTTACTTTTGATGGCGATGATTGGCTATTACTAATCACTGGTGTGGATATTTGAGGATAATTGAGGATATATTGTGGATATCCGCATGGATATCCTTGGATATCCTCAACCTTGCCGCCATATTCACCAAGTCCGCTGTCAACAACATTGGAGCTTCCGACCGGTAATCTTCGAGAGAATCTATTTAGAATCATTATATACTTGAAAGTTAGGCTTAGATCATTAATTTAAAGCTAAATTAACTAAATTTGACCGGGAAATGGCGAGTTTGGTCAAATATACTTAGTTCAGCTGAGAGATGCTATACTTCTTCCATGAGTAAATATATATTTCCATGGTAAAGTAAAGTGAAATAACAAAAAATCATGGTTTCCCCCTAATACACTTTGAAAATAAAGATTGATGCTATAAGTAATAATGAAGCTAATAAATATTGGTTAATACATAGGTATTACTTAATATTTCATTGGGAAATAGGATAAATAAGGGTAGTAGTATGGTCAGGACCAAACCTGTGTATCTTTTGTTCTGAAAAATAAATTAATAAGCTGTATAAGAGGCACATGACGACCCCTAAGTAGATAATCAAGCGAGAGTTATGCTAGTGCGGATATCCGCAGAATATCCTCATATCCTCGCGGATATCCATGGATATCCTCATTGAGGATATGGTATGAAAGTAATATCCATTATCCTCAATTTGCGGATATGGTATTGAGCCTAATATCCAATGGAGAGGATATGCCGCAGTCTAGCGTCCTCATAGGCGCCCGCGTTAAGTAGCTGCCGCGTGACCTTCTCGTCCCCGTACTGGGCCGCGTTATGTAGCGGCATATAGCCATGCGAGCCTTGAGCCTCCTTATTAGCGCCCGCGTCGAGTAGTTGCCGCGTGACCACCTCGTGCCCGCCCTGGGCCGCCTTATGCAGCGGCGTCCAGCTATTCGAGTCTTGAGCCTCCTTATTAGCGCCCGCGTCGAGGAGCTGCCGCGCGACCGCCTCGTGCCCACCCTGGGCCGCCTTATGCAGCGGCGTGCAATTTTTCGAGTCTTGAGCCTCCTTATTAGCGCCCGCGTCTAATAGCTGCCGTGTGACCGCCTTGTGCCCGCCCTGGGCTGCCCAGTGTAGCGGCGTATAGCTAAACGAGTCTTTAGCGTCTTTGTCAACGCCCGCGCTAAGTAGCTGCCTCGTGAACGCCTTATACCCTTGCCTGGCGGCCCAGTGCAGCGGCATCTGTCCATAAATTGCCATGAAATCGGCGCCCATCTCGAGTAGCCGCCGGATGGTAGTTCCGAGCTCGTTCTCTACCGCAAATTGTAGTGGTGTCCAACCCTCATCCTTGTGGGTCAAATAGACGTCAGCACCATCATGGACCAATAGCTTGACTATTCCCCGTTCGTGGTTTATCGCCTTGCAGTGCAGCGGTGTCCAATAGTCCTTGTTTGTAGAGATAGCTTCAGCGCCCTTACTTTCTTTGCTGTAAAGCAGCTCAACTACCTCCTCATGCCCATTGATTTCCGCAAATTGTCGTGGTATCCAATCATATTTGTCTTTGGCATCTCTATTGGCGCGCCCCACGAGCAATAGATCGACGACCGCTCTGTTTCCGCTTATCGCCGCGAGATGTAGGGGTGTCCAACCGACCAGGTCGTCTTCTGCATTGACTGCCGCGCCGAGCTCGATCAAAAATTTGACTAAGTCTCGGTCGCCGTTCTCGGCTGCATAATGTAACGGAGTCCAACCAATCTTGTTGTCCTTAGCTTCAATGTTGGCACCTACGAGCAATTCCGCCACTGTTGTGTGCCCGTTTATCGCCGCGAGATGTAGAGGGGTCAGATTATTACAGCTATTCACATTGACATCGCTTTTCTCGATAAGAAGTTTGGCAACGGGCGCAAACCCCATCTGTGCTGCTATGTGCAATGCAGTGTTCCCATCCTTGTCCTTTGCGATTGCATCGCTTCCATTTTGCAAGAGTTCCTTCACAACAGCAGCGGACCCTCCCCAAGCAGCGCGATGCAACGCAGTTTGCCCATAACTGCACCTAAGATTCAAGTCAACGAGAGGTAGTAAATCTCGGACCATATCTTTATTCCCTCTTTCAGCTGCAAGGTGTAGTGGCCAACGTCCTAGACTGTCCGGTTCGTTTGGGATCTGGGGTTGGATGAGCTTCTTGAAAGATTTGTAATCTCCTCGCCATATCGCACATCGTAATCTCTTGTCATCAGAAGCACAATTTGACCGATTCTCATTGTCGATTTCTGAGTGGGCCGCATCTCCCGTGTTTCCTGTTATTCTTTTGCCCAAAAAATGAAACGTCGCTTCTTCTTCTTCTTCTTCTTCTTCGTCGCCTTGGTAACTCGATATGACCACCCTTGTTTTCGTGCAAGACCAGTTTCCCCCGTCTTTTTCTTGCCCCTGGAAGAAACGTAACGTACCAATGTATTGATAGCGAGAGGGCTTTTTCGTTTCCTTCACAAGCAAAGCCCTTCTTACTGGGTCAGATTCTTGCCCCGGGTAGCACTCGGCTAAGAGCTGAAGCGCTTGAGGTCTTCTCAGAGCATCTTGAAGTCGCCGTTTTATCAAAGGATGCATGCTATCCCACCAGCAGTTCTTTTCAAGTCCGGCCTCTACAGGAATGACGCGCCACTCCCCTTGGATGTCGCCATTTTCGGAAACCGTGAGGGAAGCGTCGGAAGTGTCCAAGGGCAGGTCAAAAAGACTAGTCGGACACCAGCTGAAACCTTTGGACATGGCCCCAGCATTATGGAAGAGGTGTCCGGGGGCGAGCCGGCCGAATTTCTTCAAAATATTCTTATAGGTGTCCTGCTGCAGGTCCTCTCGAGCGACGCCCACTATTAGTGCGGAAATAGTGGCCATGTCTTTAGGCCAAGACGTATAGCGCGAGGCCAACACAGTCAAAAGGCCATTGAGTGTCGTAATCCCCCCCCGGAGATTCCGGATAATCCGGGAAGCTTCTTGACGGCGGCTGTCGCGCTCGTTTTCTTTTGCGAGAATCTCTTCGTCAAGATCTTTAATAACAATGCCAGAGGGTCCTTTGAACACCACCTTTACTTTGCGCGACTTGGTCAATTCTAAGGCGGTCCACCCTCGACTAAACCAGGGCGACATCAAAATGGCGAAACATGCAGTTTTAGGATCCCAAGTCCAGTTCCGAAGGAAGCAATCGTGCACCAAAGTGATACGGGCATCCTCGTAACTGCTCTGGATCTTTTGGATGGCTTTATTACGGGCAGCTTTTTCGCGAGGAATGCAAAGTGTGTCCCACCAGATTCCGTCGCATTGGAACTGTTTCGCAATGTCGTGGAAAAATGCATATAAGCACTCGTTGACTTCTCCGTCTTTCCAAGCTCCGGTCCCAGTTCCGTCCGACCAGACGTGAGAAATAGCCATATATGGCCGAGGAGGCTCGAGCATAGACTCTCCGTCTAGATCCCACACTGTCGGCTTTCCATTACGTGCAGCTCTATTCAATATGTCCCTCCGGAATTGATCTCGCACTTGCATACATTGGTTCTCTTTACACTCGTGGCGCTGTTGAACCGCTGTGAAATCACGTTGAGAGTGTTCGCAGAAATCGGGGGTGCAATCGTTATGATCGTTATAGTTTTCACGCTCGTCAATCTTATCTCTTGCGCTTTGGGTCGAGCTGAAAACTGGCAGTAGATTAGGTAAGTTCTCCCCTGCAACAGCCCATACGCGGTTTGGACAGAGGTTGAGGTTTTTCGCTTCTTGGAATGCTTCCAGGAGTCCATTGTTGTTTGGATTCATGGTTTTTACTTGTTTATCTAGAAAGGTTGGTAAGGAGAAGAACATACTACACATTATTTCACTTACAAGAGAGCTCTGAGGGTCATCGACCCCGCTTCACTAGCAGCAAATGGTCAGTAACACCTCACAGCGGTAGCTGCGCGCAGATGCCAAGACACCGAGTGTTTTTAGGCGCCTACACTATCCAATAACGATGTTCTATCATAGTTCAGCTGAGGGCCCACAGTGACAATCCTGCCATCGAGGGTATTCCCCCCGACTTCTCGCCCTCCCTATTGCGCACCCTTCTCAGCCCTGAGTATATTTCTAAGAGGCACAGCTACCACATGCAGTAGACTGCTTATGACAGGTCATCTACAGCGACTTGAAATTACACCCGAAACTACCGGCACACCTACCCCCTTAACCAACGCAACCCCACTCCCTAGATAGTCAACTCCTCGCCACTCTTTTTCTTCGAATAACACACCCCTAAAGAAAACTTTCACAAACGCTAGCACACAGACACCAACCCAACCAACCCCAACAGTGTCCGCTGCTATAGAAGAACCTTCGAACACTAACATCGACTCCTACACTCAACCACCCTCTGCTACAACCGACCTAGAACCACAAATAGCTTCACCGACCTACACTCCCCAGTCTCCTCAACCAATAGCGCCTATTACCTCCCCGTCCCAGAACCAACAGACGATCTATTCTTCTGTCCTCTCTAGCAATCTATCATACCCGTATCACAATCGACTCCTCCAACGCAAGAATCTGTCCTTCCCTCCAAATCTACACTCACAATCGAAGATCTTCACCGCCATTCTCACAACAAACCGTCACCTTTCCTGTTCGAGAATCAGCCAAGCCGACGCGCGACTAAGCGAGCTAGGAACAAGGCCACGACAGGCCTTGCTAGGTGAGGCTCAAGGTTCACCGTTCAGGTAGTTTGGCCCAATCCCAAGGATCAACTTAGATGCATTTAGAACGTTGCTGTAGCCTGTATATCGTTCGCGAAGTTGATTTCCCAACTAGACTAAAATACGAATCCGTACCCAGTGTCACGAAGAATCTACGATCATGGATCTGGAAGCGGTTCTGCCGTGTTCCACCGCCCTCTGTAGAACGTGGTTTTGCATTGTTTGATTTGATGCCTCAGGCATCACTACCTTAATTGCTTCAGCGTGTTGTTTACTTCTTCTTTCTTTCTTTCTTTCTTTCTTTCTTTCTTTCCTCATGTTTAGTATTCTAGCTGAATGCACTCTTTTTCATCAAGACTTGGCTCGTCACATTCTTAACATGTTCTTCAGAGGTACTTAATTTAGATAGAGATTGAAGTAACTATTGAGTGGAGGTACCATTATATAGTTTTGAGGATGTGGTATATCCACATGATTTTCTACAATCAAGGCATAACAATAAAATCCATTAACACATTGAATAAGTGAATTTCATCAATCAATAATTTCCTCCCTCGAAATGAAAAATACATATATCTGTACATAACAAATGTAAGTATCGTATTATTGTAAAGGATGTAAGGACGTAAGGAATTCCACGTTGCGGTGAAGCGGCGCCCTAAACCTAATTGGGCGTGAATGTTTTCGTCACTTTCTCTTGTCTTTGGACATTTTACTTCCTCATAATCAGGCCACAAGGGAACTTCCTGATTTGCTGAAAAATAAAACAAACAGGTGATTCTCTTGGTGTCATCATGCTTATGGATTGTGGCACACAATGCCGTAAGCATTTACCTGCGCAACTATGACCTACGATAAACAAAACAATGGCCATCTAGCCAAACCGTTTACGCCGACTTTGAGTGCTGCTTTTCACAGAAGCAATAAGGCCCCTCTGACACCAAAACTTGCAAGTCCAAGTCCAGCTCCAGTGTTTCCTGCCCGCCGACTTGCACAACCCGAAAACCCCTATTCCACCCCCTCCAAAGACGATTCCCCCGCCATCCCTCCGACCTTCCTAAGTGCCAATGTCACTCCACGATCTGGCCCTCGAACTACCCGCAGAGATGGTAGTACATCCTCCCCGACAAATACACCGCCTACTCCTTCTCCGCATGCACCTTATTCCCAATCAACAATCGGCTATGGCCGCCGAGACCGTAGCCCGGCTCGCGGGGTCAAACCGGAGCAATCAAGAAGCTTGAGGGCGAAGACCCTCACAACGGAGAACCAGCCCTTATCACGCCCGACCTCATTTTCTGATTTAGCAGCTGGGACCCCTTTGTTTTTCCACGCATCCGACGCGCGATCATCACACCCCTCCGAGCCGCCAACTGCCCCTCGGCCGCGGCCTCAGGGGCAGATTTCCCCAGCGTCAAGCTTCGTATATGCGAATGGAGACCAAGAGCGGAACTCCTTGGGAGATCAGTCAAGCGTTACGTCCACCGCCTCAAAACGTCGATCAGGGGGCCTAGGTCCTCCTCGCCCCTTGCCTGCTGGTAGACCCACAGCTTCGCCATCCTCGCGCTTGAGTTGTCCAAGACTTTCCGATGCCACTTCCCCTCCATTGGAGGAAACGAGACTTCCGTTCCTAGGTGGCTTTGATAATGGCTTGGGCATCGTTCCTCGTCTTCACTCGCCGTCCAGTACGATTGGCGATGAAACACAGCGTCCACCAACCCGGCATACCAAATCCTCCAGTGTCGACTCAAACCCACATTTCACTCCGCCACAGGACAATTTGCGAGCAAGCCCGATCATTATTTCTGGAAACAACTTCAACGATGGTACAGCGCCAGTGATGTCGGAGAACATACCCCCCCTTCGCCCTCGGATCTTCAGCAATGGTTCCTCTATTTCGACCGATACATATCCACCTGCGCCTCTAAGCCCTGGGAAGTCCGATGCCCCCAGCGAGGTAGCTCTTAATGCGCGCACCGAGCGTAAGATCATGGACCTTGAAATCAGCAATTCGTCATTACTTGCCATCAACCGGACACTAGAGCGAGAGATGCGACAACAAAAGGCTGAGCTTCGACGATTCAGGCGTTTGAGTCGAGCTGGACGCATCTCAATGGCACCCTCTACCCGTTCATTCTCCGGGGTGGCTCTCTCGGCTACGAGTGAGATGGATGAGGGTGACAGTGAATACTCCATACGGTCACCGGATGACATGTCCGAGATCAGCGACGAAGATTCAATTGTTGATGAAGGTATTCTGAGTCCGGGTTCTTTGGCCGAGCATGATGCTAAACACCGTGCCCATGATGAAAAACGGGTGATGCTTGACTTGGCAAAACACCAAGAAGTCCTAGCGGACAGCCAGAAGATGAATCAGAGTCTCAAACGCTGCCTAGGGTGGACCGATGAGCTCATCAAAGAGGGACGGCGGGCCCTTGCATATAATGTCCATGTCCAAGACGTTGAATTGGGCGGACGAGTCCTTTCGCCTGAAGAATTGGGCGAGATTGGCGAGAGCGGTCGGGGGCTGCTAAGCCCTTCAACTGAATACGACGGTGTCTTCTCGCCTGTCGACTCATCTGCCGAAGTGTCATTTGTCGAATCATCATATCTTGAACCCACGTCTACCACGCCATCTATTGCCGCTGAACCGAGTATATGATCCCATTTTTGCCCTCGTCTCCTGGTGGGATGATCCATTCTTTTCTTGCTTGCTCATATATTTTGCACAATACCCCTTTCCATGCCTTTTTTTCATTCTGAACTCTTTCTTTCATTTTTCGTTTGATACTGGCTATTTTCTCACTCTTTCGGGTGCGACTTGTACTATGAGACTTTGGACTTTCTGCCTTTCGTTGGTTGCGTTCACTATTGCCGCTTTACTAGATGGTCAATATTCGACACCTATACCCGACCATGTCATACTCAAACTTGAACACCTTTTCTGGCTACTTTGATAGATACCCGAGGTGCAATTATTGTTTGCCTGTGTTTCATTCCGCTGTTTCGATTTCTTACTATGTACGCCTGATACGCTGAATAATAGACAACACAAGCTATAATGAACCCGAACACTCGATAATGATAGACTTTTGGTTAACTTCGTTTCTTACTTGTTTCCTCTTTGGTTTCATTTTTCACTTGTCCTTGGGGCTCCTTGGGAAAGGTCAGAGCGCGTGATGATTACTACTGTGATCATAGGATTCATCCACCACCATTGAATCCCTTTGCTCAGGACTTGCAAAATGTCATTAAGACAGGACCTATGGAATTCCCAGTCTCGCCTCTATTCTCAACCTCTCAAGGGAATGGACACTGCCCCTTTCGCTCCCGATGAAGTGTCTCCCTGATGACTTCCAATTCCTTGCGCCCTTTACCTTCGAAATACTTCGGTCCCAGGTCAGGGGTATAATACCCTTGCGGGTAATACTTGTCACCCTCATCTCCAGGCAAAGGCTGCCCGAGTGCCCACTTTAACCATGCCACCGGTCCCCAGCGATTCCAAACAGTCGGCTGCACATAGAATGGCGCGCCTTCATATATAATCACCCAGTTGCGACCGTACTTGTTTGGTTTCTCGGTGAAAACGTCCAGGCGCATGAAGTTCGGTCGTGGAAGGGCCAAGTATCGAAGGTATATCTTGCGCAGCTTGAACATGGAGGCAAATATATGCTTGAAGATTGGTGGCGGTGATTGCATCCTGATGAAGTAAATGTTAGCATTGAAAGTGGTCACCGTCTCAGACAACATACAGCATTGCGCTCCGCAAACGATCATCCATAAGATATGATACGAAGTATAGACCCAGAGGCTTCATAAACCTGGGCAAATTATACACGATAACATCGATCGTTTTATCTGCGATCTCCTTATTGCGAAGATGCGGTTTCATGTGCTGGATCTCGTATTCATGACTCCATGTACCGATCTCCTCCAACCATTGTAATCCATCTTCAAAGCCGGTCTTTCCGGATGGCAAGGCATCATAGCTAATGCCTAATGCATCACCAAGACTCTTCCAGTATGTTCCCACGGCGCATCGTTCCATCTCAGTCATCTCACGCCACTCGAACAGTTTCACAAACCGGATTGGCTCGATGGCAAACAGGCTCAGTGTATAGAGCATGTCAGCTTCGAGGATCTTTCCGCTAGCTCGGTAGCCCTTATGCAAGAATTTTGTTCGTGCGATTGCAGTTTGTGCTCGGTCAGAGCTCGGATCGAAGGCCATGAACTCACCGATTAAGGTACCTGTGTCGGCGTACCGTTTAAATGAAGTTGATGAGTCCGAGAACTGAGATGTTTTCAAGAGCAGGGTGGATATACTTGGGATGCCATATGTCTGAACTTGTCAGCTTTGAGTTTAGCCCTTGGAGGGAATTGTCATACGCGAAAGAGGGCAAACTGTAGCGACTTCAGAACTATGAAAGGAAATTCGGTTTGCATGATGGTCTTTTGGATGGCCCAAGCATCTTGATCGGTCATCTTTCCCATAGATTCCCTGGTTGCATAGTAGCTGTATTTCTTGTGTAGGGATCGTCGTCGCTGAAAGCGCAGTGAAGATACCAACGACAGATAGGTGGCTAGTCCAAGTAAGACAAACAATAACTGCTGTTGTGGAGAAGCATGTAATAGGATTGCCAGGGGATGCTTTCCCCCAAGGGCCTCAGACGTAACAACCGATGCCATCTTGAACAATGTATCAGGATGGATATCTCTTTGTGATGATGTTTGGTTTTCAAATCGCAGATTCATATTCAACTCAAATTATTCTGCCCTTATATACATTTTCAAATCCGTTATGTCCACTGTATTGCTCATGTCAATGTGGAATATGCACTTCTGCGGACCGAGGAAAACTCATCGCGGGGAAACCCCGCCATCATGTTGATATTCCAACAATTTTGATCATTGCTAAATGAGCAAAATGAACAATTAAAAGTTTGATTTCATACATAACCGAGGTTTGCAATCGAATTCGAATCATTCGACCCTCAGAACAGTCATTCCGGGCTGATGAGGTTACTTGATCCAATCAGATACAGTACCAATGAGCATAAAGACTGCATAAGGACTTAACATACTCGGTAAAATCAGTTGGAATGGGGCTAGCCGATGTCATACGACCTTCAAGATGCAAAGAAAGCAGAAAAAGTTGTCGGATCATGAAGATTCCGGATCGCTGACGCTACGACCTTCGGGCAGACTATGGTTGGCCAAAAGTCGCTAGAGATCTGCATCACATGGAGGCAAAAGCGATTCATGGAGATAGGATTATGAAAATGCTCTATTATAATATACATGGTGTTCGAAAGTCTAGCGACAACTTGAATCAAAGATATCTGGCTACAACAAGATTGAAGATTGAAGGATAGTCAGCCCCTAAAGAATATTATGAGATCCATGGAGAATCCATGTGAAGGTCTCAGTAATGTGATATGTAAAAATGTAGCCAGACAATCTAAACGACATATATCATTCAAGAAGAATTTGTATAATACGCACTGAGGTACCTCTCACCTCGTAAAATCTATTAGAAGCCTAGACTCGACACAGGGCCTGATGCTGGAGGGTATTGTTATGCATCAGTACTCAGTAACACCATACTCCCTTTCAAGGCTTGATGGGTTGGCCATTCCCAACCTGACCGGTGATGTTGTAATCCCCGAAACATGCCTCTTGGTACATCGCCTCTTTGTTTAATTTTGGAATAGCACTGAGGAACTTGTCGACCTTGCAGAACCCGTTCACCGAGCCATCGCATGCACTTAGTCCATCAAGAGGCAATGGAGCATTGTTAAGCACAAGGCGGATATAATCCGTGGTATCGGACTTGGACGAGAGATCCGGGTTCTTGTACTTTTGTGGCTGCAAGTGTTTCAACGAGGCATCCTTGGGACATGTCCAAATTTCAGAGAACAAGCGAGCGCCGAATGGGGTCATATGGTTCAAAATGAAGTTTCGGTGGGGGGCATGGGCAACTGAAACAGGAAGGCCATGAGAACCGGCTTTGAAGTAATCCAAACCCAGGGCTGTCAATACAGAGACAATTATGTCGTCATGTGACATGTCCATGTACAATGGCTGATCGAGCGGGAAACTCTTCGTGTTGTCATCGTACGTGTAGTTGATACTACTTTCGCTGCTCATGATGAGCCTGGATTGCAGACGGGCAGCTAACTCCTGGACATAGCCGATGCCCTGCGCACGACCACTGGCGGCTCCGAAACCGTACCGCCCATAGAATTGAAGGTCGATGAAGTATTCAAAGTCTCGCCACTCCTGTTCAGTGAATAGCGCACAGAAAGACGACTGACCCAGAGTCGCATACTCATATGGGCACATGTTGAACATTGCCACGATATCAAGTGTATCCAGCTCAAGATCTTCTGGTAGATGCGCCGCAAATCGCTTACGGGCGTTTTTGACTAAAGACGATGAAGCGAAGGCTCCACCAGCAGCATCACCTGCTTCCATACCCTCCGTGCAGGAACTGGTCGATGACAGGGTGTTATTAAAGTCATCGACCTCGGGGATAATCGTCAAATCATATTCGGCGTACGAGCTGTTGGCTCCCGTGTTTCCAAAGAAACCACTGAGCCACCACCGAGCGCTCTCCAGGATGCGAGGGTATGAGGTCGTGCGAAAAGTTGGCTTCGGTCGGGCCGTGCCGTTTGGATACACGTTCAATGATGAGTTCCAGGCGGCCTCGCCGGCCTCTGCACGGTATAGCAGCCGGCCGTATTGGCTCCAAAATAGCGCACCAGAAGTGACTTCAGTGGCGGCACCTGTGGGAAGAAGCGTGTTCAGGCCAAGGATATACTCCCAGTCATTCAAGAAGGCCAGAGGACCGGAACCAATTTTCTTGTCTGGATGTTTCTTAGAGTAATTGACCAGCTTTTGTGCAAAACTCTCCATACCCTCCCCATCCAAGGGGTAGTACGTCGGATATCGCTGGGCATGGCGGTGAAGAATATGCACCTGAGACAATTCACACTCTGAGGGAAAGCCCTTTGAAACATTGAAACCAGTTGCATCAACATAGGGACTGAGGTGTGCCCAGCTGGTTTTCATATCAAAACCCGATGGGTATGAAAGTCCAGTAGGTCCGGCTGAGGCCGAAGAGCTCGTGGGTGCTGCAGCAACCCCTCCCGCGAGGGCAAGCAGGGCGAGTGAGGAAAGAGACGCCATTATCAAAATATAGCTGAGCACGCGACTAATTTCCTTAAAGAGCGAGAAATGGCCGATGTTATACCCTGTAGAGGGGGAAAGGGATCGACAGCATTTATTCCTAGTATGGAACACCGGAGCCTCCGTTCACCATTCTCGCCATCCTCCCCGCACGAAACGATGTCACATCAAATGACGTATCATGATCAAGTAGGGAGAATATCAACCATGCATAGCCTATTTTACAACATGTGGCCGACTAACGCAAGGATGCAAAGACAAGAAGTGTGGGGAAACGCTTGAGCGGAGAACGCCAGAGCCCATATTGCGGGAGGCCCTCTTCCACCGATCCGATCGAATAGAGCGACAGTCATAACGTGAATGAATTGTTGGTCTTGGCCCCGGGGGTAACATCATAGATTTTGATTATGAAAATTTTTGTAAATATGTACCATATCGAGCTACGTGACTTCGATTCAACAGCTTCAAAGCTCCAATAGCGGCTACATTTACAGGGTGTGTGTGTGTGTGTGAAATCATTTACCCTGTCCCCTCGCGAACGATATGCAGGATACAACAACTATATATCCATGTACGTACAAATAGAGTGATCCACTTCCTGACATTAACTTAGAGCCTCGTCACGGCCTATCGTGGCCCATTGCCATTCCCATTGTTAGGCTGTCCTTATGACGCGCGACTGCGAAACCTCTGTGACGCCTCGGCGAAGTCCAGTACAGCTCGTACTATCTTGGCTCGCGAGACGGTGTCTGGTTTACCTTTCTCACCTTCATTTGAGCCTCCCAGCAGACTCGATACGCTGTTCAGCGCGTCCTCGACTTGTCTTCTCAATTCCTCCCGCGGCTCTCGTAGCCTCGGGCATTCCATCAAGACGTGGGTGACTGTCTCCTCTGCTCCGCACCCGCACCGATCATCATCACTGTAGCCAATCTTCTTTCTGTAGCTAGATAGCCAGTTGTGGCCCGTGCGTAGCTGTGTCAGCAGATACGCGCGGTTCCTGGGTAAATTCCCATAGAGTTTCCTGGTATATCGCGCCGGGAGCGTGTCGTCAATCTTCCGTAGGTGCGAGCCCTTGGTGTTTGACTTCCATTCTTGCCCCCATTGAGCCTGAATCTTATCGCGGATAGATGCGTTCTCCCTTGACAGCAGCGGCCGAAAAGGATGGGTTTTGCCCGGTTGTGCAGCTTCCTTAGCAAGTCGATCCGCCAAATCGTTCCCGGCGTTTTCACAATGCCCTGGCATCCACTGGAGGCGGAGCGTTATGGGTATTGTTTGAACCTCAGTGGCTGCATAGAGGGTTGCATGGACGATTCGCTGGCCTGATTTATTTCTCGCGTTTTGAATTGCCTGCAGAGCCGATTTGCTATCACAGAGAATAGTGGCGGTTGCGTGCCTACTGTTTCCGATGATCGAGCGTTGGTGAGCTAACTTGAACACTATGTTAACCGCGTAGAAGATGCCAATGAGTTCCGCTACATGAACCGACCAACGGTCCATCGATCCCACCTGGATCTGTTGAGACTCGGTCACCTCATCGTCGTCATTCAGTGCAACAATGGCAGCCCCCAGATGACCCTCACGTCCGGAGGCGTCCGAGTAGACGACAATATCCGATGTGTTCCTCACAGCCTCTGCTCTTTCTCTCGCTATTTCCCGGTCGTGTTCGAGCTCGATCTCCGTAAAGGCGTCCGAACGCCACGGGGGCAACGGGCGTGGGTCAATTATTTCCAATTCGTTGAGCCTGTCGACATCCATAGTTTTCATGGCTTCCGCTAGGGGGAAGCGGGCGTATGATCCCACATTGTTTCTACGATTCTGAGCTCTCGCTAGGGCATTCCAGATAGGATGGTCACGTGGTAGAGTGTGAAGTCTCGCTATGGTGCGCTGCGCTCGGTAGCGAAGGCGGAGATGCGTGGGGAGTATGTGGGCTTCGACTTCCAGTGTTGCGGTTGCTACTGTTCTGAACGCTGATAGGATCCTGATCAACACGGTTCTCTGCACTGTGTTCAAGTGTCGGAGGTGAACTTTGTCCCGGAGCGGGTCGTGCCAGACCGTCGATGCGTAGTCTACAATAGGCGCGACACATGCTTGGTAGAGCTGTCGCATCTGTTCTGGGCGCAAATGCCGTAGCCCACTTAGTGCGATAGTCGTCTTGGTGGCGCGTTTGATGGCCTGCTGAACGTGTTCTTTCCAACGAAGTCCCTGGTCGAATATCACTCCTAGCAGCTTGGCTGTAGGTGATGGCTTGACATCGGTTCCATCGAAGGTGATTTGTCCTTGAAGGTGCACTCCCCTCTTCCTGGTGATGTGGATGAGTTCAGTCTTCTCCGCAGCGAAGCAGGATCCGGTTCGCTGTGCCCACTCCTCAATGCGAGGGACATCCTCGGACTGTATCTTGGCTAGATTTTCCTCGGGTGAGCTGCCCACTCTCCATCGAAAGTAGTCGTCAATGAATGCCGACGCGCCTCCGTGGGAGTTGACGGGCTGGTCGACCAGATCGGCATTGAAGAATGCAAACAAGATAGGAGAGAGCGGCGAGCCTTGCGCTAGACCCGCATGTACTAGTAGCTCTGTCTCGGTACGGAAATCGTCGAATCCGATGTTGGCGTGCCGGTCACTCATAAAGCTTGCAATCCATTTCCTAGCAACCATCGGGATCCGTCTCGCCCGCAACGACGCATCTAGGCCCAAAAGACATTAAGTAGCTTCGACAGGTCTACTTGCATAGACCACTACCCCAGTTTTTCGCCCGATAAATGAGGCTTCTGGTCTTTTGAGGTTCACCACGCCTCTCACCCTGGGTGTCTCTCAGTTTGCTCCTTAAGCATACATCACGGGCAAGCCAACTAGGACGACACCGCTTCAACCGACCAAGGTCGATTTCAGGTCCCCAGTGCGAGTGGGGTAGTTGACTCCCGGCTTTTTGTACACCGACACGCGCATCCGTCCTCTCGGGCTATACAGACAGTCTCTTGACAGGCCCCGACCCTGCCGCAGTGGCTGCCATTGTACACCACGCCCCGCGACAGCTTTCGCTCTCGTTTCGCGTTACCTGAAGAGGTCTCCCTCCGCCAGGTCGACCGTGTCTTGCAGAAAGTCCTCCATACGCTCCATCCGGCAGTATATGTTGGTTGCTCTCCACTAACCAAGCTTGGTCCCCGATGTCTGAACAGGATCGACGAGTTGCCCGTGGCAAAGCCTTAACGAGTTCCGCTGACTGCCACCAGCCAAATACCAATATTTTTCAGATTGCCCGTGTGTCTCCTAAGAGGATGCCCGTGTCTCGGTGGTGCCCGTGTCCTGAAGAGCAGTCGCCCTGAAGCTTGCCCGTGGCTGAGCCTTAACGAGGTCTCCAGCGAGCGATGTCTCCGAGCCTTAACGAGTTCGAGTCTTAACGAGGCCTCTAGGCCGTGAACGAGGTCTGTCCGATATCAGCTTGATTGCCTGTGTCACCGGTTCACTACTACCTCGCCGCATCTCGCACGATGCGATCCCAGACCGTATGCAAGCTCAGGGGTGTCCTGTCTTCTCCTTAGGCGACACCACTTCCACTGGTAATGCAAGACCAGTATCGGGCCCGAGTGCGAGTCGGGTAAGAAGAAGTCGGATGGTTTTCATATGCCGTTATCCCCTGATTTTGGTGTGGTTGTGTGGTCGTGCCCCGCGCCAACCGCGCCGGGCCGGACCGCACAACCACGGCGGATTCACTTTGGTCTCCCCAACGGGGATTAACACCGGACACCACGAGAAGGTAAGAATCCATTGTCCCAACAGCCTGGCTAGGACTGCTGCCCAGTGCGAGCTCACTGGGGGCTAAAAACTGGTAGCTTCTCTTTGATTGAGCGTGTCATCCTTAGTGCAGGGGCCATGCTAATCTTCTCTGTATATTTTCATTTGACCAAATGCCCCGAAGGGCTACATTTACAGGGAGGATCGAAATCAGTTTCACCGCTTGCACACACATTGTTTGGCGAACCCTCTTCCAAAACACACTATGCCTGTTACAGTTACACTTCTCCTGAGCCCATGTCTTGGTAGTAACCTAACACAGCTGAGAATAACAGCATAACAATAGCTTCTGTATAAGATTGTCCTGTATCGCAGAAAGAACAAAGGGTAAAGAATTCAAATCAAAAAGCTAAAGAGCTGGTCTTGAATGAACATGTGCCGAGGTGGTCAAGGCAACCTTGTACCTACGTAGCAGCAGCAGTACCTACGTAGCAGCAGCAGTACCTACGTAGCAGCAGCAGTACCTACGTAGCAGCAGCAGTCACATCATAACGCACCGTTCCCACCACCACGAGTCGCTTGCTTGGGTTTCCGTCTGCACATGATCTTCATGCACAGAGCCAGCTGGCAAATAATTTTCCTGCGCGGAGAGAGCACGCTCAAATGCTGTCTTGACAGCCAGATACTCAGGGCGCACATCCGGTCCGTCCATCTCCAACATCTCCTCTTGTTCTCCAACCCCAAGGTCAACGAACACCTCGACAGGCGTATCTGATCCACCTGAAATTTGATCTTCAGAGTCATGGTCTGCCTCAAAGTTTGCTGCTTGAGAAGATCAGGGTTTGAGATAGGGACCTTGAATTCTATATCCAACAATGAACCTCAGCCCTCCGGGAAGTGTCAGTAAGACTTCAACACCATAGCCTGTAAAGCGAGGGAGAGACACAGTAATTGTCGTCGAAGGCATCAAACTTATAATGGCAGTCTTGAGTGCAGCGACAAGATTCCAGAGCGCTGTCAGAAAAGCAGTAACTTTGTCCAATGGAAATTTGATTGCAGCAACTATCGCCCCAAACCAATCAAATCCTTCTGGATGACTCTGCGGCACTAGGTTCTGAGAAATACTACTTCGCCGAGTATCGGTGGTCGCAATCCTCAGACCAGTCGCGCCAAGATACCTTCCAGCTGTTGTATCCTCCAGTAGAGTTTTCGCTCTCAGCTCTTGAATGATCAGAGGGGCGGCATAGTTTTTCTCCAGTGGAATTAAACGTGAAATTGCTTCTCTCGCGTATCTTTGTCGAACCTCTGGCTTTCACTGAGACTGAGGGCCTCAAGTGTTGCCATGTCCCTTTCGTAAACTCTGCCGTGGTGATATAAATTCGCTCCCCTGTCCAGAAAAGATGACCGTTTAGTCCTTGCCATTTCGCACACCAACTCGTCTTGTTCTTCTATATTATTCGGACTGATTCGGTCCCACATGGTGACGACAAAAGTAATGGAAGGAAAATATGACGGGCCGCAGAATGCATTCAGAAACAGTAGGCTCTGTTTCGCTTCACCCGAGAATTGCAAAGTAGCCGGGTGTACATAAAGAACATCGGCATATGTCACGGAGTCCTTGGTAATCTCGAGTAGCTTCGCAATCTCACGCAGAATATCAGCATTAGAGATCTCGGGGTCGTTAAGTCCTAGGTTATCAACAAAAAGGTAGAGCTTTCCGTTGATATTCGTGGAGCAGATTTGGTACTCTTTAGTCACTGTCATTCGTAGAAATTAGTGGGCGAGGGGACATATCATATGCGACAAAACTTCGATCACCTGAGTCAATACCCTTCTTTGAATGACCTGTTGAGCCGGTCAGGGATTCAAAAAGACTTGATTTCCCGGATCTCAAATGCCCAACTATGAAATCAAGAGTATAGGTGATACGATATTTGAGGCGTGGAGCTAGATCGGATTGGGATGGGGGGGGGGGGGGGGGGGGGGGGTGCAGGACTTCATGGATGTAGGGAGACCGGATGAAGCTGTCAAAAATTATGGCACGAATGTTGGAGACAACAACTTAAAGCCTCAATTTCGGCAGAAGTGCAACCTGGAGTTAGCAAATGGCTAGTGTGTTAACTTTCCGCTATGTTACCAGAACATCTCAAAGTTCGATAGTCATCGTGTCCCGTGGAGCATATTAAAAGCTAAACACCTATGATTTCTTGATCGACCGTTCCCTACGACTCATCAAGATCTTCCGAGTCGCTTTCATCCGATTCTATATCCAGCCATCTTATTTTCTTGCCCGACCTTCTGCGGGCTTTCATCTCCTCTGCTTGGAAATCAACATCTAAGCCATGCTCTCGATACGCCTGAATAATTTCCATCTCAGTCGTCTTAACGCCACTAAGACTACGCCCGAAACCCATCCCGCACTGGATTACCTGCTCGGTATGTAGAACCAGACCTACTTGACCAAGCATTTGATGAAATGCGTCTTTGATTGGTTCTTCTCTCGAATGGAAATCAATCGGCTCATCTGCTGACCAATACAGACGTGCACTCTCGAACATTCCAATTCGAATAGACGAATCGAATAGCAAGATCTCAAAGAGTCTTCCCATTCGAAGGCCCTCGTCTCCGTTTTTTTGCTTCGTCGAATTCGCCTAAACACACCGTGTCAGCCGGGAGATCCCAATTTTAAATGGATTACAAGACTAACGGGTATAACAACGCAGAGAGCGTTATCGCCACCCCTGCCGGAATCAATATGGAAAAGGCCAAACTCCCATAGAGGAGGTTGCTGCACGAGCATCTTGCGCCAGCTAGCATCTTTCTGGACAAAATGATCTAAACTTGTGGGACCTTTGGCCATCGCGCAATCGGAAAAGTGAAAATCTCGCTTGTATGGGTCGCCCTTGGCAGGAAAAATGGTAGGGAACATCTCTGCTAGCAGCGGATTAAGGAGCTTTTCTCCCGCGCCCCATTCGGGTTCTTTGATTGGAGTGAAGAAGAGGGATTTCTGAATCGATGGTGACGTGGTGATCAGATTATGCCAGTCTCGACAGACTCGTTGGCAAGATGTCAGAAGAGTGCGCATATCGGTCTGAACCAGAATCAATTCTAGAACCTCGGGTGTTGTCAGAACTGGAGGAGTCGAGATCAAAGAAGTATAGGCCTTCCTGGCCGCTCTTCTCGTGACTGGTGCCATTTTACGATGTAGAACGGATAGTATCAACGGATGATCGAGAACTGTGGGAGAGCTCTGAGGGGCAACTGCATGGAGGCGTCAACAACGGAGGCTCAGGGAGTGATGACCGCAATGAGACAAATTTGCTACCGGACACTTTCGCGCGAAGTTCAGTTTAGCTTAAAATAAAGCGGGGGTTTACCGCTAGACCAAAAATGCTAATGACGCTGATGGTCGGTAATCGTACTAGTGAAATCACCCCGACAGATTATTATCCGCATTAGCTTGTGTTTAAGAATTATTGCTTCACTTCCATCTAGGCGAAAAGAACTATATCAAGTTTTCCTATAGCTTTATCTATTTCGTAAAGAAACCAGGACGCTAACGTTACCATATTTCTATCTGTATTAGAAATATACCCGCAATTAATACATAAGAGTATATTTACTACGTTAGTATTGCCTAGAGGAATTTAATCGCGAGGGATCAAATCATCCCAAGCTTCTCTGGACTGAGTTCTTGCATCCATAATCTCTGACTCCTGATTTCTACAAGAAGCAACCGCTGTCCGTAATATTCGAGCATGACCCGAGCTTTGTTCCATGAACTCGGGTAGAACTTAGTGTTTTAATCTGTTCTCGCTTGGGCATTCAGTTTTATTCGGGCTAGATACCCGCCACCAGATCAGCGTAGGGTCTTATTAGGTCTATCAACGGCTTTGTTCCTTTCCTAATACTTATCAGGGAATTGAAACCCACTTGGCGACGTCCGTGCTAAAGGTCCATCGCTGATTGGCTTTTGTGGTCCGTTTGGTCTGCTAGAAGTACCAATAGCCCACGCTGAACCAGGTATAGGTTTCTGGGACACGACGGATGCGCTGTGCCTGAGTCTCTGTTTGACGCTTGTCCACTGTGTAGGGTGATTCTTGCAATTCTTGTTGTTTCACCCAGTCGTCTTCAAATCATTAGCGGAGAGACGGATTCATCTGGACTCAGTATCGACATCCCTTACAAGTCACGTCCGGTGTACTTGTTGCTGAGTACGAGATGAAACAGCTCGTGATATAAATTTGCACTTCGAGGAAGGATTGAAGCAATTTGCAAACCTTTTGGTTCTTTGTCCCCAATATACTTACGTATATTCCGATAACAATATTTTTCCCTAATACCATATTGAGCTATGTGAGTCCGCTTCAACAGCTTCAAACCTCCATTAGCATGTGCATTTACTAAGAAGCAAGGGACGTTAAGCCCATCCATGGATGATCCATGGATGAAGACAAGACGATAGATTGCATCCAATTAAATCCACAACAGAGTATCTTTGTTGTTTTATTCTTTGATGATTGCAAGTAATTGTGGAGAAATAGAAGAGGGAATCTGTTTCAATATGTGGCTTCCAATGTTGCTTATCAATTAAGGTTCTGCCCAGGTGGTACCCACTACTTGAGAAACTGTGGCAGCCGAGAGAAATATATATCTCAGTGTCAACATTTCAATTTGCACAATATTTCAAGCTATTGGAAAAAGAAAACCATAAACCAAGAAGGCCCATCCTTGGTCAAACAATATTGCTATGTCCAAGTGTATAGGTAGGGTCAAGTCTTAGTGCCTTGATTTACCTCCAGGGCTAACAAAAAAGAAAAGTCACAAGTAAGAGATAGAAATGATGGAACTTGGAATGGCACTTGTGGTATTGAAATTTTGCATCCACTTCTTTCTGACATCCATAGCGAATATTATGTATTTATATTGTTCTATAGGTTCCAAGATTGTATTCTTGATGTACCTAGGTATTGAGACAGGGACCGATCCTATGAAAAATTCAACCAAAAAAGGGTTACTTAGGCTTAAAATCCAACCTTATTTATTCGTTTTATTGGAGGCTCTTAATATATTATCGGAGAATCGGGGAATTACGCATATTGAGTCCTATTTAGGAAAAAGTGGGCGGCTCTCCCAATAAAGGTGTAAACAGTGCCGATCAAGCCGATCCGGGTTCTCTACACGAGAGCTATACTAGTATGAAGTACGGAGTAGGGTAGACACATCGATTGTTTATCCTTGATAATATTAATCGACTTTTTCAAGCTCTCGTATCTAAATCCAAAGTCTTATACGCCAAACTAGGGATCAAAGTGATGAGTGTAAATTCAACCTGTCGCTTCCATCGACTGGTCACACCTGCATATAGTAGCGCCAATAAATTGCTGACAGGATTCTTGCCTGAGCCCTTACAGCTTCTTTAATTTTCAGCTGAACATTATTTTCTGATCCGAAACATTCACTCGCTAAACTTGGTACTAATTAGGTACAGCGCGACGCCTTGTCGTTGTCGGTGCTCGTATCCGACACGAGTGACTGCAGTTTACACTTTTCGTGGCACCGAGCGCCCTATCGACTGGTTCTTAAGCTCTAAATAAGGCTAATCCTGCATGATTTCCGATTACGAGCTTTTCCTTTCTCCAAGAGCCGCACGTGGAACACTAGCATAAAGTGGAAGGGAGCCCACTTAGGGTTCTTGGGTGAATGTTGGATTTTCCCTTGATTTGGATCTTTTCCTTTCTAGAATCCTAGCTATAACAGCTTCAACATGTTTGCTCTCAATATTGTCTTGTATTCCCTTTTGGGCACGTCGCTGCTCTTTGCGATCGTGGAGCTGGGTCTTTCGGCCTTTGTTGTTTCGGCCTTTGAAAACACCACGCAAGAATATTCCACTTGGGCGGGATATGTTGATGTCAAAGTGAAAGCTCCGGCCATTGTAGACTTTATGGTCTTTTCTTCGCTCTGGACTATCCTTCTCACCGTTGCTGCTGTGCTGCTGCCCTGGCACTACACCCGTAAGGGTTCCGTGACCTCAAAGCTCAACACCGCTCTTGCTGCTTCTTTCGTGGCCGGTTACTTTGTCACGATGGTGTTTTGGTTGGCTGCCTTCGCCGACTTGGCTACGTATCTCGATGTCATAGCCGACTCGTACTACAGCGCGTTGATTGCCTTTGCCGTGCTTCTCTGGTATGTCCCTTGAACCCCAAGACAATCTCTATATAGATGGTGCTAATATATGATTTCACCGTGTGCAGGCTTCTTTTCGTTGCTCTCCTCGTCTTCACTATTCTTGCCATGTGTGGTGTCATGACCTCCGACTGGGCGGGATACCAGTCCTTGAGAAAAGACAAGGTGACGGCGCCCAGTGCTGCGCCTGCTCACGATAATCCGATGAGTATGAATCCTGTGACTCCCATGGCTCCCTTCGAGCTGTCATCTCATGATGCTGAGGGTCTACATAACCAGCCGAACAACCAATCGCCTAGTCCCTCATTGCCTTCAGCCGTCCACAATGTCGAACCAAATGGTGATAATAATGTCCAACGCGAGCACCATACGGGTCCCCATGAAGTCAGCCCAGCTTGATCCACATATCGAATGCGATGGTTGTTCATTGGGGTTTGTCTCAAGCTAAAAGGTCAGGCTAGCCAAGGGTTGTGTCTTTTTCCATGTTTTCTCAAATATTATACCACTTACGATACTGATAAGTCTTGTTCAATAATTGAATTGTGATTCTCACGCACATCTATGTCCATACCAGTTGCATTATGCTTTAGTGCGCTGCTGCGACTAATCAGAGGGAATGAGAGGTATCAAGGCCAATCTATCGCTTGAACAAACTGTGCTCATGCCGCAGCGTGTAACTATCCAGTCGCTGTAAAAAAATGGAATCGCCAAGCCCGAGAATGGTAAAAAAAAGGAAACCAACATGTATGTCCAGGATATAAAAAGCCGGCTACGAAAAAAAAGACCATGCACAAATGTGACTCGAAACAAATTAAAAGACACCAATAGAAGGGCGATCAAGCAGTGGTCTCTTCCACGGGCTCCTTTCTATCGTGGGTCTTATCGTGGGTCTCATCGTGGTCATGCTTGGACTTCTTCTTCTTCTTGTCCTTCTCATCCTTGCCCTTCTTGCTCATGGCCTCAGCCATGAGCTGCTCAAAGGCCATGTAGTCACCTTCTTCTTCGGGGTCACGAGCAGCCTAGAAGCTGCTTGTCAATACTATATTCACTAGATTGATTGAGTGTATACATACCTTCGCGTAGATGTTACCGGCAATCACCAAAGCATGCGCACGCTCAACACGCTTCTCGAGTCGAGTCCGCTTGTCATTGAGAATCTGATCACAGACATCACGAAGAACACTTTGGATCTCGAACTTGCTGCCACGCCACGCCGCTGCGAGGATCTTACCAGTGACTCTCTTCTCGTATTCAGCTTTCTTCTCGTCCGTCCAATCCTCGCCGCCGCGCTCCTCCATCTTGGCCATCTCTTCCATGGTCATTTGGGCATCAATAGCGGTGGAGATGGTGGTCCAGGTCTCCTTGGCCAGAGTACCCTTATCCTTCAAGCGGGAGAAAAAGCCGGAGATACCGAGGAACTTCTGGGACTTCAAGAACGATGTACCCTTTTGAACATATGTTTGACCAACGGCGTGTAGGATCTCAAGACCAAAGGATTCCATCTTCAAGTTCTCAACCTCCAATCGGATCTTCTCTTCAAAAGCATGAGAGACATCCTTACCCTTGTCTGTCTCGGTCCATACGCTCAATCGGTCGATCAATTTGTTCGCGAGTGTGTTTACTCGATCTTCGCGGGCCTTTTTGCGCTCCTCCTCGAAAGCAGTAAGACGCTCCTGCTGCTCCTTGGACAGGCCCTTCTTCTTCTCCTTCTTGCGCAACTCCTTCTCTTCCTGAGACAGACCGGCTGCCTCCATGCGAGCTTCCTCTTCAGACTTGTCCATAAGGGCCTGTTGGCCGAAGTTTCGTCGAGGGGTACTGGTGCCGGAGCTCTGACCGGAAGTTGGCTTCTCGGAAGAACCGGCAGCGGCAGCTGCAGCTGCGGGTGCAGCACCGGTCGTGGGGTCATGAATTTCGGAAGCGGTAGCCGGATGGCCACCTGCAGCCTTGATCTCTTCGTCGTGGATGTTGAGTTTCTCCTCCGCGGACTGGGCCAGTTCTTCCTCCTCCATTTCTTGCATCGTGATGTCCATAGTCGCGGTTAAGTCCTTCATGAGAGAGATTTCGCCAATGAGATCAACAAAGGCCTCGCCACCAAAGATCATGCTAAAGAACTCAGAGGGATCCTCTGTGCACGAGAAGTCAGAAATGTTATGTTGAGCACTAGTTTCCGCATGATAGACCTACCAAAGCCACCACCAGGCACCGACTCCTCCTTTCCGAACTTGTCATATCGCTTTCGTAGATCTTCATTGCTCAGAACCTGGTAGGCTTCACCGATCTAAACAAGGACGTATCAGTCTTCCGTCATGTTCATAATTATTGGAGGGAGTTGTAAGCATACAGCTTGAAAGCGTTCGTGTGCGGTTTCATCTCCGGGGTTCTTGTCTATATCAAAGAATTAGTGAACATGTCAAGGCCAAGAAAAGAGTCCATTAGTTCATACCCGGGTGAGTGACGATGGCCAACTTTCGGTAAGCCTTCTTGATTTCTAGTTCAGTAGCCGTCGGTGGCACACCGAGGGCATCGTAATAAGCAGTATCGGCAACCATGATTGCCCGAGTATAGTTCAAAGAAATCGATCAGAGATCAAATCCAAGAGTTAGGCAGAACCCGAATATATTTTTCGAAAGTTGGCGCTGATATCATGTGGGGGGTGTATGCATCGTTTGCTTTAATAGTCACGTGCCAGGCTAACTCTGCTTTTAATCTCGTCTGCGTTGGTTCCCCTTTTCCTCTGCATCCGCCCCCAGGTTTTGATTGTTTTCTGAAACTTCATTCTAGGTGTTTTCATTAATATCTTCATTTTCTTCTTTATTGTTTTCCCTTTTGGACCTCGCCCTTGTACCTTGTGTGAGCTTTGGACGTGCGCGCATCTTCCCCGCCCATCATGGGTCTCATCGGCAATGCTCTCTATTACTCCTTCCACCCTATGCAGTTAAGGTCAATTATCCAATGGTATGTCCTTTGATGCGCCGTTCCAATTCATAAAAAAGAAAATCTAACCATTCGCCCTCTCATAGGAAAGTTTGGCACAACCCGCCCCATGAGCGAAACGAGAAGAACGAGACCGAGAACCAAAAGCTCTGCTTTAAATTTTTGGACAAGACGAGTCGCAGTTTCAGTGCTGTGATCAAGGAGCTCCATCCCGAGCTGTTGATCCCTATTTGCATCTTCTACTTGGTCCTCCGTGGACTGGATACCATCGAGGATGACACTTCCATTCCCCTAGTCACTAAGGAGCCCCTTCTCCGGGACTTCAAGAATATCTTGACACAAGATGGCTGGACTTTCACCGGAAACCGACCGGAGGAGAAAGACCGTGAGCTGCTGGTTCAGTTCAACCACGTCATCACTGAGTTCATGAATATGAAGCCTGAATACCAAGCTATCATCAAGGACATCACCGAGAAGATGGGCAATGGAATGGCCGACTATGCCGTGAAGGCGGAGAACGATGATGCTAGCGTGAAGACCAAGGAGGAGTACGACCTGTACTGCTACTACGTTGCTGGCTTGGTCGGCGAGGGCCTTACCCGCCTCTTTGTGGAGGCGCAATTCGGTAACCCCGCTTTGCTGAAGCGCCCCAGACTCCACAAGTCGATGGGTCTCTTCCTCCAGAAGACCAACATCATCCGTGACATCCGGGAGGACTTTGATGACAACCGCCGATTCTGGCCCCAGGAGATCTGGTCCAAGCACGTCGACAACTTTGAGGATCTTTTCAAGCCCGAGCACCTCGATGCCGCTCTCAACTGCAGTTCCGAGATGGTGTTGAATGCCCTGGAGCATGCCGAGGAATGTCTTTTCTACTTGGCTGGCCTCCGCGAGCAGAGTGTGTTCAACTTCTGCGCAATCCCGCAGTCTATGGCCATTGCGACCATGGAGTTGTGTTTCCGCAACCCCGACATCTTTAAAAAGAACATCAAGATCACCAAGGGCGATGCGTGTGAGCTCATGCACAAGTCGACTCAGAACCTCAGTGTCCTGTGTGAAAGCTTCCGTGTCTACACCCGCAAGATCCACAAGAAGAACACCCCCAAGGATCCCAACTTCCTGAAGATCAGCATTGTTTGTGGACAGATTGAAAAATTCATTGAGACTATCTTCCCCACACAAAGTGCCGAGGCCGCTCAACGCAAGGTGACTGGTGAGCTCACTGCCGCCGAGATCCAGAGAAAGAAGGAAGACGCCGAGAACAAGGATGATGTCTGGTTCATGATGGCCTTGATGGGTGTCATTATTGTCATCGTTGCTGGCCTCATGATCTTTGCGGCTTGGATGATGGGTGCCCGATTTGATCTTGCCTTCAAGGAGCTTTCTCAAGGCAACTTCCGCCCGCCTAAGAAGCTCGAACGTACCGAGCTTTGATTTGTCTTCGATCACATCCACGGCGTTACGACCTTTTAACTGTTTAATTTTCGATTCCCCCTTCCGGCGGCACACTGTCTTACTATTTTCTCACCCGGTGCCTCCGACGTGTATTGATAATAACATACAATTTTCTCCCTCTTCGCCCGTGTACACTATTACTTTCCCCCCCAATCCCACCAATTTTTTCCAGCACGGATGTCAAATTGCGATCCGGCCCTTTCATGGCCGAGGTCGTGCCGAAGAAGTGCTTATATCGAAATGGAGATACGTCTCCCTAGCCAGTGAGTACTAGATTTTTGTCCAACGGTTCGCCCGAGGTGGCAAACATCCATTGAAGATCTGGAACATTCCGTATGTGTAGATTTGTATACGGAGATGATTTGACAGATGAAATAAATTATTGATATCTTGCAATGTTCGAACCAAATTGAATACAAGAATCTAGATCTTATATATGCTGTCTAACTACGGAGTAGTGCCCTTGTCAAACTTGCATCAAATCAAATGCGATTGATTTATGGAGCAATCCCGCCCTTAGCGATTCCATCGAATCAGAAATCTCTGCTTTCTCATCATATCTCCAGATTGACCTGACCAATGAACTACTTAGTCAATTATTATTCTTTGATATCAATTTCTCAATTTCATTTGCATTAGGTATCTTTCTCGGCAATAATCCATTCCCAACTGCCGTCTCATGTGTGGTCTTCGATTCCCTGTGCGCCCACCTTATTCATTATTGCGAACACAATCTATCTCTCCGATTTATCTCTCTTCAAGACTCTCCATTTATCCCATGGGTGCCAAGAAGATGTCAACCTCGGACTCGGGCGAGCCTCTGCCACCCTTGTCAGCGAGTGATTTCCGCACCTATAACCGCATGTCGGAGCAAATGGAAGCATTCGTAAGCCACAAGCTCTTTTAATGTTACACTTGATCAAAGACAGCTGATATCTATCTAGCATAGCCATTTTCGGTTGACATGGAATCAACTTTGGGAGGCCTGCGAAAGCAGTGGGAAGCGAGCACTTTCAGCCCGTCAAATGATCATGATGGGTCTTCAGTTTTGCTCGCAGTTGGATTTCCACCATTCCATAGAAGAGCAACACATTTTCCCCGTCTTAGCGAAAAAGATGCCGGAATTCAGAAAAGAGCTCGAGCTTCTGAGTCAACACAGGCAGATTCATGCTGGACTTGAGAAACTCGAAAAATATCTCGAGAAATGCCGCTCCGGCGAGGAAGACATGCGCCGTGAAGAGGTGAAGCGATTGATGGATGGATTTGGAAAGGTGCTATGGACGCATCTGGATCAAGAGGTCAAAACTCTTGAAGCAGCCAACATGCGCAAGTTCTGGTCGCTTGACGAGATGCGTCGCCTTCCTATGTGATCACGAACATTGAGGCAAGGGATGGACCCTGGGGGTGACGGGATACGTCACTTCAAACAAAGAATTGATGAGTTCAATATTGTTTTAAAGTTTTAAGTGCCGTGTGTTGTGTGTATATACTTGGGTTTTGTTTTACTTTGGAGTACTCTACCTTCTTGTCGATTCTTTATTCTGGATGTTTACCAATTTTCAACAATCATCCTATCTAGACCGAAGATTTGGTTTGCCATTTGACCCTTACAAGAATAATGACCTCATTTTTCTTTGCAGCTGACGGATCTGATCATACTTCCAAGGATATTCAACACCCTGCGCCATGCGACACAGGTTAACCGAATCACGCACAGCATTCATCCAGGGATCGACCTTCTCATGCGGCAACCAAAGACCCCGACGTATTGATCAGCAGATGCAAGATTGACTTTGACGGACTACGCTTATCTTCCCCAAGTCTGCGCCTACGGGTTGTAGTATATGCTTTGGTAGCTAATGCACGATGACAGCTGGGATGAGGCGAGACAATTGCTGCTAACGGAGTATGCTGTTCGCGGATCTGGATGCTGACGGCTGACCAATCAGAGCCAACCCTGGTACAATGAGGAATGCGAAACCATCCCATCCCTTGGCTGGTATGTATGCTAGCCGCATCGCCTGGAGGACGTTGATGAACGCACGCCTCCGTGAGTCTTAGTGTGGAAGAAAGTTTATTCAATGCTAGTTACCTAAATCATGCCGAAAATTTTTGATTTCGTAAATATCGGATTCTGTGTTTCCATAAATGTTGTCGACCGAGAATTGTTTATTGTCAGGGTATACAGTGTGGACCCCACAATGCCCACGCAGGTAGGTGAACAAGCCAAATCCACGTAAGTTGGACATGGAAACAATGAGCATTGTCTGATACACTTGAGACTGCAAATTTGGGTGAATCTCGTGGCTCATAGATACGTCGAGGGCTGGCGCAGATCTTCTTCTGATCCGTCGCTGTCAGATGTTTTTGTCCCCGGGAATGCTTCTGCCACTGAGGCACGCAATCTCGGCTTACCTGCTCCACTGAACTAGATCTATATGATGATAACGGAAGGGCAAATTCGGATGTGAAAACATGAGCCAACCAGAGTGGAAGGGAGAGGATCAGCACGAGTCAAATTATCAAGTTCTCAAAAACAGCCATGGTTCCCCAGAAACATTTGCTATATGGCTGTGTAAAATTGGTTTTTCTTTGATTTCTGAATTTTTACCTCTCCACTCTGGCGGGCCCACGGTCATGTCTCAGCTGGTGCCTGGGGTCACAACTACAATGCCACGAGCTCCATTTCCCCATGCGGGTTGATGATAATAGTGTACCGCATGCGACTTACATGAGATACAGTATATAAGTATCTCCGGGGTCAATTCAAGAACATGCCAAGTTTCTTTCATCTCAATTCTGTTTCTCTGCCCTATACATCTCGAGGGGTTCCGCAATCCGTACCTTCAAACGCCAACATGAAGTTCACTACCACCATTCTGACCACTGCAATGCTGGCCGGCAGCTCTCTTGCCGCCCCTCGCAGCGGTCTTGCTGAGCGTCTGCAGGCTCGTGGTGTCTTATCACGCCAGCTCATTCCAGCCGAGAAAAACGGTGTTTTGCTGAAGGATGGATCTGACGGTGCAAATGTCGAATACAGCAAGAACTGGGCTGGAGTAGTGCGCGAGAAGCCTCCCCCAAGCGCTACATATACCGCTGTGTCGGCAACCTTCACCGTCCCAACGCCAAAGGCCACCGACAATTCCAATGATATGCAAGCCGTGTCCGCTTGGGTCGGCATCGATGGAGACACCTACACACAGGCGATCTTGCAAACTGGTGTTGACGCCTATATCCAGAATGGCGAACAGACCTTCGATGCTTGGTACGAATGGTACCCCAAGAACGCGGAGAATTTCGACTTAGCTTTGACCGCGGGCGATGTCATCGTTGCCAAAGTGGAATCTTCTTCACCTAGCAAGGGAGTTGCCATCATTGAAAACAAGTCTAGCGGACAGAGTGTCACCAAGACTCTGGACGCACCCTCCACATCCGCCACTCTGGCAGGTCAAAATGCTGAGTGGATTGTCGAGGACTTCAACTCCGGTAGAAATATGGTTCCCTTGGTCAGTTTCGGCAAGATTGACTTTACCGGTGCTCAAGCCAATGCCAATGGTGCGTCATATGGTGTTAACGATGCCGCTCTGCTGGACATGCAACAGAACGGCCAGGTGAAGGCCCATGTTGAGGTTTCAAGTGATACCGAGTTCACCGTCACGTACCAATGATTTTGATGTGCCATATGTGCAATATATCCAGGGGGGGCCTTTTGTTTTTTGGAGTTTGGGTTTTGGCGTGACATGGATGGAATGGGTAGACCTGATCCTGTATCTTAATCAAGAAAGTGTGGTACTATTGTTTGACTCAATGCATTGAAAGCTTTCCATAAAATTGTTGATTCATCGCACTTGCACCAAAGCAAGCTTGAAGACATTATCGGGGTCATATTGACGCTTGATGCGCTTCAGAGTTTCAAACTTCTCTCCGTATATTCCTTTCATGTTGACTTTGCTTGGTTCAGTGAGTGGAAGGTATGTGGACGTCAGGATGTTAGCAGAATCTGTTCTCAGCAACGCGTCGTAAAATCCGTGAGCCCAGACAAGTGCGGCATTCAGCAATGCGACGTCCTGGACAGTGGGCAATAACTCCAACACGAAATGATGACAGCGAGTGTCTATCACCGTACTCAATGAAGGCTGTGGGGCGCAAGCGCGCAGCTCATGCATCCCAAACATGGTGGCCGGACTATTAGGCTGCAATATCGCGTGCTTGCTCATGACATCCACCACTTCAGAAGTGAGATCCCGGAGGCTGATAGTCAGAGATCTTCCATAAACCATCGTGGGAACAATCGTCTTTGTGCTTTCGTTAAATGCAGACATCGTGGTGGGTAAAACAGTGCTTGTAGCTACAGGTGACCATGCGAGCAGTTTGGATATCCATTTTTGCCCCTCTTTCAGGTTGGATGACGCCCAAACGAACAGAACTGCCAGTACCTTACTACCCGAGCTATTGATAACAGATTGGAACGTATTGAGTTCTTTTGGAAATCCTTCCTCTGTTTGCCGACGATAAGCATCATTGTATCGTTTGATGGTAGTTGACAGGTCGGTGGAGTCATATATAATGAAACCCGCAAGTATCTAATGAACTGCTTAGTGTACTTGATCTGGTTTATGAAACGTGTTTGTTCCAGCATACCTGAGACAAAGGATAGACCTTGATAGTTAGCTCGACGATGACACCCAGTGTTCCGCCTCCCCCTCGGATTGCAGTCAACATATCTTCATCTGCATCACGAACCACTGCGTTGGCGTCAACCAACTTAGCCTGGAGGATTTGATCAGCTCCCATGCCGTATTCAGCGCTGAGGAGACCGTAGCCACCATGGGTTGCCCAGCCAACAAATCCAACGCTTGAAATCACAGGATGTGGCACAACCATGCCATGTTGATCCAGCTCCTGGAGTAAATCTTTGACGAGCACACCACCACCAATGCGGGCCGTCTGGCTATCTCGGTCGACGTGGATATAATGTATCTCCCTTAGGTCGATAGTGATGGCGTCTTTCACTTGGAACCGGCCAAACATATCATGTCCACCGACTCGAATGGAGAATGGTAGATCGTTTGCTTTCAGAACAGAGACCAGACTGGCAACATCGGCACCCGAACGAGGTCGCACTACCATTGCTGGTATCGTGTCATTGATCACATAACCCCGGCGTAAATTGTCGAAGTCTGGAGAAGAAAGGGTAGAATAGTGAATGTGAGGGTGACGAGCGAGGAAATTCACTAGTTGATCCATGATCGTTGAATATCCTGCTATTGCAGTCTTTCTGTATGTTAGGTGTGCGAGGAATTTGAGGGTTTTCAAACTGTTAAACAGCAGATCACATCTGTCTTAAAAATCCGGTGGAAGTGAAATATTACACGCGAATTTTCGATCTGCGCCTAATTTCAGGCGAAGTTCGCGTGTTCGTAAAGAAAATCTGACATCGATGCGCACAACGCATCAATAGTGGTTCGTATTGGTTCCTAATCCTTCCTGACTCGCTGCACAGGGCCCACTTGGAGTAATCTCGCTTTTGGAGACAAGATTGTTGACAACCCGACATCCAGTCATTTATTGTCTGGGCGCGCCTCGTGGGTGCTGAAATCAGGATGAAATCGGATTGAGACGCAGATTTGATCAGATTTGGATCATCTGGAACTTCAAGTTCAAGGTATCGACCGACCGTACACGATGAAATTGAATGGGAGGATTGCTTACGCTGTCGACTTGCCCGGACATTGCATTAACTCCTTGCCTTGGCAGTGGATCTCATATTTCTAAGCAGGGGAGGTTGCCCAGGCGTTAGCATTGTACTTAAATAATTAAAATATCACCGAGGAATAATCCACAATCAGAACAAGTCTCGACAATCCGTAAATATGGCAACTAAGAATATTCTTGTCATTGGTGCTGGAGAACTAGGCAACGAAGTGCTACGATTCTTGACCCAGCATCCACTTCAGGATGCAACGGTGGCCGCTCTATTGCGCCCTAGCAGTATTATATCAAACGACCCCACCAAACGGAAAGAGCTTCAGACATTGAAAAATCTTGGAGTATGTTTAGTACCCGGGGACATCGTACAAGATCAAGAACCGGCCTTGACCTCAATATTCGCTGGATTCGACACGATCATCGGTTGCACAGGCTTTGTAGCCGGGAAGGGCACTCAGACCAAACTCGCGCGCGCTGTCCTCGCCGCGGGAATTCCTCGATACATCCCTTGGCAATTTGGTGTTGACTACGACGTTATCGGGCGCGGATCAGCTCAAGACCTTTTCGATGAACAATTAGATGTTCGCGATATGCTGCGATCGCAGAGTACCACCCGTTGGGCGATTATTTCCACTGGCATGTTTACCAGTTTTTTGTTCGAGCCGTTCTTTGGGGTTGTCGATTTCCAAAACGCCACCTTCTGTGCCCTTGGGAGCTGGGACAATCGTGTCACCATCACCACACCACGAGATATTGGAAGGTTCACAGCTGATATCGTACTTGGAAGAGACTCTGAGGAACTCTTTGCCAATCAACCAATTTTTGTAGGCGGAGATACCATTAGTTATCGAGAGCTGTGTGAGTTGGTGGAAACGCTCGCGGGGAAGCCGTTCCAAAAGAAAGTCCTTTCGGTAGCCGAAGCCGAATCAGCACTTGTGCAAGACCCAAACAACGCATTGTTGAAATATCAAGTTGTGTTTGGTCAAGGACGTGGAGTGGCATGGGATGTGAAAAAGACGTGGAATTATCAACAAGGCATTGCGGGTATGACTGCACAAGAATGGGCTGAGAATAATCTGATATAGATTGAAAAAATCGAAAAACTTTGAATATCGAATTTATTGTAGTCTAAAGTATTAAATTGTGAATGGCACGACAGGTTGAGGGAGTTAGTTGTTGATCCCAATTTCGAAGCCATCACAGTTTCTGAGTCATCGCCTCACTTCTCCTGAAATCGGGTGGTTCTTTCACTTCGTTGTATATTCATCTATTCACCTATTCTTCCTTGTTTTTAACACTCTTTTCTTCTCTGTCATGGCAATCCATATAGCGCCGGCGCAATTCCCCCAAGATGCCGAATCTATCCTGTCCTTGTTTTCTGGCTACGCAACATCACTCGGTATCGACCTCACATTTCAATCATTCCAAGAGGAGCTTGATTCCCTCCCTGGAAAATATGACGAATCCCAAGGAGGCGCTCTTTTGATAGCAAAACGAGAGACTATTGACCAAAATGGAAACACTCGACGCGACTCAACAATTCCCCCTCTTGCCCCGCAGACCCATATTGCGCTTGGATGTGTAGCGCTGCGTCGCAGCTCCGATGGTTGGTGTGAGATGAAACGCCTTTACGTTCTTAAAGAAGCCCGTGGAGAGCGTTTAGGGGATCGACTTGTCGAATCTATCCTTGCACAAGCCAGAGCATTGGGATACCGAGGGATTCGCTTGGATACACTGCCCGAAATGACCGCAGCGCAAAGGCTATATCGCAAACATGGCTTTGTGGATATCGCACCATACTATGAAACCCCGATTCAACGGACAGTATTCATGTGTTGTGAGTTTTTGCATCCATAATCTCGAATTATTCTGGGGGAATTTGTGACAGATGAGGCTTTCATCTTTGGGCCAAATGTCGTTCACATAGATAGCCGACAAAAGCCTTGGAAAGCATTGGGCTTCTATAAGTTGATTCCTCTGTTCAAGCCCGACAGGATAGATCGCCCAAACCGAATATTGCAGCAATAAAAAGCAGGATGCAGGCCGATCATCCAATCAGCCCAATAAGACTTTATGCCAAGCTGTGCCGTACCCCTCTTGTAGCATTTCCGTTGACTTCCGACTGCCCCTCAATAACTCACAGATCTTCAAATCAATATCGCAAAGCTGATTTCGTCGAACAAAGTACCCCTGGAGCTCCACAGGTGAGCATCATTCACCCTTTGTCAGCGGCTCGGAGATAAGCCATCGGAGTTGTTCAGATTAGGCGATTTGATGGGAGACGGATGCACATATAAAACACTGCCGTCTATCGATGCTCTTTTGTCTTTTTTTAGGATAAAGAGTACTCTATACCCTTCACCATGACTGTCGGTCGGCCTCTAGATGTCCTTGTGATCGGTGCCGGCATCGCTGGGCTGTCGGCGGCTATTGCCCTCGGGAAGCAAGGGCATCGCGTTGTGGTATGTTCGTACTACCGAATTGATGCAGATCGGAGATGTCGATTAATGATCCCTCTCAGATTTTGGAAAAGTCGGCATTTTTGAGAGAGGCCGGTGCGGCAATTCATTTGCCGCCCAATTGTACTGCATTGCTCCGCTGGATGGATATCGATCCGACTGATTTTGGGGGCACGTTGCTTAATGAGGTCAGCTTTGAACATCCTCATGTAGCTGACTCAAGATCGCTGATGTGTTTATTTGAAGATGCATCGGTACGGATTCGACGGTGAATTGAAGTACAAGAAAGAATTCGCAGATGTTCGTCACATCTGGCAAGCAGTAAGTCAGTACCAAGGATATTACGGCAAACTGTCTAAAATGAATGAATTTAGGAGTGGTATCTAGTACATCGAATTGATCTACACAAGCATTTGAAGGAACGTGCCATCGAGACTGCGACGCTGCATACAAATTGTCAGATTGACAAGATAAATTTGGAAGGGCCACGTCCATCAGTCTCACTCCATGATGGCCGCGTTTTCGACTGCGATCTGCTCCTCGGAGCAGACGGGCTTCACGTATGTATTCAATATGAACTTATCGATAATTATTCATTTGGGATATGTACTGATTCTCTGCAGTCCCGAGTTCGGTCGAGTATTGTCCCGGATGCTCCCCTTCCATATACTGTCGGGAAGTCATGCTTTCGCTGGCTTCTAACAACAGACCAGGTGAGGCAGAATGAGAGCATGAGTGAATTTGTTCAAAATCCGGGTGTGTTCATTGAGTGGGCTTCTGAGGATCGACGACTGGTAGCATACCCTTGCTCCGATAGCAAAGTATTTAGTCTTTGCGCTTTCATGCCTTCCAGCGAAGCGCAGAAAGACACATGCGACGATAGTAAGAGGTATTCCGCAACTTTTTTCTGAGGATTTGGCTGAATGATATCCTCAAATAGGCTGGCAAGCAACTGGAGACAGAAAAACCCTTGCTAAAGCGTTTTCGAATTATTCACCTGGTGTACAAGCACTTATCCAAAGCGCAAAGGAAAAGCTTAAGGTGTGGGAACTATATGATATGCAACAGCTCCCAACCTGGACCCGAGGTCATGCTGCTGTTATCGGAGACGCAGCACACCCCTTCCAGCCATGTAAGTACAATGATAACTTTGACACCATCCTGCCTTGGTTTGATATGATATACTAAATGAAGTGTAAGTCATGGGGCAGGGAGCAGCTATGGCAATCGAGGACGCCATCAGTATCGCCACCTTGCTTCCCCGTGGCACCGTACCGGAAAATATACCCATTCGGCTTGAGATGTATCAACAATCTCGTCGGCCACGAGTTGAGTTAGTTCTTCACTTCACTCGGATGAACGGGCGAGATGAGAATGACGTGGCCAGGGCCAGAATAGATGGTATTTTTTTGCGTTCCTGATCCCCTCATTTTGCAAAGATCAAAGCTGACATTTATAGCTGCCGAGATGGTTAAATTTATGGGTATCTGTTTCTCCCACAACGAAATCGAACATTCCACGAAAATTCTCCAGGGTTAAAAAGAGAGTAAATATATAGGAATATCACCAGACTTTCTGATCATACCTAGGTAGCTTGCATCTTCATATATGTCCTTCTCTCTCTCCTGTGTTTCCAAGTATGTGAATTCAGGCACCAACTACAGCCTGAGGCCACAGTGGAAGCTCGGACCAATCAAACCGCCAACCTTCCGCAGTGTGCGAATTGGCCACTTCCCCCCTTTCTTTCATGTACTATATATATTACATTTGGGGTTTCGGTTTCTTCTAGTGGGTATGGATCCTGCATATTTGAAGCCGGATGTTCCAGACTCACTTCGCATCAAGCGTAAGCCGGTGTCAAATCCGAACTTACGAGCTACGGCGCGTGCCGATCAGCGGGAAGCCACGGCTACTGCCAATACTACAAGTTTGATGCCACCTTCATTATCACGACCGCCTTCTTATACAGATCTTTATGGACCACCGCCAAAAACTCCAAGGTCCGCCTCTTTACCTAGACCTCGGACAGCAGGGCCGAGTGCATCGCCAGCTCCTCCACCACCAACATCTGCCCAAAAGGCATACAGCGAAGCTCGGCATTTTCTTGGGGGTTTAATTACTCATCCCACAGAATCAAACAAACATGTCACTATCTTGCGACATTCCCATGGTCTGGTGTTTTATCGTGGAAATACAACATCTGTGACAATATCCATTTTCTCCGATGCCCCTCTACCACCTGATCGTACGTTGTGGTTACAAAGCAAAGGTTGGTCAGGTAAAACTGGCATGCAGATCAAATCCTTACTTCGACTCCGAGATAGCTGGTTGGATGTGACCCCAGAGATGCCGTTGAGAGCCGACCAGGTGCCTCCAAATGATGAGCGAGCTTGGCAACGCGACATCAAGAAATTTCGAAAGAAGGCGCCTGCCCGCCCGCGAAATCCACATCAATTACGGGAGACATCGACAGTTCGGATTCCTGCTGAGGCAGGCGACGGTTATTTCCAACTGGTGCTCTGCCAAGGGATCAAGAAAAAGGTCCTAGGCAACAGCCCAGTGTTCCGTGTGATCTCTACATCCACTGCCCCCAGTTCAATCCGTGGTGCGAGCTTAAGTACTCTGCCTCTGGAGGTTGGGGCCATGATCGTGAGCGTTTATGCTCACACTGCAGCGCGAACTGCAGCAGGTCCTGCCGCTGTGGCTATTCAAGCTAGAGTCGATCGAATGGCCCCATCCTGGGTGACTAAAACCGCGGCCCAGACAGTCTACACCAAAAGTGGAATTCAGAATCGAGTCGGCGGTATCATAAATGGGCCCCGTGGTCCCGTTGGACAATTCCAGCCAACCACGGCAAGCCCGGAAATCATTGGAAATACCGCGGCCTCTATTGATGTCGGTCCCCAACTACCTTTTCCTATGTCATTTAAAGCTCGCTGTCAGTTTGGTCAAGTACAGTCACCCAACCAGGATGAAGACCCCCTAAGAATGAATTTGATCAAAATACCCGCCTGGGTGACTGATCAGTTGAGAGGTTACTTTTTTGGCTGGGCTCGATTCGAAGAACTGTCCAACAAGGGATCCTCGACTGGCATGTGGTGTCCGGCGATTCTGTCCGTAAGGGCTTTGGATCCCCTGCAGACCGCGAGAGTAAACCTAGCGCAGATTGCGAAACGCACGGTCGCACTTCGTCTTCTCGACGAAGTTCCCTACCAAACTACTAGCGTTGAGGTCCGTGTTATGGGATACCTTCGCGCCGAGATCCCTCCACCTACCGGATGCACGACTCAACAGCTTGCCGAAGCGCAAGCGACATCCACAGAAGCAGCGATGCTAGCTGATGTATACGATGCAGCCATTGTGCAGGAGACTCTGGTTCATCCAGCATGGGCTGCAGAACATCCGACCTTGGAACTTGAGCAGAATTTGAGTTGGATGGACCGGACTCAAGAGGGATTTACTAATATCATTATGCGTGGACAAAAGTTCGTGGAGCAGGTTCCATTGCATAAGATTGGAGTTCGTTCCGTTACCGATGAGATCAGAGAAAGCCAGGTGGCCGTGAATGGCTTTTTTATTGTTCGGTGAGCTTGATCCTAACACTTTCGAAAATTGCGAATTCATGGCCGCATTGCACATGTACAACATTTAATATATCATAATTTATTCTGAGCGAGATTCATGAAATCATTCGCCAAACTACCTGAAAAGGCCGGATTAATACAAAGATCATCCAAATACACTATACACAATCAGATACTCAGCACAATATCACAAGGAGAAAGAATCAAGGTCCGACTGGAGGGTCGGAGGCTGCCAGGTTGCATTGGCGGAACAACCGCACTTCGTCTGGCTTGAACGCACCCACGACCGAATGCAGAACACCGCGGTTATTGAACAAAACCAAGTCATCTTCTGCCCAGTCATGCGGATACACATATTGGGGACTGATGGCCGGTCGCTGCAACTTGTAAACAATCTCCCGCACACGGGCCAAGTCATCGATCGTGGTTCCGTCGGCGCAGTGAATCCGGCGAATGGCAGACGGGTGGATCTGCAAAGCCAACTTGCCAGTCACGGGATTCTTCCAGGTCATGGGGAAGACCATGATTTTGCTAGGGTCAATGGGTGGGAGCTCGGAGTCTGGCAGCTCGAGACCTTCTGAGTGCATGCCTAGTCCAGTAGAGCGGGAACGGGCTGGACTCATCCAAATGTATCTACCGGTATGGTTAGCTTGTTGGCAAAGCGTTGATCAACGAGAGGTCTTACGGGTGAGGAGCATATTCTATCTTGCTCGTCTTGACAAATTCTTTGTCTTCCGGCGACAGGAGCTCGAACATTCGTTCACCACTAACGAACGCTGTTGTGCCAAGTGGAACGTCCATTGTTTCCCCAGTTCCGTCATCATATAGAAGTGTTTGGCGGCGACCCTTGGGCACGTTGACGGCCAAAAGTGTCGTCACCTGGGGCGGGTATAGATCATAAAGAGCGGCATCAATATGCCACCGGTAAAACCGCGTGAAATCGTAATCTTTCTCATCGGGGATATGATCTTGATGGAATGTTCGATGGTGAGGGTGGCGCAGCTGAATATCTTTCAGGCCTTCATATGAATCAACATGTCCATTTCCAATCACCTGCACTTGTGGTTGATGTGGAACGGTCTTGAGATCGGGATGCAAAATGCTTCTCTTGGCGTCGATTGTCTTGCCGTGTCCATAGTTTTCTGAGACCGGGTCGAAGCGCTTGGTCAATTCATATTGAGCTTTGGGTGAAAGACCTTTCTGGTTCTTGAAGACAACAACATGGTGCTCGTAGAGAGCCTTTCGAATCGTTGCAAATTCCTCATCTATCGCACATTAGCTTGTACGATATGAATCAGATATTGAATCTATCACGAACCACCCAAATTTTCAAGGTCGACTCCTCGAATTTCAGCACCAAAATCAATACAAGAGCCAGGCGGAGGCTGTAACGGAGTGACGGTAAGTGGTAACACGGCCATGATTTCGGGATTTTAGATGTTTCGGAACCTGAATCCTCGGCTTAGGATACGGGCCGGCTCTTTTTATAGAGTTCTGAGCCGAGAGATAACTAACAGTTGTTGTTTTTAGATCAAATCGTTTGAAGTGTGTGTCGGTAGACGGCGCGCACCGAATATAAAAGAAAACAGGTGGAGTAGGATAAAACAATAGAGGGATGTGTGATTTGCCACTTGGTCAATCTACTCGAATGTGGATAATTGAAATAGCGGAGTGAAAATGGCGAAGTAATGGAATTTATTGGACCTTGACATGATAGAGATATTGATAAGGCGGATGAGTCTGAACAACTCACCCGCTCTGATCCTATGATTTCCACTTCTTTACAGAAGGCGAATCAATCCATTGCAACTAAATTCGATTTACCAGAATTTCCACCATGGTCCACGTGGTCTGGGTGGTTGCTCGGCAGCAATTATTTCCTCCAATCCAGTGTGCATGTCAACCTCTTCAGGTCGCCACACCCACGGGTCACTCCAGAATAGCGCACGATGTCCAAAATAAAGCATCAAGAAAGCCGGAATTCCGATATATGCGGTGAAAAAGTTGCTCACAGACCATTCTGATGGGAAGAATACCGTGAACCCATTGATGAGCATCATGAGTGTCGCACCCGCAAGACCAAAATAAGCTCCATATGGCTGGATCCTTGATCTGTAAGGCTGTTCAATGCCTTGTGCTTTCACGGCTTTGCGGAATCGAAAGAACACAACGCAGCAGCAGATCCACGAAATGAAGCCGGAAGTGTTGGTGAAATTGACAAACCAGTTAAAAACAATCGAGCTGGAATTCCCAACGGCGAGGTAGGCGAGTGCCGAGAAGCATGCTGAAGCTGAGACAGCCCAGTATGGGACACCCCATCGATTGCATGCCTTGAACACGCTGGGGGCATTCCCTGACATGGCCAGTGAATAGAGCGACCGCGACGACATGTACAGAAAAGAATTCCCTGCCGACCAGGCCGATGTCAGGACAGCAGCATTGACTATGTGATCCAGAACGGGTATACCGGCGTTTTGAATACCGATCACGAAGGGAGATGAGTTCACTGTACCATCGCCCTTGGTAAGACGACTCGCATTCGAGGGACAGATAACGCCAATAGCCAAGACGCCGAAGATGTAAAAGAAGACCAAACGGTAAATGTACCGTCTGGCAGCCCGAGGGACATTGCGTCGAGGGGATTCCATTTCACCACCACTGATCACAATCAACTCCGGCGCGAAAATGAAGGCAATGGCACTGGATACTGTGCACTTCAAAAGTCCGACGAATCGGCCCGTGTCTCCTGTCACGATGTACTCGTTGAACGGACGTGGATCCTTCCAATAATGAAATCCCAACCGCTGGCGATTCGGCCCACCGCCCCAAAATAAGATGAACGAGACCATGAGCAGGCCGATGAGAGTGATGATTTTGATCCCAGCGAACCAGAACTCGGACTCGCCATAGACTCGAACAGGCATGAAGTTGAGAGCGATAATGACAACCATCATGATCGTTATCCAGACTGCAATATTGACTGATCCACTTTGATCCCAGTAACCAATGACCAACCCAGCAGCCGTGATCTCGTATGGTACTAGGATCCCAAGAGAGTACCAGTAGAGATAACCCATCGCAAAGCCAAGACTCCGTGATACGTAGCGGAATCCATGATAACTCATCGTGCCACCATGTACTGGGAGGTAGGCACCAACTTCAGCGATGGCAGTTACAAGGCCATACACCATAGCTGAGATGAAGATGTATCCCAGAAGAAGAGATGCAGGGCCTCCCGTTGCCAATGCCTGGCCAGAAGACACGAAAAGACCTGTGCTATGTGGTTAATCTCCTGTTGTCGGATACATTATGGAATACTTACCAGTTCCAATCGTGCCTCCCAGTGCCATCAGTTGTACATGGCGGTTTTTGAGACCACGTTTGGTGGTCGCATATCGGTCATCGAGCAAGTTGGCTTCCACCAAGTGACGAACTGCCTTGCCTTTTTCACTTAAGGGGGGCTCAGCGCCTCCATATGAGGGCTGAGTTGCACGCTCAATTTCTGCCATTTCTCTAGGGTTGTAGTGTATAAAGAAATGGTTAAGAATAAATGGAAAGATCCGTAGGAATTAGGCCATCCTTAAATATTTGAACGTTTGCAGGAACACCAAAGTTACGGCTCTTACAAAGACCCTGGACAGCCACATGAGACTCGGCAATTATAGTCATAAGCTCTGACTGGTCAATAGCGGGGTCCGAGGTCGGTTAACTGACAGTAGCCACGCCACGACGAAAGTGCAACTCTGGGGTAAGCCTTCAAAGTCCTAGCTAGACTCAAGATAAAGCGTCAGAACGTATAGTTTTGCATAAATTTGCATGATGCTGGAGGGTCGCGTAGCCAGCTTTGTTGAGTGTTGTATAGCGCTCTGCAAGCAACAAATTTGTAGACATCTGGCGTACGGCCAAACACGGTTCTATTGGGAGTTCACACACTCAAAGAATCTCAAGATAAGGTGGAATACGGAGTACATAGTTTAATTGGTAGAAGTCTCTACAAGAGCTCTCGCTTAGATACGATCCCTGTCGACCGGCCATGATGCCGGTTTGGTAGCTATCGACAAATCAGAAAGATCTTGTGAACAGATACACCGGTCCGGCGACCGGTCCGGAGAGGAAATTTGGCTGTCGAAAAGGCTAGGCAAAATGCCTCAAGCCGAGAGAAAGAGAGAAAGATTAAGCGTCTTATTGGCAAGAGGATGCAGGGAACAAGTGAATGAAAAGGGGAGAATAAAGCTACGCCAAAAAAGGAGTAGTACAGTAGCACATGGGAGTAACCAATCATAGAAAGAGACTAGCTATCTCTTCCAAGGTTCCTTAGTAAGATGGTTGGGGTACATGAGCTAGTCTCAACTAGGTTATTTGTTCTATCAGCCTCTTCGTTCATCAGAGTTGCTGCAAAAGTTCTTGCTCCATTCTCCTTTTGAAAGGACACGCGACAGTCGAACGAATATGACTGTTTTGTGAAATTTTAGGCAGTTACTGAAAGACAAGTTGACCTCACATACTATAATAAATCATGTCCAGGACTGCGTCTGGTTGGCGAGGCAACGTGCGCCGATGGTAGCCTGGCGAAACCACCAAAGAGGGTAATTGTGAAATGTCTCAAACTAGACAAACAGTGATCACCAAAAGCTTTCGCCTCTTTCGCCTTGGAAATGAGCGAGATGGTCTCAAAAATTTCCAGGGCTGTAGCCTATCTTTACGTCCCTTGTTTGACGACATTGTTGAACCCCAAGATCCACCAGCGATTGTCCTGGAACACTTAAATAACCAATTTCTGAGAGTTGTAGCAATCCAAAGACTCAACAAAAAGGAAATAAAATAAGTTGCCAAACGAGTTACCAAACGAGTTCTTCAAGCATTACATGTGCTACATCGAGACGGATCTGTGCATAATGGCCAATGTGATCACCGAAGCTTTTTGTAGACTGTAAGATGACTACATCGTGGCAGATATTGAACCAGACAATGTTCTCGTCAACTGCGGCACAGCATTTGACGTTGTGCGCTTCACCGATGTGCAGCTTGCAGACTTTGGGGATATGTCTCCACGACTTCCAAGTATAGGAAGGATGGTGATTTGATAGGAGCGCCTATCTGGCGGAACCCTCCAGGGCTGGGGCTCATACTCAAATTGATTGGGGTATCCCCGTTGATGTCTGGCCATTTGGTACAATGGTATCTGTGCGATACATGTAACGGTTAATTGTACATGGTCTTCATATTAATATATATTCCAGCTTGTCACGTTTACATATGGTGATTGCTATTTCATTTTCAAGCCCGATATTCCCGCTGATCATGATGAATAGGATCGTAGGATTCTGGCAAAGCGTGGTCAATTCTTTGGACCATTTCCTGTCACTTACCAGAAAATCGCGACCCTTTCCACAGTATGTATCCTCATGCAGGCCATGAGCGGTCTTTGTGGGAAGCCAATGCCCTTTTCACATGTCTCGACAAAGCAAATCTCAAAAGAAGATAGAAAGTATCCTTAAGAGAATGAAGCTTGATGCTAGAGATAGACATTCGGCTCAAGAGCTCTTGATTGACGAGTGGTTTAACTCTTTATAATTTGAGGCTCGCTGTGACATACTGCAAACAGTGTCTGGATTGTGGGTTTGTAAACCCCTGACTTCTTGTTTCCTGATAGCCATGATAGCCATGATAGCTAGGACGATGGTAACTGAGATAATGTAATTAGACGTAGATGACAACGGTTGACATACGAGCTGTAATGAAGGTCGACCTTGGAAGTGCTATCCATGGTGCAAAGTCGGCCATTTGATGTACCTTACTTTGATCAGTCCACCATGAACAGAGATTCCTAGGTTGGTAAGGACAATATTGTAAGGTCAGAAAAAATTCAGCTCATATCTAAGTAGTTACCAAGGTAATGCTTCGTCTCAATGGAGGTAGCTTATAGTTCGACCTCGGGAGATATCTCCATTGTTCCTCGATACTCTTCTATACACCACCCTTTACCTATATTTAAATGAGTGTGCAAATCTTGGACTTCAAGCAGATATATATGTGATATAAAATATAAATATCCAATCCACCTCCACCTCCACAATTTGCCAATTTTGGAAAAGCTCATACCAAATCTCCACCCCCACAGACGGTCCGAAGGTGGGTGCTTTGCCGCTGTCTCCGTGCACTGAACAATATTGCTACAGAGTAGAGCTCAACATATATATGTATTTTGCAAGTTACACGTTTGATTCGTTCCCCATTTCTCTCATGAATAAGAATACTCTTGTCTACAGAACCTGGGACCGTGAAGGTCTTGGACCGCCCAATGCCGACCGTACAACCCCCCACCGATGCCGTTGTCAGTCTATTGCATGCTTCTATCTGTGGTACCATTCTACATATCCCCAAAGGCGATATCCCAAACGCACAGCCCAAGTTGGTGCTGGGCCACGAGAGCGTCGAGGTCATTGAGACCCCAAGCTCAGTGATCCATAATTTAGTCGCCGACCGTGTTTTTATCTCTTGTATGGCCTCCAAGCTATCCCTTCACACTATAGAACGGGCGGCGGACGCTGTGAGGCTGTATCGAAGGAACCTAGGCCGAGCACGTTGGTGGTCCTCACGTCACCCTTTCCCTGCATCCGCTGACTGACTGGGTTGACTCACGCGCTGCGGTCGCTTTGTCGGAGGTATACCCCACTTGCCTCAAATGTAGTGTCTTGGGCGCAAATTTTCAGCGCGAATTTTCAGCCAGGTGGATCAGTGGCGATTGCGGGAGCGGGCCCTGTTGGCATGGCGGCCCTCACGGCGCGTTCGGACGTTGTACACCCCTGCCTTCATTGTAATGGCTGACCCCGATGGGACGCGTTTGATGACGGCGCGTAAACTTGCGGCACATGTCACAGTTAATTTGGGATCTTTAAAAGTGCTGAGAAACAACTCATGGGCCTGACAGAGGATCAAGAGTTCGACTGGGTCATCGAAGCGGTGGGTATTCCGGCGACGTTCGCTTTGTGTCAAAAGTTAGTGGGCATAGAAGATTGGATTGCGAACGTGGGTGTGCATGGCATCAAGCAAGGTCGACCTGCATTTGGAGTCGTGGGAGCGAAACAGCTGTGAGTTGGGAGTTGAGAGTTGATGAAGTTGACATCCCAACAAGTCGAAAAGCCCTTGGGGGTCGAGAAACACTGACACCTCAGGCATCCATTTGTCACTAGTCCAACGCCACGACATCTCGTCTCCGAAGATTAGTTGAATCAGGCATGTTGGATATTGGCTCTCTAGTGACACATCGTCTATTCTTATGTTCAAGAAGAATTGGCTAGACTTCCCTTGTGCCGAGGCAACTACAGATTACGTTACATTCTAGGCAGCCTCTCAGCATCAATCGCTCAAAGTTGCCATAGATTTGGTATGATTTCGTATGATTTCGTATCAATCTATTTTCTTAAAGTTCTTCGTATAGACACCGAGAGATCCACGAGTACATCACCTAGGTAATAATCGGAACAAGGGCGTTCTCCCCTTGAAAATTAGGATCTATACTTGCGGGATGGCCAACTTACCGTGTGAAATTTTTCTCCTTTTTTTTCCTTCTTCGTCTAGGCAATGCTAGATACTTTTAGTCTTTTTTGTACCTAATTTGTTCATTTCCTAAAGAACGAACTAGTTACCAGTTTTCCTGGCCATTATTTGCTCGGTGACCTTTTCCAATAGGTGTTTGGCCCCGGAGAGACGCCTCCCAACGCCTCCGACATCACCACCCACTCTTATCGTAGTTTGGTTGCAGCCTTATCAAGAGCACATGTACAATACAATACCTATCTAGGTATGTAAAATAATACTCTGCATCGATAGTAATCTTAGGGATTTAACTACCTCTTCTAGGCATATCAACTGAGTTACTGATAATAACCCGGAGAGAGCTCTCAACAAGGACAAGAAACCCCCGGTCCCCTCCGGATGAAACCACATTAATCCTAATTCGCCCCCACCAATCGTGTGGCTTCTCGAAGACTTCGAAACAAGGCTCACTAGTGTGGCACTTAAGGTGGTACCAGATCAGAAATGCAGTATGATTGGCCCTTCCGAGTTCACTTTCGGCCCCTCAACGGACGTTAACTGGTCCAACCCTATATCACTCTCTGCTTCTGGAATGGGCAGTGCATAAAGTGGATTTTCTCGCGTGCATATTATCTGCTGGTCATCTTTTGGCCGTCAGTTTGTATCCACTGCATTTTCTTTTTTTTTTTTTTTCTTCTCTTTTTCTTTTGTTTTGTATTTCTATCTCGATCTATCTTTCTTTCCTTGAAACTTCTCTCTTTTCTATTCTCTAACTAACTTTGGTTACTATATAACACACAATCTGCACCGCATGCAGATCAAACACATTACAAACTAATTCCTCACTTCTGCGCGATGGCCGTTGACAATGCTGTCCGTCGCCCCTCTGGGGTCTCGGTCGAACAAGGCGTGACCAACACTAATGCTGATCGAACCCTGGAGGACATGGGTTACAAACCGGAATTGGCCCGCAATCGATCCCTCTGGCAGGTCACTTTCATGTGCTTTATTCTCTCCTCTGTTCCCTATGGCTTGTCAACTACTTTGTACTACCCACTTGCTGCTGGTGGGCCTGCCAATGTCATCTGGGGTTGGGTGATCATCTCATTCCTGATTCTCTGTGTGGCTATCTCCTTGGCGGAAATCACTTCGGTCTATCCTACAGCTGGTGGTGTCTATTACCAAACCTTCGTCCTCTCCCCACTGTGGTGTCGTCGTGTCGCATCTTGGATCTGCGGCTGGTCCTATGTGGCGGGAAACATCACGATTACCCTCGCCGTTAATTTTGGAACCGCACTCCTCTTTGTGGCTTGTTTGGATGTCTTCGAGAAATCTCCCGGTGTGGGCATCACCGATGACTTCTCCACATATCAGACCTTCCTGATTTTCTTGGCGATCACCCTGCTGACCCACGCCATTTCGGCGTTCGGAAATAAATGGCTGCCATGGTTGGAGGTATGTATTCTCTCTCACGTGCTTATTCACCCCATGGGGTAATAGTAATAATTACTGACGACTTCGATTTTAGACCTTTGCTATTTTCTGGACAATGGCTGGTCTGCTTGCCATCATTGTCTGTCTGTTGGCGATTGCGAAACAAGGTCGCCACGACGCTGCCTGGGTATTTGGTCACTTTGAGCCTCAGGCAGGATGGCCTGCAGGATGGTCGTTCTTTATCGGTCTCTTACAGGCTGCTTACGCAACTTCGGCGACTGGCATGATTGTTTCGTGAGTATCAATTTATCCATTTCCACTCGACGATTCAGCTAACCGAATCCAGCCTTTGTGAGGAGGTTCAAGAACCCGCTGTCATGGTCCCCAAAGCCATGGTGGGAACTATCGTCATCAACTTTGTCGCCGGTCTTCTCTTCTTGATCCCCGTGTGCTTCGTCCTTCCCGATCTGACTTACCTGGTGAACCTGGCCTCCGGTCAGCCAACCCCCGCCATTTTCAAGGCCGCTATTGGCAACTCGGCTGGTGCATTCTGTCTATTGATCCCATTGCTTGTACTGGGACTTATCTGCGGTGTTGGTTGCGTGACTGCCACCTCCCGCTGCACCTGGGCTTTTGCGCGCGATGGCGGTATCCCCGGCTCAGGCTGGTGGAGCACTGTGCACAAGACCCTCGACATTCCTTTCAATGCCTTGGTCTTGGGTATGGTTGTGGAGATCATTCTGGGTGTGATCTACTTTGGTTCTACTGCTGCTTACAACGCTTTCTCCGGTGTTGGTGTCATTTTCTTGACCACCAGCTATGCCTGTCCAGTCGCCGTCTCTCTGATCTTCCGTGGTCGAGAGGACATCAAGAATGGCAGCTTCAACTTCGGTGTTTTCGGCTTGATTGCTAACGTCATTGCTCTCGGCTGGAGTATTCTTGCTATTCCTCTTTTCTGTATGCCAACCCTCATGACCGTCACCAAGGAGAGCATGAACTATGCCTCTGTGGTGTTTGCTGGATTCATTGCCATCGCCGCAATTTGGTACGGAGTCTGGGGCTATCACAACTACCGTGGCCCCCCAACCGATGCCGTGGAGCGAGATGAGTCTTCATCCCCCTCACCTATGTCCTACGGCGAAATTCCTAAGAAAGTCCCAACCAATTGAGCTTGACTTGCGACCGTGGAATTTCTCTTGAAATATCGGATTGTACCATTCCCACTTGTTATCATATCTAGCCCATTGCGTCCTCAAAGGCCAATAGTGCGCACTTGCATGTATATAAGCATAATACCCCAACAAAATATTCATCTTTGCGTTCCGAGCATCTACTTTCGGTGTTTGCGGGACATGTTATCACTTATATGCGAATCTTTGTTCCTTTGGGGGCAGTAGCAAACTCCAGGAGTCTACAGCCACTATCTAAAGTGCCTAAGAGTTGATAGCTGCGACATGATCTGTGACTAAACAGGTAAAATCGCTGGTCCCATAATAGAATGTGTTTCCATCATCAGGGGATTGTCCATAGCTCAGTGTATCACCATATTGCCAGTAGAGATCAGCCGCAATACCGTTTGTACCCAGTGCTGTCTTCTGCCATGGGGCTTCAATGGTGCAGTGATCCGAAGTTACACCGTATTCTTCAAACAGGCAAGGCTTGCCAGCTGCTGCACATGCGGCACCGTGGGAGGTGATCCACCCGTTGCCCCAATCGTTTGTAGTTCCCCCTGTATAGAATGGATTAGCAATGTCAAGGATTGGAGTAGCACAGTGTACATACAGCTTGATGGGTAAAGGTGGAACGTAGCAAAATCGATTGTATCAATGCTTAGGTTCATTGTGAAATTCAGGCCCTCTCCATAGGTGTATGGATAGCTGCCATCCGAGCCGGTGCTCAGTCCAAAGCCCTCTAGAAATGCATAGTTAGTAAGCGAGTCATTCGGCGTAAGCTCTATAGGATTGAATACCATCACCAATGGCGACCATATGCTTCGAGTCCAGGGACTTGATATAAGCACTTGTTGTCTTGATCCAATTGTAAAGAACCGAAGTGTCGCATCCATTGCAGCGTGGCTCATTGGCCAGTTCCCAGGCAAAGATAGCCGGCGAATCTTTGTATCGGGAGACGACAGCCTTGACGTAAGCTTGATAAGCCGTCTGGGCGGCAGTGTTTGTGTACCAGCTCGTTTGGCTGCCACCGAACGCCGTGACATAGGCAGCCATGCCACCATAATCCGACCAGTTATTGACAAAGTTGATAATGAGCTTGACGTTGCGGGCTTGAGCAGAGGCAACCACATAGTCCAAGCGCTGTAGACCATCCGCTCCAGTATTGATGGTAGCTGTTCCATCCTTGAGCAGATGATAATAGACAGTTCCGGAGGATGGAACCGCGTTGACATCATTAAATCCCCAAACTCGGAGAATCCGGAGTCCAGATTCTTCCAAATGATCAAACACCAGATCCACATCGGCATTGTTCGTAAGGAATCCGATCCAGTATGAGTTGGAGCCGGCGAAATAGCTCGTCTTTCCGTCAATCTCAAACTTGAGTCCATTCGTAGTAGGGAAGCCCGTTCCACTGGCACTGGCGGTCGTGGTGGTGGTCGTTACCTTTGCCGTTGTTGTTGAAGTGGTGGTTTTGACGCTAGTTGTCGAGGTCGAAGATTTTGTTGTCAATGTGGTGCCAACGGCAGAGGCTGGGGCAGATACTGTCAATAGGTGGAAAGCACTTCATGGATCACATGTCAACTTACAAGTCAAGCACTGACTATACCAGTCATTTTGGTATTGGCATGTCCAGCCTGACACGCATGTGGTAGAGCCGGAATAGCCAACTCCACCACATTGGCCGTAAGCGCCGACTTGAGCAGCGGCCAAATTGACCAGTGCCAGGAGTGCTACCTTTTTCAACATCGCTCTGGATTTGCCGTGACTCTTTGTTTATGGCTCATGGTGCTTGGGGATGTTGGTATATATACTAACAACAGGAACCAACATCAAGGACAGCAAAATCAAGAACGGGAACGCTCCGCATTCGATCGGGAAACTGTAATCATTCTGTTGAACCAAAACAATCAGGCCATAGGTTGCTCTGCTCTTGTGAGGCTCACCCTCACCAGCCCTCCGTGCTGTATGGGGAATAAAGTGGAGGTAGCCCATTGACTCGGAAGTGAAAGAGCCGGGATCCATCCGCGCAGCCAGTGTAATTGGCATCAGGAACTCGAAAGAAATGAAGAAAAGTGTGAATAAATGTAAAACGCGGGGAAACCAAGTAGATTTTGAGATGCGGAGCACTTGGCAGCCACCCGTAGACGCTTGTCTGAATTTGTCAAGGCGTTGCAGCCGCTATAAATGGGCAACGAGAGATATTTTATCGATTTGTATCAGTAATATGGAAATCGGCTGGTGAAACCGAATCCCAAAATTGCTTGTTAAAATGAATAAAATTTTGATTGTAAACTATCTAGGTATACCGTACACAAGTGGCCGATCTCATAAGCGGGTGGAAGATCAGAGCTTCTTTACCGCACCGCAGCCCTGGAATGTGTGAACCTCCTCGTTTTCCATTCTTATTTCGATTGAATTGGTTATTGTGTATGGAAATCGCTTTTTCGTTTCATTTTCTATACGGTTCATGATTCTCAGACTATCGACCTTATTTGATATGAACCCTTTATGATGTGAACTCACTATGTGGGTGAGATAGTGGATGAAGAAATGATATGATATTTTGAGATCTCCGAGGAAGAAAGTTCGCTATCTATAGCTATGGAGGTGGGACGAACAATGGATAAGCAAACAAGCAAACGCTGTGACTTCTACCGCTTCTCCCAAACACAAACAAAACTCATGTCTATCTTACTGCGGTGTTTTGTATAACTACCATTGCAAGCCCTACCCAATCGGACGACGAACTTACCATCGAAGGTTTTACGGCAATAGTAAATCATTTCTAATGCCATCTGCGCGGAAATTTCAGTCATAGACGCGAACTAGATAATGATAGTGAACTAGAAGCACGTCGCTTCGAGAACAAGGCACAAGTTTTACCGGCCACAATCAACCGATGAATGGTTCAGTCCATGGAAGGGATTCCTCAGTCATTATTGCACGTTGCGGACCTCCCGAGGACAAAGTCGATCGATTGGTCTAGATTGAGCGTACCATTTCCTACGTGGTCATGGGTTTAACGACAAGATGCGTAACTTTGTTTGGTCTCCGCCTGTTCCCTTTCAATGGCTCCGTCAATCAGCGGAGCGGGTTTCCTAGCCGAGATTCGCCCCGACTTGGCACGGGGAACATCTCACCACAAGGGATACCGGATTAAGTCAAGGCGGATCAACCGGCATGGGGGCGGAATAGTGCTATTCCGTCTCTCTGAGGCGTAGCGAGAAGGGATGACGAAGTAACAGACCAAAGACAAAAAGTATTGGAAGTTTGGAGTTTCAGATGCTTGATACTTGATTGGTGAGTATATTCTCTGAGGTTCCAAGGTTTGAGTTCGTTAAATGGTTGAATTTTTTCACTTTTGGCTAATGCGACTAGTAATTGATAGAGCGGGACAGACGCTGCAAAAACTATGGAGTAAACACGTTTTTATCACACGTTGCAGGGGAAAATCCACTCAAAACTCTGCTAATTACCCGGTCAATTAATTACCTAAGGGATATTGGGTCTTGTAGGTCTATCCCAAGTCTGGGGGGTTACATTAAGACATTCAGGGGTATTACGAACCCTTAGGACTTCTCCCTACATAGCTATACGTTATGTAGTGCACAAAAATCCGGTGAAAGCCTGGAAAAGCATGGAAATTAATAGAACATAAGTTTGGCAATATTAGAATCCTACAAATGGATGTTTTGAATAAAATTAACACGAAGTGAAAAAAAAATCCTCAAATGACGTAGGAGACGGGTGTGGCGCGCCACTGACGAAGAACTCGGCATCGGAATCAAATTTATACCAAGTAGGATGCCGATATTTTGCGGGATTATCTTCGGGTTTGGGTATCAGTAGTTGGGAGATTTTATTCATTTAGCGGGTCATCATACAGTAGTGTAAAGTGTCTTCCAATTGTAGAGATCATATCTAAAAGTTCAACATTATACATGCATGAAGGGTTTCACCCCCAGACTCCGCATTTCCCCTCGAAAAAAATACCTCCTTCCTGGTTTAGAGATATCATTGCTGGGGATGTTTTCACCGGGACACCGATCGGGTATGACCTGATTTGAGTCCGGAGAGAAACCGGAGAAGATGCCTGGGGTCGGAATGCTCGGGATTTCGCTGACACATGGCCCACTACACCTGGGCATTTTCTCCAGACTTCTAGAAAGATTTATCCGAGTTGTCCCTCAGTACAGTTTGTTACGTTGAGAGGCCACGAAACGGAACGGACTCATGAAATACAACCCATAGTTAGATCTACGTCTCGGAGCCGAGAAAATGTTTACATCTTTCAATCCCGAAGATTAGCCATGTAGACCTCTGACATGGCCGGTTCAATTCGCCACTATTCGCCCGACCCTGTCCTGTCCGGACATTCGGCTATCCGCTAGATTGGCGAACCACAGCCGATGTCCACTTGGAACATGCCGTGTATGGTTGCTGCTGGTGGAGTTGTATCGGGCCGTGCGAGAGTCGGCTTCGTCCGGCTTCTTGTTGGTTGTCTTTCTTTGTACGCACAGGATGCGAACATCGTCATCTCGCACGACTCGTCTCTCCACAATCTTCTCCCCACTTTGTCTCCAATGAATATAGGTTTTTATTTTTTACTTTTCTCTTTTTCGTAGCAAGATTTTTTTTTCTCATCTGGCCTCGAATTACAAAAAGGCCTCTACTCCCCCATGTTCCCCAGTGTTTTTTTTTTGTTCCCCATGGGCTTGTTTCCCTCTTTCACTTCATTCTTATATTATTTCTTCTGAGCTGGTCCTCAAGTTCTTCTTCTACTTCTACACATAGCTTGAGACCTTAGGACAAGTAGCCAGAACCAATTTACAACCTCCATTATGGGTTTCGAAACCTCTGCCCAACATGGGGAGTCCATTACCCCAGCCCAGCAGCCCGGCGTTCTCCAGCCCTCCTACGAAAGCACCCCCGAGCAGAAGCCCATGCGACCTGCTGGTGTTGATACCCCAATTCCTCGGATCACCTTGCGGTCCTTGGTGATGGCCCTCTTTGTTTCCATGGGTGGTCTGCTCTTCGGATATGATACTGGTCAAATTTCCGGATTCCAAGAGATGAGCAACTACCTGGAGCGGTACGGTGAGCTCAATTCAGACGGTTCTTATCAGTTCAGTACCGTGCGATCTGGTCTCATTGTTGGTTTGCTCTCCATCGGTACTTTGATCGGTGCCTTGGTTGGAGCTCCTGTCGCGGATTATCTGGGCCGCAAGTGGTCCATCACCCTTTGGTGCATGATCCTCAATGTTGGTTTGATTGTTCAAATTTCTTCTCCCTCCGGACACTGGTATCAAATGGTCATTGGCCGTTGGGTCACCGGTCTCGGTGTCGGTGGCTGCTCGCTGCTTGTGCCCATGTACCAGGGTGAAAGTGCCCCTCGTCACATCCGTGGTGCTATGATCAGTTGCTACCAGCTGTTTGTCACCCTCGGTATCTTCCTGGCCTACTGTATCAACCTAGGTACTCACCACATGGACGGCACTGGCCAATGGCGCATCACTCTTGGTCTAACCTTCCTCTTCGCTCTGGTCCTTGGTGGTGGTATGGCGTTCTTCCCCGAAAGCCCTCGCTATGAGTTCCGTCACGGAAAGGCCGAGAGTGCCCAGCGTACCTTGGCCAAGCTCTATGGTATTCCAGAGAACCACGTCCGCATTTTGGAAGAGATGGATGAGATCCGTGAGCAATTTGAAGCCGAGTCCGACGACCAGAAGTGGCACGAATTCCTCACTGCGCCTCGCATGTTCTATCGAATCGTTCTGGGCATGGTCTTGCAGTCGCTTCAGCAGCTCTCCGGTGCTAACTACTTTTTCTACTATGTAAGTTTTCATGAACCATGCGTCTTTCGTCGCTTTCCTTCCAAAATGATTATCAGCTAATTGAACCTTTTCTGCAATAGGGTACTACCATCTTCGAAGGTGCTGGCATCTCGGATAGCTTTATCACCCAGTGTATCCTCGGTGCTGTAAACTTTGGCACTACATTTGGTGGTTTGTATGTCGTGGAGAACTTCGGCCGTCGCAAGTCGCTCATCTTCGGAGCCCTCTGGATGTTTGTTATGTTCATGATCTTCTCATCCATCGGACACTTCGTTCTGGATGTCAACGAGCCCACAAACACTCCCAAAGCTGGCAAGGGCATGATTGTGGTGGCGTGTTTGTTCATTGCCGCGTATGCTATGACCTGGGGTCCCATGGTCTGGGCTATCGTCGCCGAGCTTTTCCCATCCAAGTACCGCGCCAAGGGTATGGCTCTTGCAACCGCAACCAACTGGTTGTGGAACTTCCTTATCAGTTTCTTCACCACTTTCATCACCAACGATATTGACTTTGCTTACGGTTACGTCTTCGCTGGCTGCCTGTTTGTCGGTGTTGGCATTGTCTACTTCTTCGTCATTGAAGGCAAGGGTCGCACTCTGGAGGAGCTGGATTGGATGTATGTCAACAAGGTTGTTCCATGGAAGAGCAGCGGCTTCGAAATCCCGGAGCGCCACCAGGATTGGATTGCGGAGGAGAATCCTTACGGTCGCAAGTCAAACCGTGCCTCTCACACTGAGAACGCATAAGTGAACAATCCTTGTGTTCAAAGTTTCTTGGTAATTTTTTCCATTCCACCAATGGGGCTGCATGTTAGATTCGCATTGGTCGTAATGCATGTTTGCACGATACGATTTCATTTTGGGCCTGGAGTACTGAGTGGCTTTTTTGTGCGCATTTCTTTTCTTTGTATATTTATGGGACTATCTTATACCCCTTGCATTTATAGAACACATACAAATGTCTTATTACCATTGCAAATGTCCAAGCTAACGGAGAAGCTGTAGAATCAAGTACACAGAACTGCTATACTTCACGTAGGAATCCTGGCGACAATCGTACAGTGACGCAGCAAATGTTTTAACACCCCTCTGAATTGTTAGATTCTGCCGGTCAAAATTTCGTATTTTTCAACACCCTTTGACTTGTTTCTTAATGAAACACTTGACCTTTGTATATTGAATTGAATTATATCTTCTATGAAAAGCACCTACTGAAACAAGAAGTTTGAAAAGATATCATAAACTTGCTCTTCGGTTTACAATAGGCGGTCTCAAAAGCGGTCTGTCCAAGGGTGTTAAAACATTTGCTGTGTCACTGTAAATGTTGCTTTACAGTTTCACTCACCGCCTCGAAGTTTCAGCAGTACCGTCATCGCTATAGTACAGTGATATTACATGTAACCATCCAGAATTGTTTTGTAGACCTGGCGATCTAGCAAGATTTGTCGGGTGAATTTCCAGAAAATATCCACTGTTTATTTGTAATTCCTTAGTCATGTTAGAAACCCCTAGTTATAAATTGCCAGAATCAGGGCCAATAAAACACAGGGCATTCATACATTCTGATTGGCCTGGGCTAGATAGCAAGTGACAAGATCGCCTCCCGTCAGTCACGTTTTGCTTCTTTCTTCTCATTCTTTCCGCATGCGGCGCAGCCCTCGTCTTCGCTCGCCTGTCATAATATAGATAGCTGTGCGTATGCTGTAAAGAGCTCACCCCGGTAGGCAAAGTTGCTTCTCTATCTTCATGGCTTGTGTCAAATTATACGACTTTCATTCGTTCCCGAGCTCCATCAAAAAATGTGTTCTACCAATAAGCTGACCAGATGCTCCAGGTTTGTGATTGCTTGCTTAGTATGACCCAGAGCCCCTATCACTTGCACATTCTGGAAACAAGATGGTCTTCGTACCATCAGATGTAATTTATATTATCATCACGATCATAAGAGACACCCCACCCCCGAAGAAAAAACGCATCGTGTGTAGGAACGACGAGCGTGCTAAGCTAGCCCCATACGCAACCGTCTCTCGCCAGTGGCAGGCGGTTGTGGAGCACATAATCTGGCAGCGACAGCTGCGTATTAATCGCGCTGGTGATTGGCTTGCACGGCTGAAGGCGTTTACATCTGGGACCCCGGACCGGCGCGCGAGAGTAGGTTATATTCGACGCCTTCTCTGGGAGCCCGAGATTAATCGGGACCATCTTCACGATAAGGCGGTCGCAGATGGAGTGGACAATGCAAAAATGTTTTGTGAGCGGCATGATCGGCAATGTCAAGCCTCCTTGCGAAATCTATTTGAGCTTCTCCATACGTGGAATGATCGCCAAGCTAATATCGAATTGTCGCTTTGGTTCTATGATGAAATTTACGCTCGGGTGGGGGACGACGTTATGAATATCACGCAAGAACAATGGGAGTCTCTAGATCACTACCAGCTGTGGAAAACAGGTAACGCCATACATCAGGTGTACCTGACTGCAGAGGATATTCAGAAGCTACCTCCTTTGCCACAAGTCACAAGTCTGATATTGCACGATATTAACTATACCACTCTTCGACCGTTATCATTTTTCCACATTCTTGGTCGCTTACCCCATGTTGGGCAAATTTTCGGCGGAGAGGGAGGATCCCTTCAGCCTGAAGCACTACGGGGTTTGACTGATCAGCGACAAGGTACGGTAATTTGTGTCTGTCATGTTGCTATTATAGATATTGTGAACCACGACTTACGCCGAACAGAGGTTGCCGATCATCTTCTAATTCTTCCGGAATCAGCGGAGACGTTCACCTTCGCGATTACAGGCCACCGCGAACTCTCATTAAACCCCGCTCGTGATGCCGCTAACTATCTGTCACCTCGAGGCTTAGACGAATTCTCTATCTCCTGTCGCTCTCTTAGTCTGAGACTCCGAGAACTACGCCTCGAAAACGTCAGAGTCAGCAAAGCGTTGTTTTGGCCCACGATAGAAGAGAAGGTCGACCCGACGTGTCTTGCCTGGCCAAAATTGGAGATTCTGGAAGTTCTAGAGGTCCCGCCGTATACACCCGACGGTATGTCCCTTTGGGGTAGTAACCTAAAGCATTATTATTGACCTGATATACAAGGTAAATGGATACTCGACAACGATCCTGAAGCAGATTGGGAAGGAGAGCTGGATGATGATGCGTATTATGGATGGGAATACGATCTCGATTGGTATGCCAGGCGCGGCATCCTCAAGAGCGACCCAGTCAACCAACTCTATGAGTCCATTGGTCTCGCGGCGCAGCGAATGCCGCGATTGCGGAGCTTGAAGCACTCATTCCGAGGTGCAGTTGGCGAAAGTGGCAGCTATGAGTGGTTGCGCTTCAAGAGAGATCTCTCCACCGGCATGGTTACGCTGCAGGTCGAAACAGAATGGGGTTTGAAATTGGAAGAGAAAGTCATATGTGCCTGGGGATTGAAAGATGAGAAAGCGAAGGAGTTTCGCGAGAAATGGACTGTCTCGCTTGAAAGGTGGCCTTGATCGAATTCTCTGTACAAATTAGTATTCAGATAACCTCAGATCACGGGCAAGGACAGTGCGGAAGAGTCGTAATGAATGCCTGGGTATAGAAGGAATGGTACGAGGTAGCATGCGTATAGTAGTTTCGTGTGAAAACATATTATCTGACGTCTGACGCCTGTATTGTCATACTATTGCTATCTTAAGCGGAGAATTTCGCCCCCACAGTGAGAATATGCGAGCTGAACAAAATGACAAGATGCTATCGGTATAAGGCAGGTTAGCAGAGAAAGAAAAAGTTGTGAGAACCAACGAATGTTAGTGGAGAAAAACCGATATCTGTGGAAATCGAAGGTCCATGAGAGTTGTCTTGCCATAACACCACCCTTTCAAGCAAGGGGCAACGAAGGACTGGCACGAGAAGATTATGTATTCTTTCATTCCTTAGCTTCAGAAATGTCAAGGTGCCGCACTTCCTAAATCAAGTAGTACAACGTACAAAGTCAATCTTCGATCCTCCTGTATAATCCTAAATAAGGTCAATCAAGAAGCTGTTCGATACTTTGGGGGCTCGACGAAACATAAATAATGTTATGGAAGCCAAAAAATCTTTAGCTCGCCAGAAAACCATTCATTCCGTTTACATACAGATGGGTCTTTTTTCCTCTACAAAACGTCCAGCAATCCTATTTCACCGGCAACTGTTATTCTCAGACGCCTGTTGGCCATCCAAAAGATTAGGATTTGCAATCCGACCAAAATCAACCCTGAAAGGACCAAAGCTATCATTATTAACAACCCCCGAGGGTAGCTGCGCAATAAAATAGTCATTAGTATTAAAGTGCTCTATTTCGATGGAAGATGACGTACAATACAGCAGATTCGTCGCCTCGGAAGATCTGAGTCCCCGCCATCAGACCAGCTGTAGCGGCCATGACAACTTTTTGGTGTTAGTCAAGCGTTGGTTCATGGAGATCAAGAAAGAGCCTTACACATTCTATGTATGGATAACATGGTCAGCTTTGTAGAATCCGAATTCACGAAAGTACTTACGCAACACTTATGCTTCTCTCTTCGGGGGTCTTGCAGTTTATTTGGATCCAAGCATTGTGAATTGGATGATATCCCACGGCGAAGGCATTCACCGCGGTCCATAGTCCAAATTTACCCCATTTTCCAACATAATTTTGGAAAACTCTTAATATAACCAATGTGATCAAATAAAATGAAATGGCCACCATCACAGTAAAACCTCTTCTCTTTGACCTATCACTCATCCATGCAAAAAGCAAAATCACTGGGATAGTAAGCAAACTCCCTATTGCGGCAAGTGAATTTGCTTCAATGTGGGAGAAGCCCAATTGTACAAAAATGCTCGGAGTGTATGTGGTCAGTGGACTCCATGTGGAGAAAACGCACCCCGTTGCGATGAAATGCGGTAATCTTTTTGTGTTGGTCAATGTCTGCCACACCAAGCGTGGCGATATGTGAAGTTTGGAAGGTGCGGCCAAAGTTCTATTTGAGTCGCGGGGTACTTCGCTGTCTGAAAGTAGACTATCTCCTATTTCTTCAGGTAGGCAAAAGAAAATCATTATGGAGACCGTAATGGAAAAGATACCTTCGACTAGCATCTGTCAATAAAAGCTTGACGTTTGCGTGAATGCGTTGAATCATACCAAGGAATATCCATTGCCAGCCAAACAGGCCACCCTTTCCCTCCAGCTTCAACAGAGCAGCTCCAAGCAATGGAGAGATAGCGGTCCCGCCAAACATGCCAAAGAAAAATATGGCGATTCTTTTGGTCAATTCTGCTGCAGTATACCATGTTGACAGTGTGTACATCGCTCCTGGGATATACCCAGCTTCGGTAAGACCCAAGATAGATCTAGTAAGCAAAAATCCTGCTTCGTTGCGCACAAATATTTGTAAACATGCAACAACTCCAAAAATGCAAACTTGTGCGCTGATCCATTGACGAGGACCAATCTTACTTTTTTAGTCCCATTAATAACATAGATCGATGATAACGCATACCTTGTGTAAGATAATATTTGATGGTATCTCAAGTAGAATCACACCCAAGAACATCAGCTGGTTTCCAATGTTGATGATATCTTGGTCGACTGAAATGATTTTTGCAAAGTTTCCCGTTAATGCACTCGCGATGTTGGTTCTGTCCAACTGGTAAACAGCGAACCCGACCAGTAAGAGGGGTAGAACTCGCCGGTCGGCTCTAGGGACTTGTCAGCTTGCTGCTTCTCTTGAAAGCGGCCATATTGTTTTGAGCAGATTTGTACATTTTTGTCTTGCGATTGAGGTATTCATTATCAAAATCGTTGATTTTGGTTCCCCCGCCATTTTTGAGATCTTTGAGTTCAATCATCGTAACATGTAACGCCATAAGCGCGAAAAAATATTCCAAATCTAGCAAAATTATGTTGAAAGAGAAACTATTTTTGAAATGGAAAATAATACAATGTATATTCAAGAAGACCAGGGGACCTTGGAGGTTACTTCAAAAGTCGAAACCTTGGTGGTGAGAAGACATTTTTCGTCATGTCAATCAATATCCATGGGTTATATGTACGAATTAGACTACAATATCGATATAACTATACCATTATCTTTATATTCCCTAAATCTGAAAGCTCAAAAAACTATCTTAACATTCTCATTATGAGCAATTGCACATTCATTCATCCCTCTTAATACCCTCAATTTGCGGGCCACAGAAACGATGGCGAAGACAGTGAACTGCGGTTGCAGTTGATGCCAGTTCAACTTCGCTGCAGCATATCACAGGCGGAGCTGGAATATGTATCGTATCTTGACAAGAATGGTTCAAACATGGCAACGGATCTTGGCATTGTTGAGGTTGATTGGAATAGCTGTGTTGGGGTTTCCATCAAGATCCGCATATGTTTGCTGGGCAGTCAAAGTACCAATCGTAGCACCATTGTTGATAATGACGCAGTTGATAGATTGGGGAAAGAACGTCAGCTGGGCAGCGGTCGCCTTCACAGTGCCTCCTGCTCCAACAGAGGTACTACCGAAGAGAGAGCTGATACTCTTATCGGTATTGTCAGCAGAGAAAGCAGCGTTGGCATAGGCTCCAGTCTGATCGTTGGAAAGCGCAACGGTGACTGTGTTAGACTGGCGGACCTCGAGAGGTGTAGCAGCGACAGTGATCGCTAGAATAGAAATGATGGAAGCGATGGTGAACTTCATTTTGAGACTGGGTAGCAGGAATTGCAAAGTGCAATAAGAAAATTATGAGGTGGGTTTTGGATGATTTCGAAGAACTGTGGTGGTTTGAAATGTTGATCTGAAGAAAAGATAGGACAGTCGATAGGAGACATGCTGTTTTATACCTTTTTCGATGAGACAGTCAACTGTGATCCAGATTGCGTCGTCTTCTTTTTTTTCCCTATTATTAGAGATGTAGTACTGATGCAATTCGTATAATCTGATCTTGGCTTACTAGGCTATACCTCTGATCACAGAAATTGAAGCACAGCCCTTCGTATAAAGGTCAGACGAGGTTTCAAATCAAGGCCATCCAAATCGTGGAAGTACGTGAGATTCACGCTCTACATGATCACGACACTTGTCTTAAACTTTGATCTCGGAAACTTCGTTCGGAAGATCAACTGTGCTGTGGTGAAGACAAGTGTATTGAAGAACAGAAATTGGATCAGTCAGATCACCAATCAATACTGAGCAGTTAGATAGAGAAATGAATGAAGTATTCCAACTATTGCCATTGTACTCTCTATACTTTGCTAGTATTACCTCAATCCTCGAAGCTTTCAGGGCTTCAAAGAATTAGGCATCCCATGTCTTCCCGCTGATTCAATTCTCAGACCGTATTGCTTCCCTGCACCTAAATGTAATTTTAGCTGCCTGCTTGAATTTAGCGTTTCCATATTTCTTACCTCGAAAGACAAGGGCAACAATTTCATCTTTTGAGTACTCCCCCAAGTCATTCAAAGGTGACAGAAACCTTACCCGCCTTTTCACAGGTAATTATCTAGCTTTTAATTATGTAGCTAGTCGCAAGGACCTTGTTCGAATGCATTGATTTCAACCTCGAAGTTGATTTTCCACGCTCTTTATGATCCACACATCTGGAGAAAACCTTGCCATCATGGAATTCTCCAAGAAGTAGACTTTGTCGCCACGCGACCTGTGTGTTAAATTCCGGGGCTGAATCCAGGAAGACCGCGGCGAGCAAGTTGAATCTGGAGGCCCGAAGGTGGGGACCTATCCCGTTTCAGCAAATACGAAGAGGCGCTTTCATATATATAATCGCATTAGGCGGGCCTCGCTGTTGACCCCGTATTCCATTCCCCACATCTTCCAATGTCTCACCATGTCATAGGCAGAATAATGCGCATAGAATGACACATTTCAGCAGACCTATGATGAAAATGAAATAGTCAGATCTAGATTTACCGTATTCAATAGATTTTCCTACAAGTTTTTTCTACATCTGATCTCCATATCACCCGTCGCAGTTTGATCTCAAGTCTTGTCTTAAAACAGTTCACTTTGAATACCCATATTCGGGTGCTTATAAGGAACTGTTCGCAACAAACTGGTCTTTGGTTCACAGACAAAGAGCGATCGAAAGATTCCAAACTCAGCACTTAGCTGGCATAATAAAGGAATAGCTAATATCTTGCGGATCTATATAAGTGAATATATAGTGCTTATATAAGCAGTATACCATATATGCTGGAACAAGAATTTAGTTCCAAGGTATGGGAGGAGTGAGGTACAAGGCCCCAGGGTACATACAGCCTAAGCAACAAAGGGGAAGAAAGAGTATTTTCCTACCTACTTACTCGATTTCCTCTGCCACTTCTTAGCCTTCCCTTCCGTTTTAGTGCTCAGACCTGACCGCTTTTTGCTCACTGCGTAGATCTGAGCATGCCTCTGAGCGGTCTGATTGGATCACAAACCATTACATAAGCATATAGTCTGACTCTCTGAACATCACCTGATACTCTTCTGAGCGCCCTAATTCGCTCTCTGAGTCTGAGATGATGTAGGGGTAAGCGGCCTTAGTAAGCTACATTAATAAAATACACTGAGCTAGTTCTATCACGTGCACCTATCCACTTTTAGATAGCTCCTATCGTCCTATCAGAAAAAGGCTAGCATTAATAATGTGTAATCTTTGATCCTAGTTGTCACGAAGATTTCACGATCATAGATCTGGAACCGGTTCTGCCGTCTCCCACCGCCCTTCGTAAAACGAGGTTTGCATTGTTTGTTTGATCTATGCCTCAGGCATCACTACTTTAATTGTTTCACTGCGTTGTTTCTTTCTTCTTCTTCTTTCTTTCTCCATGTTTAGCATTCTAGTTGAATGCACCCTTTTTCATCAAGACTTGGCTCGTAACACTAGTAAACTTACTGCACTTACTTACGTTGTAATGGAGCTTACTACTTAGCTATCTAATCAGCACTATAATTCTAAACTCGATACTGAGCTGGGCAACTATCTTGTTAAGGGGGGCCGCCCCTAGAACTCCTAATATAGTATAGCTAGACTTTCGTTTTTTTCCTCGACTCCCGATTCCGTGAACCTCCTTTTTAGTTGCTCGTGAAGAAGAAATTAGATTTCAAAATGCGATATACCTAGGAGGGCTGATGTCAATGTAAGACCCCGTTACGAGGGTCTTAGGACTTAGGTGGATTCGGGCAATAGAATGGAGAAAGCAGTAGACAGGTTCAATGCTGAACTAATCGCTGGAGTCCAAGACTCTAGCCTCTGAACTGTTTATATACAAATGTGGGGTCATGTGAGGTCATGAGCCCTCGCATTGCGGGTCTCAGCCCTGGGTCCAGTTCGCAGGTGCGAACTGGCCATCTCGCAGTCTCACATAGACTGCGAGATATATATCGTCAGACCTGCTTAGTACTTGGGTCCTGACAGTCAAGCCGGAGTAGAAAACTAAAATACTTTGCTCAAAAAGAATTTGCAGAGCAGCGTCTCGAGGTCGAACGCTAACTTTGTATGCCAAACCGGTCTCGTATACCTCCTAGTAGAGATGTTGATCTGTGTCATAAGTCTGGCCTAATAACTATAAAAATGGTGGAATCTTTGTCCAATTTATTCCAAATGATAGATTTCAACTCGAACAACAATTGTTTACGTAAATCAAGACTAGTAATCCAGTACAGTATGTCCCGTAACTGGTGTCACCACCTGCACTTTTCGATTCTTTCTCGAACCCTAATTGTCAAGACACGCCAGTCTATATTAAAGAGTTTTTCCGGAGTACCTATGTCAGTGGGTTTGTATTGATTCGTATCTAAAATGACCGGGGCACATGTGGGGTGTAGTCACTTGTACTTTCGATACGGCTTATACCGCGTAGTTTTTAAGTCAACCTCGAGTGGTCACACCAGGAGAGCGCCTGACCTAGGCCCTTTGAAAGCACGAGTCTCTTCACCTGCACTGTCTTGCGCAGCACCAGCACCACCCTCAGCGTGCCATTACATGTACTGCTGCTGTTCAAGTACATCCACATTGCCCCAGTGCAACTTAAGTGCTTCCGTCGGCACGCGGTGGTAGGCGAGTAGGGAACAATTTACGCCAAATTGGTCGACTCCGCACTCATCACAACGAACTCCGAGGCTTTCACATTCCACTTTCAGTTGTACTAGATACACCGAGAAGTAAAATTCCATAACATGCTAAAAATATGCGATCAGCAGACCGAAATCACTATACAAAATCAACGCCAACGTTCGAAAAAATTGTTTCCTCCGACCCAGCGATATACTTATCACGGTCACCTTCAAGTGATAGATCATCATCCAGCGCGACCTCTACCATGTCTTCCATATCGCTTTGAAGGTAACGAGGACGGTCATATCTCTCCCATCTAGCCCCTTTAGCTAGCGTTGCATTGTCAACGCTTTTGCTTGAGAAAATCCGAAATCGGACTTTGCGATATTGCACCGCGATAATTTGCTCTCCTTGGGCGACAAACTGCCGTTGTAAGTCTTCCGCTTGCCCACTAGACCCGGCCAGTCTGGGATCAACTAGTTCACCAAATGGCACAACCACTCCAGATGCCAATAACGCACTCGAAACCGGCACAGCCAGATTTCCATCTAGAAGCTTTTGCTCTCTTGATTGCTCCGCAATTCGAGCATCCAAAACGGTGTGGTAGCCAACCACAACATATATATCCTCCCCCTCATCAATAGTACGCTCAACCCACTTCCGGACGTCTTCCAATTTCACGATATCCCGAAACCATTGTCCATTATTGTCCAAGTAATAGGTCTTGACTTGTTTCGTCTTAATGTGAATCGAGGCATTCGTACGGCTTGACACGGTGGAGGAGAGGAAGGCGGTAAGCTCAGAACCAAATTTACGTTGAGCCCTAAGAGAGTCGGTGCCGTCGTACTGGGTTGCAATTTTCTCGATAATACGGAAATCCTTCCCTGGTCTTGGATCAAGGTAATCTCGGTGAGGCTCGTCAATGTTGGTGACGAAACGTCCCAGCGGAATAGCAGACGGTGGTAGGAAGAACTGCGGGAGAAGAACGCTACTGCGCATTTCGGGGTTGATTGGATATTGGGTGTGATACGAATATGATAGAACAAATTGTTTGATATAAGAGGGAATATGAGGAGAGATAGCTGGCGACGTGGCAAAATGAGTCAAGGTATCAACTACGGCATCGGCCGCGCTATGGCCCTACGAGAGGAAACGGTCCGCTGTCGCTTGTTGGGGCTGAGTGATATCTAAAGATCTTTGTCAGAAGACGTTGTAGGTATTGAGAATAATCAAAACTCCTCACCCCAAAGAGAAATGATCCAAGTAGTCCACCAGGGGGCGAGGTTACGCCAGATCGGTATTCTGGCGACGGTCGGAAAAGGCTTGCTGGCCACAACGCTAAATGGCGTCAGGCGTACAAGGACTAATTGGAAGAGGGGATGACGTGGCATTACCTAAATGGAAGCCTAACGCCACACCTCATTAACTGATTGCATCTACTGCAGGTAGCAAGCAGTAAGCGACAGGGCCATCGAGAAAGCCAGCCACACAAGTTTGTTTTTACAGGATATGGGCTATGCTATTTGTAAACGCTCCAATATGGACCGAGTTACGGATCAATACAGGTGGTGACTGCTGGACAACATCCGCTGCGACATGCGCTAAGGCCAAGCCGCCTGACAAGTCATCAACGAAGATGGGGGGTAAACAATTGCAAGTTGAGTTAGGCAATCTCTTGGGTTTGATAATTTCTCAACTCTAATATTTCGGGGTTCGATGATTACTCACGTATAACCGGAAGATTACACTTGAGAAATCATCAAACTCAAGACAGATCAGAAGACATGACAAACAAACAAGACAGCGAAGAGGCAATCTGTGTCTCCCGCCAGGCGATTCAGGCTACGCCTGACGATGAGCCCAATCTTGCAGCGTCGTTAGACAACATCGCGAACATGCTTGAAAGCCGGTTTAAGCAAACAGGGCTGATCGACGATCTCGAGGAGGCTATACAGGTGTCTCGCCAGGCGGTCCAGATCACACCCGATGACGATCCTGATCTGGTCGCCTGGTTAAATAATCTCAGAAACAAGCTCGAGAGTCGATACGAACAAACAGGACAGATCGACGATCTCGAAGAGGTTATCCAGGTGTCTCGCCAGGCGATTCAGGCTACACCTGGCGACGATCCCAATCTTGCAGCGTCATTAGACAACCTTGCGAACATGCTCCAAAGTCGGTACGAACAAACAGGACATACGGAGAACCTTGAGGAGGCTATCCGGGTGTCTCGCCAGGCGGTCCAGATCACTCCTGATAATCATCCTGATCTTATAGTCTTGCTAAACAACCTTGGGGTCAAGCTCGAAAGTCGGTACGACCGAACATGGCAAATAGAAGATCTCGAGGAAGCAATCCAAGTGTCTCGCCAGGCAGTTAAGATTGCTCCTGATGAACATCCTGTTCTTGCGGGGTTATTAGGCAATCTCGCAAACAAGCTAGAAAGTCGATATGAACGAACAGGACAGATAGAAGACCTCGAAGAGGCGATCCAAGTGAATCGACAGGGCCTAAGGGCCACCCCTAATGATCATCCTGATCTTGCAGTGCGGTTAAATAATCTTGGAAACAAGCTTGCACGTCGATACGACCGAGTAGGACAGATGGAAGACCTCGAGGAGGCGATCCAGGTGTCTAGCCAAGCGGTTCAGATCACTCCTGATGGCCATCCTAAGCTTGCAAACCGGTTTAATAACCTCGGAACTATGCTCGAGCGTCGATATGAGCGAAGAGGACAGATAGGAGACCTCGAGGAGGCGATTCGGGTGTCTCGCCAGGCGGTTAACACCACTCGTGATGACCACCCTAATCTTGCGGGACGGTTATCTAATCTCGGAAACATGCTCGCACATCGGTACAAACGAACAGGACGTATGGAGAACCTCGAGGAGGCGATCCGGGTATCTCGACAGGCGGTTAAGACCACTCCTGACGACCATCCTAATCTTTCAGGGTGGTTGGATAACCTAGGAAATAAGCTCGGGAGCCGGTACGAACGAACAGGACGGATGGAAGACCTCGAGGAGGCGATCTGGGTATCTCGCCAGGCGGTTAAGACGACCCCTCATGACCATCCTGATGTTGCAACATGGTTAAATAACCTCGGAAGCAAGCTCGCAAGTCGGTATGAACGAACAGGACGGATGGAAGACCTCAAGGAGGCGATCCAGGTGTATAGCCAGGCGGTTCAGGCCACTCCTGATAGCCATCCTAAGCTTGCAAATTGGTTGGTTAATCTCGGAAATATGCTCGAAAGCCGGTACGAACGCACAGGGCAGCTTGAAGATCTCGAGGAGGCAATTCGGGTATCTCGCCAGGCAGTTTACACAACTCCTATGGACCATCCTGATCTTGCGGAGTGGCGAGATACACTTGGAAACAAGCTTGAACGTCGATACGAAAGAATAGGGCAGATAAGAGACCTCGAAGAGGGGATCCAGATGTCTCGCCAAGCGGTTGAGACCACTCCTAATGACCATCCTAAGCTTGCAGTATGGTTAAATAATCTTGGGATCAAGCTCGAAAGTCGATACGAACGAACAGGACAGATAGAAGACCTTGAAGAGGCGATCCAAGTGAATCGCCAGGGCCTAAAGGCCACCCCTTATGATCATCCTGATCTTACAGTGTGGCTGAGTAACCTTGGAAACAAGCTCGCCAGTCGATACCATGAAAAAGCGCAGATAGAAGACCTCGAAGAGGCGATCCAAGTGAATCGCGAGGGCGTAAAAGTCACACCTCATGATCATCCCAGGCTTGCAGTGTGGTTAAATAACCTCGGAATCAAGCTCGGAAATCTGTACGAACGAACAGGACAGACGGAAGACCTCGAAGAAGCGATCCAAGTGTCTCGCCAAGCGGTTGGAACAATCTCCAATGATCATCCAAACCTGGCTGGGCTGCTAAATAACCTTGGACTCATGCTCGAGCGTCGATACGAACGGATAGGACAGATAGAAGACCTCGAGGAGGCGATTCGGGTGTCTCGCCAGGCGGTTCAGACCAAAACAGCATCCCCTTTAATCCGGGTCACCGCTGCTATTCTAGCGCTTGGCCTCCTGCTCAAGAGGAAAGATCATCGAGTCGGTTATACACTCTCTGTTGAAGCTATTGATCTTCTGCACCTCGTCCATAGAAGATCCTTGACCCTGCAGGATCGACAGTATGTAGTCTCGCATTTTTCTGGCTTAGCAACTCAAGCATGCTCCCTCGCCATTCAAACCGGGCAGCCTCTTTTCCGAGCTCTACAATTGTTAGAGAGGGGACGTGGTGTTATACTTAGTCTTCTTATGGATGATCGAAGTGACACGTCTAAACTGAAAGAGGTCCATCCCACTTTATGTGCACAATATGAAAGTCTTCGCCACGAGGTGAATACACCTATTGGGAGCACCACATCCCAGCGGATCGGGGATTCCATCTCCGCAAGACGACCAAAGGCTATCGAGGAGCTCGAAAAATGCATACAAGATATACGAGATCTTCCAGACTTCGGCTCCTTTCAACAGGGTCTTACTGCGGAGCAGATGCAGACTGCTTCTAAAGAGGGCAGCATCATCATGGTGAATGTCACCAACCTAAGAAGTGATGCTATTATCATCTCTGCATCCGGATTTAGCCTGGTCCCTCTTCTTCGATTTGAGGCGGTCCAAGCGCAGAGTTGGGTCGACCAAAGGTTGAAATCAGCTATAAATAACAAATCATACCGCCAATTTTTAGCCTGGCTCTGGCAGGACTGCGTAAAGCCCATCCTGGCTGAGCTCGGTCATTCTGTTCAGTCATCTCTGGAGGATTTGCCAAGGGTCTGGTGGATTGGGACTGGACTTGCCAGCTCCTTCCCTTTTCACGCTGCAGGTGATGTCTCTGCAGGGGAAAATACATTTTGTCGCGTTTTATCTTCCTACACCTCTTCGGTCAAGGCACTAGTACACGCCAGAGAGCGGGCTTCTGTCTCTGCTCCATCAAAAGAAAAACCACCAAAGTTACTCATGGTTACCATGGCAAATACACCTGGCGCTAAGGACTTACCCGGGGTCAATACAGAAAAATCCGCGGTCCTGGGAGCACTCAGTGATTCCGTTCATGTGGAAGTTCTCGATCAACCGGACTCCGCGAGCGTTATCCGCGAGATTCGCGAATGCAATATTGCCCATTTCGCTTGCCACGGAACCTCAAACTCGGATGATCCCTCTCAAAGTGGCCTTTTACTACAGACTGCCACTGCAGACCCAAGACAGGAAATACTCACTGTTCTGAAACTCTGCGAAAGCCACACTACTCTTGGAGACATTGCATACCTCTCTGCATGCTCGACTGCGGAGAATCAGGCAAAAGGTCTGATAGATGAGGTCCTCCATGTTGTCAGTGGTTTCCAGGTCGCCGGATTCAGACACGTCATTGGGACTTTGTGGCCATCTGATGACAGAGTGTGCGTGGAGGTTGCGAGGTCGTTCTATGCTGAGTTTTGTCAAAACGGTGCTCTAAAGTACACTGACAGAGCTGTCGCCATGGCACTTCACAAGGCGGTATCGGCGGTTTCGATGAGTGTTGAATATCGAAAACGGCCGTTACATTGGGCACAGTTTGTCCATTATGGTGCTTGAGCATGAATCGGTGATGCCACTGTTGTGCTATTTGATATGTACGGTAATGTGTCGGTATGCTCACTCGCCCTGGCCAATAAGAATGTATGAATGCTCTGTCTTTTATTACCCCTGGTTCTGGCAATTTATAGTTAGGGGGATCTAACATGACTAAGTAATTACAAATAATAGTGGATACTTGCTGGCAATTCACCGACACACCCCCTCATCGGGGTCAGCACTCTCTGCTCTCTGGCCTCGATGACAACCTGGTGAATCCATCCCTCGCTGAAAGCTCCATTTAACCACTTTTCATGAATCAGCCTCTGTTTCCTGTTCAGGAATCACTGATCATGTGATCGATGGTCCGCATCCTGAGCAATCTGACAAATTCTTCATGCTTCTGTCTAGGAAGCAGCTTCGTCAAGCCGTCTGCAACCATCTTCCCTGTCGGCACCCATCTCACGGCAACCCTCCCCGCTCTGGCTTCCTGTCGTACCCAATGGTTATGGATATCAATGTGCCGGAGCTTCGTCTCAAACCTGGAATTCTCCAGGTTCACCAAGGCGACTGTACGCTCGTTGTCACAGTCGATCGTCATGGTATGTGATATCTCAAACCCGATGTTTTCAAACATCCTTCTCCACCACTGGAGGTGCTTGCTGGCTTCGGAAAGTGCTAGCAACTCCGCTTCAGTGGTAGACGTTGTGACAGTGGACTGTTTACTGGCTTTCCAGTCCACAGGGCCCCCATATATCTGAATAATGAATCCAGCGGAGCTCTTTCTGTCGTCGTGATCCCCGTACGATGCATCGCTTGCTATCTGTACCGAGTGATCACTTGCTTTGATCCCTAAACCCGAGTTCGGGCTTCCCACACTGGCTGAGTATTCAATGGCAAGATACCGGGTAGAATACAGGTAGATGATCAGCCTATCAACTGCCTGGTGGTGCTGTGGTCCTGGGTTTACCAGGAACTGTGCTAGTTTAGCACACGCTTTAGCAGCGTCGACCCGTGTGATGGTGCAGGCATATCCTACAGAGCCAACCTTCTGTTGATACAGGTTGATCTCTCGGGGAGTAGCTTGCCCATCATACTTCTTAAGGTCTTCGACAGCCATTGGTGTGCTCACTGGTGCTCGCTCTATAAGATTGTAGCGAGCGGCTATTCCAGTGATATAGCTATCTTGGCATAACCACAGCTTCTTCTGCACCCTATCTCTGACAATCCGGATATTGAGAAACCACTCAGCGTCACCATGGTCTGTCAATTCCCAGTGCGCTTCGAGGGCTCTCTCCAGATCAGCAGCTTGCTGTCTTGCAGTGTAGTGTGCAGCAATCAATATATCATCCACATAGAAGAATATCAATATGCCTTTCCCCACAAACACACAGGGATCCTCTGGGACTTGCCTTAGCCCCAACTTCTTCAATACAGCAGCCGCTTCCTGCTGCCATAGCCTCGGAGAGATTCTCAAACCGTAGAGCGCTCTCCGTAGTTTCCAGCACTTGCCGGGGGTAGCGAAACCTTCAGGCATGTGGGTGTACGTTTCCTGATCTAGTTTAGCATTCAGAAACGCAGTAACAGCGTCTCTTTGCCTTAGATCAAGATCATATGCCGCCACGAGGGCAAATAACATTCTCGCAGTGCGAGCTGCAAGTGTAGCTGCTCTCTTCTCTTCGGCAGAGATGGTCTCGAGGTCTCCGCGCACACAGATCCGGGCTTTAAGCTTAATGAGATACCCATCTTGGTCAAATTTGTATGCAAAGATCCAGAGGAGAGGGAGCACTTGCTTTCCTTTGTCTTTCGGGGTTGATACCACCTCAAAGGTCTGCTTGCTGGTAATGCTATCGATCTCCTTCCTCATTGCTGCCGTCCATCCTTCCTGAAAAGGGTGGTTCAACACATCTTTCCAACGCTTCGGAAGAGGTGGCATGTCATCTCTGTGCCGGCGAGTCTCTGGTTTCTCTGCGTTCAAACCTGCTGCGAAGGCTGCAAGCATGATTGGCGAGTCTTCATGAATGGTGGCATGTGCGTAGTAATCATCGTCTCGTTTTGGTTGGCGAGATCTCTTCCCAGAGATAATGTTGCTAGTGTCAACATCTCCAAAGATCTCTCTTGTAGCGACAGGAGGGGTTAATTCACTCTGCAGCTGCCTCTCCAATTCATCATCTGTCTCTGGAGTTGCTGCCAGATCACCTTCTTCCTGGAGATCACCTTCTCCCTGGAGATCACCTTCTTCCTGAATGTGAGTTCCATCACTAGTCCATTCATTCTCATCACTTGCTAACCTTTTCCCATCGTTTCCATCATCTCCAGGTGCTTCCACACCCCTGATCTGGCAGTGACGGTGATGGCGATATCCTTTGTGGAGGTTCTGTTGATGGTGGTGATAGCTCTGGTGAGGGCGCTGTTGGTGGCACCTGTGTTGGCACCGGCGGCCTCACCCCCTGAATATTGGCTTCGCGGGGCGGGGTTGGTGGCAATGGCACATCTTCTGGAAACGCACCTGGCACCTGCTCCACTGGCTGGCTGGCCTGCCGTCTTTCTGGCGTTAGAGAGGGCGTTGTCCTTGCTGGTTTGGTGCCTCGTTGCTCATGCAACTCTTCCTGTTCCAGAGTGTCCATTTCATTTACAGTTTCTGCTCCGATACTGTGCTCTTCTTGACTCGGAGGAACATCTTGGTTTATAGCCTCATTCTCCTCCTCATTTCTTCGCGAGGAGAGCGGCTCTAGCATTTGCTGAGCTGCTTGCTCTACCTCATTGGCTCTTGCCGCTGTTGCGATCTCTCTGATCAACTGAAGAACTTCTTCATCTGACAGATACTGCGGTTCACTGACGATAGGCAGGGGGATCGCCTGGTAGTGCTGATATTCAGGTGTGTATTTCCTCGATTCATCAAACACGGCGTCGCGAATCACTTTCACTTTCCCTGTATGTGGAATCCACACTCTCCAGACATTCGTTGTGATATAACCAACCAGGAATCCGATCTCTGCCCTAGGGGCCATCTTATCAGATTGCACCTGCTTATTGATTCTGCAGTAGGCAAGACTGCCATACAATTTCACATTCGATAGGTTCACTTTCGGCAACTCGTTGTCACCCCCGAACCCCCGTCGAATCTCTTGCCACGGTACAATCCACCGATTCTCCGCAGATACGAAGGTTGGGATTCGGTTTAATAACCATACCGCAGCTATCACAGCCTCTGGCCATAGTTCTTTGGGAAGCTTTCCCTCTTGAATGAGCATTCTAGCACGCATGATGATCACACCACCTGCACGCTCAATATAGCCATTCATTTCTGCATGCCCTGGAGGTGAGTGATACACCACGATTCCCTCATTCGTTAGGAATGTGTGCGCAGCACTTCCTGCCGCACGCTCGTTGTCATAGTGGAATGCCTTGATAGGCAGGTTCCACCAATTCCTAGCAAATGCCACAAAATCACTGATCGCTTGTTGGCATTCAGACTTCTTCTCGTGCGTCATAACCCAGTGAAATTTCACCCCGTCAACATAGAAATGGGATATCCACTGGTGCTTGTTGTAGCCAGGTTGGATCTGTATCAGATCGAAATGCACCCTGCCAAACCTACCAAAGGTTTGTCCAATTGGTCTTCGGGAGATCTGTCTTGGCGCATGTGATAACCTGCATGTTTCACAGTGCACCCCCGGATCTCCCTCACTCCTTAGGCGATTCGGCGTCGACGACGACGATACCCTTACTCCATCCACCATCTCTTCGAGCTTCTTGATACTCTGTTGGTTGATGTGGGCAAACCGGCGGTGCCAGTGCTCAGGTGTTGCTTCCTGAACTCTGGTTTGGACTGAACGCCGAGTTGCTTGCACAATGGCTGTGGTGGATGGTTGTAATTGTCAATAGAGGGGTTTACCCTCTTCATTCGGCCGATCAAAGATCCACAGGCCAATAGGGTCATGGGTCGTGCTGACGATAGGCTTTCCAGAAGCCCTTTCCAGCAAGCAATCTGTCTGCTGGCACCAAGTCACACCCCGTATCTTCAACTGGTGATACGAGACAATGCTAGTGTGGAAATCAGGTGCATATTCCACATCTGACAGCGTGATAACCCTTGCCGTACCTGTTTCCGGGTTCCTGCCTGTTAATCTAACAGTGCCAGTGCCATACGACATGCTGGAGGCATCTCCGGTGGCCAGCGAGGCCTCGTCAGGTGTGAAACTAATGAATCTTGACTTGTCATTACAGACATGTATATTGGCTCCTGAATCCAGGATCCATCTGTTACGCATCTCAGGTCTGTGCTTCACGTTTGGTGGTAGTGATCTCTTAGGAGTGGTGGTCTTGCCCATAGGCTCCCCCCTACTTGCTCGTGCATGCATGACGGTTGAGAAATTGAGTGCTGGTGCACCCACTTGCTCGTGAACTTCCTCAACATCATAGTTCACGAATGCAACTTTCTTTTGGGCATTTCCCTGTGAATTCTCTTGGGCAACCAGCTTATCTAGGTAAGCCCTCCATTCAGGGTCGTTGTCCAATAACTTCTTCACTTTCTGAACCTTCTTGCCCCAGGGTTTAAAGGTTTTTGGGGCCTGTTTTGGGTTCACATACCAGCAAGTTGCTGGCCTATGCTGAGAGTATTGTCTTCCACACGGGCAATGGCGCTGATCCATCGGCCCTGTGATCACTTGAGGTTGGCCCTCAATCTCATCAACAGGTTTATCAACAGGCTTGCTGCCTATATTTGCTTCTCTAGGCTTAGCTTCTTCATGGCCTTGCCAGGTTGAGAAAGCACTCTTCGGAGCGGTCAGTGATGATTTCCCTGGACCAAGCTCTCGGTAAGAGACCCTGAATGAATCCATGATCTCCTGAATAGTGAATACATCATGCTGGAGGAAGCATCTCCGATATTCAACTTGCCACCACATAGGCAGCACATCTTTCACTGCTTGGAAGAAATATCTGGCGGCGTCCTTATGGGTCATGACAACGCCCACATTCTCTGCTTCTTCCCGGAGTGCATCCCAGTGATCGATCCA